GGAAACCCTTGCACAGATAAATCTTTGTCGCTGCCCTGGGGGGAAAGGCCCACAATTTGGACTCTGTTGACAGCGAGTGCCATCTCGTAGCTGAGTCCTGCTCAGAGTAGATCCATTGAAACGAAGGAGCCTCAGGCATTCATTCCCGACAGGCCTGCTCTGAGGAAGGCCAACAATTTGGTCCCTATTTTCCAGGGACAGTCTCAGATTTACAGACGCTGCCCCGGTTTCTGATTTATTTATTTTTAACAATGCTTTTTCAGATTAATACCATTCACTGGTTTCGCAATCATTCCGACTTTTCAAAGCTTGACTTCCTTCCCCCTCTTTCCGCCGTTCCTTAAATTCATTTTTAATACCTTCTGCATATCCCGATTAACTGTATGTCTTCTAAAGGTTGCATAGTTACTTGTCTCCTTGGCTCTGGGGTTGCGTAACTCCATCCCCTCCAACATTTCCCCAGTGAAAATAGGGATGTCCTAAGGGGCGCGGGTGGCGCTGTGGGTTAAACCACAGAGCCTAGGACTTGCTGATCAGAAGGTCGGCAGTTCGAATCCCCACGACGGGGTGAGCTCCTGTTGCTCGGTCCCTGCTCCTGCCAACCTAGCAGTTCGAAAGCACACCAGTGCAAGTAGATAAATAGGTACTGCTCCGGCGGGAAGGTAAACGGCGTTTCCGTGCACTGCTCTGGTTCGCCAGAAGCGGCTTAGTCCTGCTGGCCACATGACCCGGAAGCTGTACGCCGGCTCCCTCGGCCAATAAAGCGAGATGAGCACCTCAACCCCAGAGTCGGCCACAACTGGACCTAACGGTCAGGGGTCCCTTTACCTTTAAGGAAAAGCAGGACGTTGCGGGATCAAATCAGAAACTGGGACAGCTTCTGTAAATCCAGGACTTTCCCCTGAAAATGGACAACAGTGTAGCCTGGACTGCCCGGTTGCTCCCCTCTGAATTTTGTGCCCGGGTCCCCAGCTCCCTGCTACGCCACTGTTTCCCAGTAAGGCTAGGAAGCAAACTCCAGATCTAAAGGCCTGGACGGATGCTGCGTGATCTAACTCTGTATACAAGTTACATCATTGTAATTATAATAGATCGTTATCAATCCAGGAGCCGAAAAGCCTGTGTTATTGACACGCTCTGAAAGCAATGGAAGGAGCTCAGCCAGGGAAACCGGCCCTGCCTTGTACGGCTTGTGCTGAGATTGCGGGGTGGCAATTGGAGAAACCGGGGGGGGGGGGGGGTCTTTTCACAGCTCTTTGGCTCAATACACCCACCACGTGACTTGTCATTGGCAGGCGAGGACCCCACGAAGGAGACAAACAGCTATCCCTGTATCTCCCCTCGCATTTAAACCACGGATAATGCCCTCCGCCTAAAACAATTTATTTCCTTAAGAAAAAATGGGGACATTGCGTGCTTGCCGGGACCCCAAGCCCACAGGGACCCATAAGAAGACCCCCAAGGGGGCTGTGGAACCGAGGAGTGGAGGAATTCGCAGGAATTGACAGCCTGAGGTCAGAGGTTGGGGTCCCACAGAGACCCGGCTGGCGTTTGTGAGTAAGGGGTCTTCATTGTCTCTGTTTCCTCTGTTTGATGTTCTCCGTGATTCTCCTTTTCTGTAAGAATAACCTCGGGGAGATTTTTTTGGGGGGGGAATAGGGGTGTTCCAAGAGACCCCAGGTGTGCTTGTGGGGAAGAGAGAGTTGTGGGGAAGATGGAGAAAAAAGGGGGGTGGTGGGGAGGCCACAAAGGCAGCGAGGAGCCCCCAGAAGTGGGGAGAGAAAGGAAGGAGGCAGCAGAACGGAGTCCGCTCTGAGAGAGGCAGGGAGACAAAGGGATGAAAGGGAGACCGAGATGGGTGATGGGGGGGGGGCAGAAAGAGACAAAAGGGGGCTCCGTTCTTTGTAAAAAATGACTGTGGCCATTGATCTGTGGGGACGCCGATTTAGAAAAAGGGAGAAGAGAGCAGGTGAGGGGTTTGCGAACCTACCTGCGCTAACCTGGTCTCCAGGTGATGGCAGGAGGCAGGCTTAAATCTCCAGGTTAGGAGAATGTGCCTTTAATTTTCATATATATTTATAAGACAGCATCTTAAAAAGCAGAGACATCACCTTGCCGACAAAGGTCCGTATAGTTCAAGCTCTGGTTTTCCCGGTAGTGATGTATGGAAGTGAGAGCTGGACCACAAAGAAGGCTGATCGCCGAAGAATGGATGCATTTGAATTCTGGTGCTGGAGGAGACTCTTGAGAGTCCCATGGACTGCAAGAAGATCAAACCTCTCCATTCGGAAGGAAATCAGCCCTGAGTGCTCACTGGAAGGACAGATCCTGAAGCTGAGGCTCCAGGACTTTGGCCATCTCAGGAGAAGACTCCCTGGAAAAGACCCTGAAGTTGGGAAAGATGGAAGGCACAAGGAGAAGGGGACGACAGAGGACGAGATGGTGGGACAGTGTTCTCGAAGCTACAAACATGAGTCTGACCAAACTGTGGGAGGCAGTGGAAGACAGGAGTGCCTGGCGTGCTCTGGTCCAGGGGGTCACGAAGAGTCGGACAGGACTAAACAACAAAATGATTGTGCATGCGGCTTGCAGGATTCAGCCCAGCAGGGACTGGGTGCAAATTATTGCATAGACTCTCTCTCTCTCCTCCTGCCTTCCCTGTCCCAATTAACCTCCGTCTCCAGAGATTAGCGAAGGGAGGGAGTGGCGAGGAAGAGAAAGAACTGGGCTGGGCGTGAGGGGAGGAGTGGTTTCTGCGTCTCTGTGTGTCTTTGGCATGGGGCATGGCCCAGGCGACATCGCCAGGGGGCCACCCCTAAGTCTTGTGCTTGGGACTTATATCTCAGGGTCCAAGATGGGTGAGCCTACGGCCGACCAGGTTGCAACAAACAGTCGCTGGGTTATATTTGTAGGTGAGGGGAGATGATGGGTCTCAGACCATCGGGGAGTTAGGGGCTTGCCCTGCATATGAAGACAGGGGCTCCCAATAGGGAAAACGGGGCGCTGCCCCACTTTGAGTCAGACCCACGGTCCCATCTGGCTGCTCTGACTGGCAGTACCGTATTTTTCACTCTATAAGACGCACCAGACCACGAGACGCACCTAGTTTTTGGAGGAGGAAAACAAGAACAAAAATATTCTGAATCTCAGAAGCCAGAACAGCAAGAGGGATCGCTACGCAGCGAAAGCAGCAATCCCTCTTGCTGTTCTGGCTTCTGGGATAGCTGCGCAGCCTGCATTTGCTCCATAAGACGCGCACACATTTCCCCTTACTTTTTAGGAGGGGAAAAGTGAGTCTTACAGAGCAAAAAATACGGTAATTTCCCAGGCTTTCAGGCTCTCCCCGAGCCCCCTTTCTGGAGATGATACGGTGGGGAGGGGGTCACCCCTGGGCCCTCCTGAAGGCAGGTCAGGTGCTCTTCAAATGAGGCGGGGTCTCCTCCCCACAAATAGAACCCAAGACGCTAGCCCTCATGGTTCTGAGCGAAAAGCAAATAGGAATCTTGTGCTGTTAATCAGTGTGGCTGACCGTTTGACTGACAGATTTGGGTAGGGGGTCTTCCCAGCCCTGCCTGGGGTGTGAGGGGAGGGGCAGTACCTCTGGTGGGGGGGGGGGAAGCAGCCACAATCCCAGGAAACGGCTTCCAATGGCTGACTAAACCAGGGGAGGGGAGCCCATGGGTCTCAGGCCTTCTCGGTGGTGGCGCCCTCCCATCAGATGTCAAGGAAATAAGCAACTATCAGACTTTTAGAAGGCAGCCCTGTTTAGGGAAGCTTTCAACGTTTGATGTTTTATTGCGTTTTTAATATTCTGTTGGGATCCGCCCAGAGTGCCTAGGGAAACCCAGCCAGATGGGCGGGGTATAAATAACAAATTATTATTATTATTATTATTATTATTATTATTATTATTATTATTTATTTATTCCAAGAGGGTTTGTGCACAATGGGCAACAATGCTTAGCCCTTGGGGGGGGGTCTCTTCCCAAAGTTTGTGGTTTTGCGGCTCGCATTCCCAGCGCTTGTTATCAGAGTTAGGCCCGTCGCGATGAAAGGGCCGTAGGGAATCGCGGAGATGCTTGCCAGGTTTCTGTGTACGAACTGCAAACATCCTGGACACGGGGAATGTCCGTGCTTGTGTTTTCAGGGGTGACTGTGCCCCCGAAGGACCAGGTGCTCAGCCTGGGAGTCATTTTGGACTCACAGCTGTCCATGGAGGTGCAGGTCAACTCTGTGTCCAGGGCAGCTGTTTACCAGCTCCATCTGGTATGCAGGATGAGACCCTCCTTGCCCACAGACTGTCTGTCCAGAGTGGTGCATGCTCTGGTTATCTCTCGCTTGGACTACTGCCATGTGCTCTCCGTGGGGCTACCTTTGAAGGTGACCCGGAAACTACAACTAATCCAGAATGTGGCAGCTCCCAGACTGGGGACTGGGAGCGGCCGCCGGGACCACATAACACGGGTCCTGAGAGATCTGCATTGGCTCCCAGTACGTTTCCGAGCACAATTCAAAGTGTTGGTGCTGACCTTGAAAGCCCTAAACGGCCTCGGCCCAGTATATCTGAAGGAGCGTCTCCACCCCCATCGTTCAGCCCGGACACTGTGGTCCAGCTCCGAGGGCCTTCTGGCGGTTCCCTCATTGCGAGAAGTGAGGTTACAGGGAACCAGGCAGAGGGCCTTCTCAGTGGTGGCGCCCGCCCTGTGGAACACCCTCCCTTCAGATGTGAAGGAAATAAGCAGCTATCCTATCTGTAAAAGACATCTGAAGGCAGCCCTGTTTAGGGATGTTTTAAATATTTGATGCTGTATTGTTTTTAACACTCGATTGGGAGCCGCCCAGAGTGGCTGGGGAAACTCAGCCAGATGGGTGGGGTATAAACAATAAATTATTATTATTATTATTATTATTATTATTATTATTATTATTCCCGGTGCACGATAGCAAAGCCCCCTCACCTGTCCCTTTCTGCCCCTCTGCAGTTGACGGAGGAGCTGAAGATGTCGACGTCCATCGCTTCCTACGACCAGCTGGTCCGGCAAGTGGAGGCTTTGAAGACAGAGAACACCCACCTTCGGAGGGAGCTAGAGGACAACTCCAACCACCTGTCCAAGCTGGAAAATGAGACTTCAGATATGAAGGTGAGAAAGGGAGGCTCGTGTTCAGTGTATTAGCAACAGCCCTCAGCCTCAGATCAATGAGGGCTAGAATCATGCTTTATTTAAAGGAGAGGAGAGGAGCTCGCGGGTAGGACATCTGCCTGGCATGCAAAAGGCCCAGTCCAGGTTCAATCCTGAGATAGATGGACAGATTCCTGTTCAATTCAGATCCTGTTCCTATTTAACTCAGATCAATGAGGACCAGAATCTTGCTTTATTTTAAGCAAAGGAGCAGATCTTGCTGAGAAAGATGGACAGATTCCTGTTTCTATTAAATTCAGGTCAATGAGGACTACAATCTTGCTTTATTTTAAGGAAAGGAACAGATCTCGCCGAGAAACATAGCTGTCAAGTGTCCCTTATTTGAAGGGACAGTCCCTTATTCCAGCGCCATGTCCCGCTGCTGTCCCTTATTGATAGATGTCCCTTAAATGTCCCTTAAATGATGTCCCTTAAATTTCAAAGGAAGCAGCTCCTCTCCCTCCCTCCCTCCCGGCCAGGGAGGAGGGAGGCTCCAACTGTGTTGCTTGGCTGTGTTGCTCACCCAATAAGAAGTCTAAGAACGACTGGGGGGGTGGAGCTTGCATGCCTTGTGTGTGGCTAGTTAATGCAAGCTGAAGGGGTTTTTGAATGCTGGAAACCATTTTGTTGCATGTGCTGCTGCAAACGTTGCAGTGCAAAGCCAGGCCGGGGAGCCATCTTAAGTTGTGGCTGCATAGGCCTTGTGGTGCATGTGATTCAGATTCTATTCAGTTGAACCTCTGGTTACAAAGTTGGTTGGACAGTGTTCTCGAAGCTACCAGCATGAGTTTGACCAGACTGCAGGAGGACAGGAAGACTGGAGTGCCTGGAACAGGTGAGGCTGCAGGTCCCTTATTTTGGCTGCTGGTCCCTTAATTTCAAGGCTGCTGGTCCCTTATTTTCAAATCTGTAAGTTGACAGCTATGCTGAGAAAGATGGACACCTGGGAATTTCCGCCTGAATCATCCCCAACCAAAAGGACTCTGCTTTCTTTTGGGCAACATTTTTTTAAATTCATTGTGAATTATTTCCCAATACTCTTTTACCCGGTCCACCACATGTGAAAGAACGTTCGCTCCACCTCTTTGCAATTGAATCCATTTTCTTTCTCTCCCATTTTTTGTCCATTCCAGGAAGTCTTGAAGCACCTCCAGGGAAAACTGGAACAGGAGGCCAAGATGATGGTTTCGACAGGTCAGATGGAAGTCCTGGACCAACTGAAAGGTGGGTGGAAGTCACAATCCGAGAGGAGATCTTTGTTCGAAAGCACGCCAGTGCAAGTAGATAAATAGGTACCACTCCGGCGGGAAGGTAAACGGCGTTTCCGTGCGCTGCTCTGGTTCACCAGAAGCGGCTTAGTCCTGCTGGCCACATGACCCGGAAGCTGGACGCCGGCTCCCTCGGCCAGTAAAGCGAGATGAGTGCCGCAACCCCAGAATCGTCCGCGACTGGACCTAATGGTCAGGGGTCCCTTTTCCTTTAAATCAGGCTTCTGGTCCTCAAGGCTGCAGAGGCAGCTTTGGAAAGTGTGTGTTGGCTTGTGTGTTGGCCTTTGGAAGGAAAAAGGTCAGGCTTTGCATTCAATATAAATGGATAAATAGTGACTGTCACCCCCCTTTTCTGCACTGAGCCTCTTGGGCTTGCCGATCGGAAGGTCGGTGGTTCGAATCCCTGCAACGGAATGAGCTCCCATTGCTCTGTCCCAGCTCCTGCCAACCTAGCAGTTCAAAAGCACACCGGTGCAAGTAGATAAATAGGTACCACTGTGGCGGGAAGCTAAACAGCATTTCTGCGCGCTCTGGTTTCCATCATGCGCCAGAAGTGGTTCAGTCCTGCTGGCCACATGACCCGGAAAGCTGTCTGCGGACAAACGCCGGCTCCCTCGGCCTGAAAGTGAGATGAGCGCCGCAACCCCAGAGTCGCCTTTGACTGGACTTAACCGTCCAGGGGTCCTTTACCTTTACCTTTTGTTCCAGCCCTGCAGATGGACATCAGCAGCTTATACAACCTCAAATTCCATCCGCCGGCTCTTCTCCCCGAACCCATCAGCCAGGATCACAGCCCCGAAGGCAGCCCTGCTCACGCAGGCTCCCTACAGAGAAAGGACAGCATGTTGGACCTCAGCCGGGCCACGATCCGACTACTGGAGGAGCTTGACAGAGAAAGGTGAGGGGGTCAATGAGGTCACCATTGGAGGTGGCAAGCCAAACCTCCCCCATCTCAGTTAATTTCTCTTTTTTTTTCATCCACATGTGGTCTGAACCAGCCTCCCCTTTTGAGATCATAACCTTGCCATTGAGCGGGGGGGGGGGGTTGTTTATATTTTTTATTGTGTATTTTGTGGTTTTATATCTTGATTTTATTCTGTGAACCACCCTGACACACACACACACACACACACACACACGTATAGGGTGGTACGTAAATTCATGAAATAAATAAATGCCTTGGTTCTCAAACTGAATCCGTTCCAAAACCAAAGTGTTCCAAAACCAAGGCGTGCTTTCCCATAGAAAGTAAGGCAAAACGGATTAATCTGTTCCGGACTTTTAAAAACAACCCCTAAAACAGCAATTTAACATGACTTTTACTATCTAACGAGATCCATAAAATGAAAGCAATAATCAATGTACTGCACCATAAAATAAATAAGACAGTATTGCAGATGATAAAAATTAAAATTGCATTTATTTTTTTTACCTGCACTGAAGACGGTCATTGTTTGGATGGGGGGCTTTTATCAATTTCTGCAGCCACACACTCCACCAATCAGTAGCTGAACTGGGTTCCACAGAATCACAAAAGCAATTTAACCGAAAAAGCCTCAAAAACAAAAACGCAAAATAAAGAGCAAAAACAAAAGTGCCAAACTTAATCTGTTCCGGAAGTCCGTTTGACTTCTGAAATGTTCAGAAACCAAGGCGCAGCTTCTGATTGGCGCAGGTGCCCCAGAAACAATAGCCGACAGCAGCAGTGGACGTTCGGCTTCCGAAAAAACGTTTGAAAACCGGAACACTTAATTCCAGGTTTTCAGTGTTTGAGAACCATAGCGGTCAACCGTCCCTTATTTGGCGGGAAAGTCCCTTATCCCAGCGCCGTGTCCCGCTGCTGTCCCTTATTGATGATGTCCCTTGAATTTCCCGGGTTTCAAAGGAAGCAGCTCCTCTCCCTCCCTCCCTGCCGGCCAGGGAGGAGGGAGGCTCCAACTTTGTTGCTTGGCTGCGTTGCTCACCCAATAAGGAGTCTAAGAATGACTGGGGGGGTGGAGCTTGCATGCCTTGTGCCGATCAAATCGGCCGCGTTGCCTGGGGACTCGCCTTTGCTCAGCGCTTCCCAGCGGAGAGGTGACGGTGGTTTCCCTTGCTGCGTCCCCTTTGCCGGGTTGCTGCGCTGTGGGAACCACCGCTTGAGGCTTCATTTGGCTGCTGGCTGGGCTTTCTTGCCTTTGGCTCGGGAGCTGGTTGACTAAAATCCCTTATTTTCGAGGCTGCTGGTCCCTTCTTTTCAAATCTGTAAGTTGACAGCTATGCATTTGAGAACCAAGGTACCACTGTGAATAGCAATGAGGCCTAGCACCTTGCTTTAATTGTAAGGGAGAGAGAACAGCTAGGTGGCTTGGCACCTGCTCTGTAGGCAGAAGTCCCCAGCTTTGACCGCCCAATTCTCCTGCCTCAAAAAAAGGATCACAATCAGGTGATGGGAAAGATGGTGGACAGCAAGCTGCCAGCCAGAGCAGACAATACTGGCTAAATGAACCCAACGCAGATTCCCGTACCTAACTGAAAGTGTGCCAGCATGATCCATGCCAGCTTTCGATTTAGCTAAGTGCAGGGTAGAGACGTCCACACCGTACATTTAAAGCTCCCCCCGAAAAAAGAAGGTTGGGAACTGTAGTTTTTCACACCCGGCGCTACAATTCCAGGCGCCCTTAACAAACCACAGTTCCTAGGGTTCTTTTTTGGGGGGTGAGGAGCCTTCCTTTTCTGACTGACGCCCTCCCACTGTGCTTTACTCACCACCACCCTTTCCTCTCTCCCAGATGTTTTCTCCTGAGTGAGATTGAAAAAGAGGAGAAGGAAAAATTGTGGTACTATACTCAACTCCAAAGCCTCTCCAAAAGACTGGATGAGCTCCCTCACGTGGAGACGGTGAGTTTCGGAAACCCACGGGCCCCCCTTCTTGGCATACCAGGGGTGTGCGGGACCAAGGTTAGTGCAAAGCTCTTCTCAAGTTCCTAGTCCCTGGTGTGTCTGCTTGCGGGGAGAGAGATTCTGCAGAAAGAGGAACTGGACATGAAAAACATTGCACAAACACAAAGCTTTGGCCTAAACGGGCTTGTAATACTCTCTCTTTGTGTCCTAAATATGCCGGTTTGTGTCTAATTACCGTATTTTTCGCTCTATAAGACGCACCAGACCACAAGACGCACCTAGTTTTTGGAGGAGGAAAACAAGAAAACAAATATTTTGAATCCCAGAAGCCAGAACAGCAAGAGGGATCGCTGCGCAGCGGAAGCAGCAATCCCTCTTGCTGTTCTGGCTTCTGGGATAGCTGCGCAGCCTGCATTCGCTCCATAAGACGCACACACATTTCCCCTTACTTTTTAGGAGGGAAAAAGTGAGTCTTAGAGAGCAAAAAATACGGTACTGTATTTTTCCACGTATATTTCCCCCCCAATTTTTTTTTAAGTTTAAAAATGGGGGTCGTCTTATACATGGAACGTTGCAATTCATTATTTCTTAATTTGGGGCTCAAAAAATAGGGGTCGTCTTCTACGTAGGGGCATCTTATACACGGAAAAATATGGTAACATTTCTTGACATCTCCCGGGCTATTTTAGGGCTGGGTGAATTCAATCAATCAATCAATCAATCAATCTGTTTATTTTGAGAGGGCTTGAAACAGTCCCACAAAACCCCGAGTCTTTGATTATGTTAAGACAAAAGTCCATCGCCTAATGCTTTATTGCTTTAACACTGGTTAAGGCAATGTTTTAAGGTTGTTGCTTTTTAAAACGAATCTGGGAACTGTAGTTCCCCCACTCACTGAGCTACAATTCCCAGCACCCTCAAGAAACGATGGTGTCAAGGAATCTTTTTTTAGGGGGAAGCAATGATCTAGAAGATTCTCATGGCCAAATTCAGAGGGGTTTTTTTAACCGTCTCAGCCATTAAAAAAAAAAAAAAACTGGCAAACAAAAGGAACCACAAGTCCTACTCAGAACAGATCCATCGAAATCGATGGGCACGATTCACTGAGGCCTAGCCATTTCCGCGGGGTCTACTCTGAGTAAAACTCCGTTGGCAGCAGCTCCAAATGAGCAGCGTCGGCGAAACCTGATAGGGGTGGAAAATCTGAATATTCTCCGATGTGGGTGTTTTGGTTTTTTTTTTTTTAAAATGATATTTATTAAAATTTCAAAGAATACAAAAACATAAAATAAAAATACAAGAAAATACAAAATACAGAAAAAAGAATAAAGTTTTTAAGATATAACAAAAAAAATAAAAATAAAAGGAAATATACAAAATAGAAACAATTAAAAACACATCATTAGTTTTCCATAACATATCTTCCTTTCACTTTTTTCCCCGGACCTCCTCGTACCTCCCTTTTTTGTATTCCAGTTCAGTTTGTTAGTTCAGCAAATCCTTACCATTAAACTTTTACCCATTTATGAAACCTTTTTTCGTATCTCTTAAAGCATTACAGCTGGAAACCACTTAGTTTCTATCCAACATCCTTCTAAAATTCCTTAATTTTACAATATTTCTGTAAATAGTCTTTAAATTTCTTCCAGTCTTCTTTCACCGTCTCTTCTCCCTGGTCTCGGATTCTGCCAGTCGATGTGGGTGTTTTGCAAGCAAATGCAAATACAGTGGTGCCTTGCAAGACAAAATTAATCCGTTCCGCGAGTCTCTTCGTCTTGCGGTTTTTTCGTCTTGCGAAGCATGGCTATTAGTGGCTTAGCGGCTATTAACGGCTTAACGCCTATTAGCGGCTTAGCGGCTTTAAAAAAAAGGAAACAAACTCGCACGAACTTGCAAGACGTTTCGTCTTGCGAAGCAAGCCCCTAGGGAAATTCATCTTGCGGAACGACTCAAAAAACGGAAAACTCTTTCGTCTTGCGCGTTTTTCGTCTTGCGAGGCATTCGTCTTGCGGGGTACCACTGTATCCGGAATCCACCTCTCTAAAAATTATGGGACTGCTCTGGGAGAGGGATAGTGAACAGATGGAGTTTGTGTTTTTAACCCGGCTTCTTCCCCCGCCGTCGTCCAGTTTTCAATGCAGATGGACCTGATCCGCCAGCAACTCGAATTTGAAGCCCAGCACATCCGCACCCTCATGGAGGAGCGCTTTGGGACGACCGACGAAATGGTACAAAGAGCCCAGGTGAGGATTATAAAAATCCTAGAATTATAGAGTTGGATTAATTGAATGAATGAATGAATCTTCAGTTGCGTCCGCCATCGACCATAGCAATAAAACAACAATACAGTGGTACCTCGGGTTAAGTACTTAATTCGTTCCGGAGGTCCGTACTTAACCTGAAACTGTTCTTAACCTGAAGCACCACTTTAGCTAATGGGGCCTCCCGCTGCCGCCGCACGATTTCTGTTCTCATCCTGAAGCAAAGTTCTTAACCTGAAGCACTATTTCTGGGTTAGCGGAGTCTGTAACCTGAAGCGTATGTAACCCGAGGTACCACTGTACGATATACAAAGAATAGAAATAAAAAGTCAATTATATAAAATGCATTTTAGGGTTTTGAATCCATCGTCAAGTAGTGGATCTTATTCTGATTGCCCCAGCTAAAAACCTTGCCACCTTTGCTGTCACCTGCTCCTCTTGATCTGCCAAGGGAAAGGACACGGTGGCAGTGGCTGGGCAACCCGGAATGGACGATAAAAGAGGGGTGATAATCTCATTCCTCAAGTCTTTATAAAGAGGGCAAGCCAGAAGGGCATGTGCCACCGATTCAGGACTGCTGTCTCCGCAGGGATGTTTGTCGTGTGGAATCTGTTGGAATCGTCCCTCAAGAACAGCCAAGGGCAAGACATTCAATCTCGTGAGAGTAAACGCGCATCTATATTTTGGAATTGCTAGATTATGCAAATAGGGTGCCGGAGAGTCGAAATGGGAAGGTGGAAAACAGTCATGCCATGGGCAAAATGTCCTTATTGTGGCCAAGTTGTTCTGATGCTCAATATCATGTAAAGGTAAAAGGTAAAGGGACCCCTGACCATTGGTCCAGTCACGATGACTCTGGGGTTGCGGCGCTCATCACGCTTTATTGGCCGAGGGAGCCGGCGTACAGCTTCCGGGTCATGTGGCCAGCAGGACTAAGCCGCTTCTGGCGAACCAGAGCAGCACACGGAAACGCCGTTTACCTTCCCGCCGGAGCGGTACCTATTTATCTACTTGAACTTTGACGTGCTTTCGAACTGCTAGGTGGGCAGGAGCAGGGACCGAGCAACGGGAGCTCACCCCATCATTGCGGGGATTCGAACCGCCGACCTTCTGATCGGAAAGTCCTAGGCTCTGTGGTTTAACCCACAGCGCCACCCGCGTCCCTCCAATATCATTTAGGCGCTGGCAAATTAGACTGTTTGCTTTACTAAAACCCAAAGTGAGTAACTGTTGCGGGGATAAACCACAAGAGTGAAGTTTTTGATAAACCATTTTAGTCCAGGTGCTTTTGGGATCTTGCAGCGCTAGGGATATTAGATCAGGGGGATTTGAGTTAGGCAATATAGTGTTGGAAAGGACCCAGTCCAAACCCCTGCAATGCAGGAATCTTTCTCTCAGCGCAGGATTCGAACCCGCAGCCCTGAGATTCAGAGCCTCGTGCTCTGCTGACCCAACTATCAGGGCTTTGCTGTAGAATCACTGGACTATACTGAGCTGGAAAGAGGGGGTACTCCGGGGGGCATCTAGATGAACCCACCCCAAACTCAATGCAGGATGCGACCACGTCATCCTAAACAAGCTGTGTCAGTAGACCCTTAATCTTACGGTCATGGGTTCGAATCCCATGTTGCAGAGGGGTGAACTAAATGACCATTGTGTTCCCTTCCAATTCTACAGTTTTATATAGGGAGGAAGGATTGCAAGAGCCCTTTGTTGTTGTTGTTGTTTAGTCGTCTCCGACTCTTGGTGACCCCCTGGACCAGAGCACCCCAGGCACTCCTGTCTTCCACTGCCTCCCGCAGTTTGGTCAAACTCATGCTGGTAGCTTCGAGAACACTGTCCCACCATCTCATCCTCCGTCGTCCCCTTCTCCTTGCGCCCTCCATCTTTCCCAACATCAGGGTCTTTTCCAGGGAGTCTTCTCTTCTCATGAGGTGGCCAAAGTCTTGGAGCCTCAGCTTCAGGATCTGTCCATCTGTCCTTCCAGTGAGCACTCAGGGCTGATTTCCTTAAGAATGGAGAGGTTTGATCTTCTTGCAGTCCATGGGACTCTCAAGAGTCTCCTCCAGCACCAGAATTCAAAAGCATCAATTTTTCAGCGATCAGCCTTCTTTATGGTCCAGCTCTCACTTCCATACATCACTACTGGGAAAACCATGGCTTTAACTATACGGACCTTTGTTGGCAAGGTGATGTCTCTGCTTTTTAAGATGCTTTCTAGGTTTGCCATCGCCTTTCTCCCAAGGAGCAGGCGTCTTTTAGTTTCGTGGCTGCTGTCACCACCTGCAGTGATGATGGAGCCCAAGAAAGTAAAATCTCTCACTGCCTCCATTTCTTCCCCTTCTATTTGCCAGGAGGTGATGGGACCAGTGGGCAAGAGCCCTTACATATTATTAATATTATAATAATATTAATATTAAATCGTATAATAATAATATATAAAATTATTGTGATATCTTATTTTCTTCTATTATTGTGAACGGAAGCTGTTCCTAACAGTTTTTAACATTGTGTTTTAATATTGCCACCCACCCTGGGTTCATAACGGCCGAGTGGGCAGATGTGGTTTGAAGCAAACCTGCCAGTAAATAATACGACGTTTTACTCTCTTTTTTATTTTTGAAAAACACCATTCAGATCCGGGCGTCTCGGCTGGAGCAGATCGACAAAGAGGTGATTGAAGCTCAGGAAAAGGTCCAGCAATCGGAGCCACAGGTGAGGGGGCTTGGAGTAGGGGGTGTTTGTAGATCAGTGTTGACCCCAATATCCTTTTCACATGATCTGCTAGTAAGCCAGATGTCCTCCATTTTTCATGCAGCTGGTTCTTTCTGTTGCTGTTTAGTCGTTTAGTCATGTCCGCCTCTTCGTGACCCCCTGGACCAGAGCACGCCAGGCCCTCCTGTCTTCCACTGCCTCCCCCAGTTTGGTCAAACTCATGCTGGTCGCTTCGAGAACACTGTCCCACCATCTCGTCCTCTGTTGTCCCCTTATCCTTGTGCCCTCCATCTTTCCCAACATCAGGGTCTTTTCCAGGGAGTCTTCTCTTCTGATGAGGTGGCCAAAGTACTGGAGCCTCAGCTTCAGGATCTGTCCTTCCAGTGAGCACTCAGGGCTAATTTCCTTAAGAATGGATGCGTTTGATCTTCTTGCAGTCCATGGGACTCTCAAGAGTCTCCTCCAGCACCAGGTTCTTTCTACCTGACATTTGTCCCTGTCGAAATTCGGTTGGTTCGTTTTGGCCCAATTCTCCAACCCATTAAGGACATCTCGAGTCCTGATTCTGTCTTCTGTGACATTAGCGCCACCCGCAAATTGGACAAAGACCCCCTCAATTCCTTCATCCGAGTCACGACCCGGAAACTAGAACTAATCCAGAATGCGGCTGCCAGACTGGGGACTGGGACTGGCCGCCAAGACCACATAACACCGGTCTTGAAAGGCCTACATTGGCTCCCAGGACATTTCCGAGCACAATTCAAAGTGTTGGTGTTGACCCTGAAAGCCCTAAATGGCCCAGTAGACCTAAAGGAGCGTCTCCACCCCCATCGTCCAGCCCGGACACCTGGGTCCATCTCCAAGGGCCTCCTGGTGGTTCCCTCATTGTGAGAAGTGAGGTTGCAGGGAAGCAGGCAGAGGGCCTTCTCGGTGTTGGCACCTGCCCTGTGGAACACCCTCCCACCAGATGTCAAGGAAATAAACAACTACCTGACATTTAGAAGACATCTGAAGGCAGCCTTGTTTAGGGAAGTTTTTAATGTGTGACATTTTAATGTATTCTTAATCTTTGTTGGAAGCCGCCCAGAGTGGCTGGGGAAACCCAGCCAGATGGGCGGGGTATAAATAATAAATTATTATTATTATTATAAAGACGTTGAACAACAACAGGCCCAGGACAGAACCCTGCGGCACCCCTCTTGTCACTTTTTCCCAGGATGACGAGGAACCATGAATGAGTACTCTTCGGGTTCGGTCTGTCAACCAGCTACAAATCCACCTAACAGTTCCCTTGTCCAGCCCCCATGTTACCAGCTTCCTCGCAAGAATATCATGGGGGACTTTGTCAAAAGCCTTGCTGAAATCAAGATATACTACAGTACATCCATAGCATTCCCCTGATCCACCAAGCTTGTAACTCCATCAAAAAGAGGTCCGGAGGGTGGGAACACGAGAGCGGGGCCTTCTCTGCAGTGGCTCCCTGTTTGTCGGAATGCTCTCCCCAGGGAAGTTTAGGCGCTAGGCAAAAACGTTCCTTTTTAACCAGGCCTTTGGTTGATCCGATTTACATCCCTGTGCCCTTTTAAAATGTGGCTCTCTTGGGGGTGGGTATTATTGGGTTAAGGGACGCGGGTGGCGCTGTGGGCCACAGAGTCTAGGACTTGCTGATCAGAAGGTCGGCGGTTCAAATCCCCGCAATGACGGGGTGAGCTCCCGTTGCTCGGTCCCTGCTCCTGCCCACCTAGCAGTTCGAAAGCACGTCAAACTGCAAGTAGATAAATAGGTACCGCTCCGGCGGGAAGGTAAACGGCATTTCCGTGCGCTGCTCTGGTTTGCCAGAAGCGGCTTACTCCTGCTGGCCACATGACCCGGAAGCTGTATGCCGGCTCCCTCGGCCAGTAAAGCGAGATGAGCGCCGCAACCCCAGAGTCGTCCGCAACTGGACCTAATGGTCAGGGGTCCCTTTACCTTTTAAGGTAGTCTCTATAGGAGTATATTGTATTTTAAAAGGGGGTTTCAGAGTTTTTAGGGGTTTTTGAATGTCTTACGTAGATTTTTCAATTCCAATGTTCTGTATGGGACGACGACAATAAAGATATCGTATTGTATCGACGGAGGAGGGTGGCAGCTGGGTGTCCTGGCCCCCTCCCAAAAAAATCCTGGGTACACCCACGACCCCTGCACCTTCCCAGTTCATGATCAGGATCAGACCCGCCCCAAAACTGGTCCGTCGCAGAAGGATGTGGTGTGAGTCTCATCGCAACCCTTTTCCTCTTCCTACCCCTTGTCGTCCCGACTCCCCAGGCAGAGATTTGGAGCCAGTGATGCTAAGCCGTCACGGCAGCCAGGCGGAGATGTCCACTCGCCAGAACGAACGCTGTGACAGCCTCAGTTTGTCCCGCAGAGAATGTCAGCAGACCTTCTGCTGCCTGCGAATTCGAATCCTCGTATCTGCAGGACAGACAGATTTTAAAAATGAGCCTTTTCCTGTAGCGACTAGGTTAGACAGTGCCGTATTTACCGTATTTTTCACTCTTTAAGATGCACCAGACCACAAGACGCACCTAGTTTTTGGAGGAGGAAAACAAGAAAAAAAATATTCTGAATCTCAGAAGCCAGAAGAGCAAGAGGGATCGCTGAGCAGCGAAAGCAGCAATCCCTCTTGCTGTTCTGGCTTCTGGGATAGCTGCGCAGCCTGCATTCGCTCCATAAGACGCACACACATTTCCCCTTACTTTTTAGGAGGGGAAAAGTGAGTCTTATAGCGCAAAAAATACGGTACTTAACCCAAGGTACCACTGTACGTATAAGCTAAACAAGCTATAGCTTAGGGCCCCACTCTTTTGGGGGCCCGCCAAAAAACTGAAGGGGGATGTACATTTCCAAAATAGAAGATCAAAAACAAATAAAATAAAAGCCTATATATAGAAAGGAGCAAACCGGTGATATTTTAGGGAGCAGGCAAGCATTAATGGAGCCTACACAACACAAAACGCTGTTGCTGGATGTAGGTTTTATTTTATTTGTGTTTTTATCTTTATTGGGGAACTGGGCCAAAGCAAACCAAATGAGTTTTGACAGGAACAAATGTCAATTTATGAACTTAAGGAGACAGAACCAGCTGCGTGAAAAACGGGGGACAGCAGGCCCACTAGCAGAAATGTACATCCAGGTTGTTTTTGTCCTTTAAATTTTTTGGGGGCCCTAAGCTATAGCTTGTTTTGTTGTTGTTGTTTAGTCGTTTAGTCGTGTCCGCCTCTTCGTGCCCCCCTGGACCAGAGCACGCCAGGCCCTCCTGTCTTCCACTGCCTCCCGCAGTTTGGTCAAACTCATGCTGGTAGCTTCAAGAACACTATCCAACCATCTCGTCCTCTGTCGTCCCCTTCTCCTTCTGCCCTCCATCTTTCCCAACATCAGGGTCTTTCCCAGGGAGTCTTCTCTTCTCATGAGGGGGCCAAAGTCCTGGAGCCTCAGCTTCAGGATCTGTCCTTCCAGTGAGCACTCAGGGCTGATTTCCTTCCGAATGGAGAGGTTGGATCTTCTTGCAGTCCATGGGACTCTCCAGAGTCTCCTCCAGCACCAGAATTCAAAAGCATCCATTCTTCGGCGATCAGCCTTCTTTGTGGTCCAGCTCTCTAGCTTGTTTAGCTTATAGTAAATCTGGCACTGGAGGGGTGTTTAAAAGGAGAGGTTTTTTTTTTCATTTTTGCAACCCTATTTTTCCTGTCCTTGTGAGCATCCCTCGACGGGCAAACGCCAGGGCCGTGATTTGGTCCTGCGCCTCAGACAGAATAAGGATGGTTTTGTGCCTCGTTCCAGGGACCAAACCGCTTGTTCTTCTCCTTTCCCCGTTCTCTTTCCCCAATGAGGAAGAAAAGAAAGCTTATTTTTTTTGTTCAAGCGTCCCTGTGGAACAGGGAGGCAGTTGCCGTGGTGACGAGAAGTAGGTCAGCAAAGCAGGGGGGGGGGGCGGGCAAGCTGGCCTGATGGCCGCAACCAGATTTGGCACAGCTGCCAACTTCTGTGTGTAAATGGGAGAAAGGTTTGGCTGGCGATAGCTTCCTTCTCCCGACGATCTGGTGCCACCAAAATTTGCCGGGACGCAAGCCAGGTCTGTGTGGCTTTGGGTATCCTAACCTCACCCCAAAATTTATTTATTGGTGTGCGCTTTCCTTTTGGCAAATCGGAGCAAAGAGTAAAATGGAATAAATTAAGGATTAAGGGGGTGGAGGTGCCGTGGCCCTTCTCTCCAGGCGCAAGCAAGATTCTAGTCCTTATTGTTCTCAGTTTAAAAATGGGAATTGTGGATTGTGAAGAGGTCATCCCCTAATTCAGTGGTACCTCGGGTTACATACGCTTTAGGTTACAGACTCCACTAACCCAGAAATTGTGCTTCAGGTTAAGAACTTTGCCTCAGGATGAGAACAGAAATCGTGCTCCGGCAGTAGCGGGAGGCCCATTAGCTAAAGTGGTCCTTCAGATTAAGAACAGAATATAATAATAACAATTATTTACACCCCGCCCATCTGGCTGGGTTTCCCCAGCCACTCTGGGCAGCTCCCAACAGAACATTAAAAACAGAATAAAACTTCAAACATTTAAAACTTCCCTAAACAGGGCTGCCTTCAGACGTCTTCTACAAGTCAGAGAGATGTTTATTTCCTTGACATCTGAAGGGAGGGTGCCACCACCGAGAAGGCCCTCTGCCTGGTTCCCTGCAGCCTCGCTTCTCGCAGGGAGGGAACCGCCAGGAGGCCCTCAGAGCTGGACCTCAGTGTCAGGGTTGCCAGTGAAAATGTTCCCTTTTTTATTGACATATTCAATGTTTTTTTCCTTAGCATACACCTAAACATTTTGTGAATCTAACAGGAGAAGAAACGAAAGAGATTCAAAATTTTTAGTTTCTTCTCTGGCACAGAGAATTGTCGGTTGTGTTGCTACCCCCGATTATGGCCTTTCGTCCATTCTCTGTATTTATTGCCCCCCAATTTGAACTATAAAATGGTGAGTTTCTTGTGTCAAAATGAGAGTACCCCTAAACGTTTTTTTGGGGGGGGAAAGCACTGGATATATTTATTTACAGTACTGCATTTCTATGCCATAATGAGGCACACATTTTATCCTTCTAGGCTGGCTCCAGGTTGATTTTTTATTATCAACCTGTATACAAATGTATAATAATAATAATAATAATAATAATAATAATAATAATAATAATAATTGTATACAGCCCTTCATCCATAGATCCCACAGCCGTCCACAACATAAAATTGCAACATAACTGATGGATCAATCAATTGCATTTATTATTATTGATAGTCTTTTTAAAATTTATATCCCGTCTTCCGGGGAGCTCAAGGTGGCGTATGTGGCTCACCTCCTCTCTGTCTTGTTTTGGCTGCTTACGACAACCCTGTGAGGTAGGCGAGGCTGGTCCAAAAACCACCCCGGTTGCTGAAGTGGGAATTCGAACCCTGGTCTCCTGGAGTCCCAGTCCCTCTGGGGATTTCTCTGCCAGCATGGTTAATAATAATAATAATAATAATAATTTATTATTTATACCCCACCCATCTGGCTGGGCTTCCCCAGCCACTCTGGGCAGCTTCCAAAAAAATATTAAAATACTCTAATACATCAAACATTAAAAGCTTCCCTAAAGAGGGCTGCCTTCAGATGTCTTCTGAAAGTCTGGTAGTTGTTCTCTTTGACATCTGGTGGGAGGGCGTTCCACAGGACGGGTGCCACCACCGAGAAGGCCCTCTGCCTGGTTCCCTGTAACTTGGCTTCTCGCAGGGAAGGAACCGCCACAAGGCCCTCGATGCTGGACCTCAGTGTCTGGGCAGAACGATGGGGGTGGAGACGCTCCTTCAGATATACTGGACCGAGGCCACTTAAGGCTTTAAAGGTCAGCACCAACACTTTGAATTGTGCTTGGAAACGTACTGGGAGCCAACGTAGATCGCTCAGGACCGGAGGTATATGGTCTCAGTGGCCGCTCCCAGTCACCAGTCTGGCTGCCGCGTTCTGGATTAGTTGTAGTTTCCTGGTCACCTTCAAAGGTAGCCCCACGTAGAGCGCATGGCAGTAGTCCAAGCGGGAGATAACCAGAGCATGCACCACTCTGGCCAGACAATCTGTGGGCAGGGAGGGTCTCATCCTGCATACCAGATGGAGCTGGTAGACAGCTGCCCTGGACACGGATTTGACCTGTGCCTCCATGGACAGCTGTGAGTCCAAAATGACTCCCAGGCTGCGCACCTGGTCCTTCAGGGGCACAGTTGCCCCATTCAGGACCAGGGAATCCTCCACACCTGCCCGCCTCCTGTCCCCCCAAAACAGGACTTCTGTCTTGTCAGGATTCAACCTTAATCTGTTAGCCGCCATCCATCCTCCAACTGCCTCCAGGCACTCACACAGGACCTTCACCACCTTCACTGGTTCTGATTTGAAAGAGAGATAGAGCTGGGTATCATCTGCATACTGATGGACACCCTGTCCAAACCTCCTGATGATCTCTCCCAGCGGCTACATGTAGATGTTGAAAAGCATGGGGGAGAGGACAGAACCCTGAGGCACCCCACAAGTGAGAGCCCAGGGGTTTGAACACTCATCCTGGCAGATTTGGTTTAAGAAAAGAAAACTATTATTTCAAATATTTTTCCTTTCCCCCCAGCTCTGCGGGAAACTCTCCAGCCTGGAAGAGGATGGGAGCCTTGAGATTCCAACCCACCCTGAAGATGGGAGTCAGCAGGGCAACAAAGTAAGTTGGTTTTACAGTGGTGCCTTGGTTCTCAAACGCATAGCTGTCAACTTACAGATTTGAAAATAAGGGACCAGCAGCCAAAATAAGGGATTTTCCAAGCACAGGTATGTTCAACTTCTGAGCCCCTCCGAGCCAAAGGCAGAAAGCCCAGCCAGCAGCCAAACGAAGCCTCAAGCGGTGGTTCCCACAGCGCAGCAACCCGGCAAAGGGGACGCAGCAAGGAAAACCACCGTCACCTCTCTGCTGGGAAGCGCTGAGCAAAGGCGAGTCCCCAGGCAAGGCGGCTGATCTGATCGGCACAAGGCGTGCAAGCTCCACCCCCCAGTCGTTCTTAGACTCCTTATTGGGTGAGCAACGCAGCCAAGCAACACAGCTGGAGCCTCCCTCCTCCCTGGCCGGCAGGGAGGGAGGGAGAGGAGCTGCTTCCTTTGAAACCCGGGAAATTTAAGGGACATCATCAGTAAGGGACAGCAGCAGGACACAGTGCTGGGATAAGGGGCTTTCCCGCCAAATAAGGGACAGTTGACAGCTATGCTCAAACGCCTTGGTTCTCCAACAACTTAGAACCCAAACACTACAAACCCAGAAATAAGCTCTATTACAGCTTCATCGTTTATTTTTGTTTCCTTATCTCTGTACTGTGTTCTAACATACTTACATCCTTTTCTTTATATAATATATTTCCTCCATTTTTTCCCTTTTCCATTTTGTGAAAATTTAATCGGGGCACATCCAAGTACAGTGGTACCTTGGCTCTCAAACTTAATCCATCCCGGAAGTCCGTTCCAAAACCGAGGCATGTTTTCCCATAGAAAGTCTTGCAAAACGGATTAATCCGTTCCAGACTTTTAAAAACAACCCCTAAAACAGCAATTGAAAATGAACTTTACTCTCTAACGAGACCGTTGATCCATAAAACGAAAGCAATAACCAATGGACTGTACTATAAAATAAATAAGACAGTATTGTAGATGATGAAAATTAAAATTATTATTTTTTCTTACTTGCTCTGATGATAGTCATTGTTTGGATGGGGGGCTTTTATCCATTTCCACAGTCACACCATCAATCAATCAATCAATCAATCAGCTGAACTGGCTTCCACACAAAAACGAACGAACCGAAAAAGCCTCAAAAACGCAAAATAAAGAGCAAAACCAAAAGCGCCAAATACAGTGATACCTTGGTTCTCGAACTTAATCCGTTCCGGAAGTCCGTTTGACTTTGAAATGTTCAAAAACCAGAACATTTATTTCTGGGTTTTCAGTGTTTGAGAACCAAGGTACCCCTGTATTACTTTGGGAACCATATTTGCACCGATAATTTTTAAAACAATCCCATTTGTTTCTTTAAAAAAATATATATTGTTTTTTCCAAAAAAATTAAAACAAACATATAAACCAACAAACAAAAATCTCAACAGTATTTAAACCAAACTTTGTATCATTGTAAAGTGACTTCCTCGTATCCCCCCGGTTGAATTTCAGTGTATAACATTTTAACGCATTTCCAAAACCTAAATTCTTAAAAAATTAACCACTTAACATCTTTCTTTCTTTCCAGTTCGGCATTAAACATATTAATTCATCACATTACATATCGAAATCCTAAGCCTATCTGGTATTTGCAAGCTTTTCCCATTAATTTAATTAAATAGTCTTTAAACATTTTTTCCGATTCATTCTCCATCGTTCCCCAATACTCTTTTACAGCTTTGACATGAGCACCCCCTGGTGGCTACCTTTGAGACCTGCACCTGATTCTCCCTTTTTTGCAGGTGGAGGTGGTATTTTGGCTCCTTTCCATGCTGGCCACCCGGGACAAGGAGGACATGTCCCGAACCCTGCTAGCGATGTCCAGCTCCCAGGAAAGCTGTCTGGCCATGCGGAAGTCCGGCTGCCTGCCCCTGCTCGTCCAGATTCTCCATGACACGGACCGGGAGCCAGGGGCCCCTGAGAGCCCCGGAGCCGCCGGGAAGGACTGTCGCATGCGGGCAAACGCCGCCCTCCACAACATCGTCTTCTCGCAGCCCGACGAAGGGCAGGCCAAGAAGGAGATGCGAGTCCTACACGTTCTGGAGCAGATCCGCTCCTACTCGGAGACCTGCTGGGACTGGCTGAAGGCACACGGAAAGGAGGGAGCAAAGACCCCCGAGAGGGGAGCAGGTAAAACTAGTTGGGTCTTGCAAATCCCCTTCTCGCTCTCTAGGTAAAGGTCATTTTTACTAAGTACAGCCAAGGGATGCAGCTGGCGCTGTGGGTTAAACCACAGAGCCTAGGGCTTGCCGATCAGAAGGTCGGCGGTTCGAATCCCCGCAATGACGGGGTGAGCTCCTGTTGCTCGGTCCCTGCTCCTGCCAACCTAGCAGTTCGAAAGCACGTCAAAGTGCAAGTAGATAAATAGGTACCGCTCCGGCAGGAAGGTAAACGGCGTTTCCGTGCGCTGCTCTGGTTTGCCAGAAGTGGCTTAGTCCTGCTGGCCACATGACCCGGAAGCTGGACGCCGGCTCCCTCGGACAGTAAAGCAAGATGAGCGCCGCAACCCCAGAGTCGGCCACGACTGGACCTAATGGTCAGGGGTCCCTTTACCTTTACCTAAGTCCAGCCAAAGGTGACTACGGGGTTGCGGTGCTCATCTCGCTTCCAGGCCGGTTGTCCGCAGACAGCTTTCCGGGTCACGTGGCCAGCAGGACTAAACCGCTTCTGGCGCATGACGGAAACCAGAGCGCATGGAAACGCCGTTCACCTTCCCGCCAAAGCGGTACCTATTTATCTACTTGCGCTGGTGTGCTTTCGAACTGCTAGGTTGGCAGGAGCTGGGACGGTGCAATGGGAGCTCACTCCGTCGCGGGGATTCGAACCACCGACCTTCTGATCGGCAAGCCCAAGAGGCTCAGTGGTTTAGACCACTGTGCTCATCAGGGGACACCCGCCGGCCCGAGCTCTATAGCGCCACCATGGCAGCAGGCCAGAAAGGGTACTGCACAGAGGTTACTTCCAGGGGCCTGAAGTTCCTGTGCAGATTGTATTTTTGCTCATAAAGAGTTCGTCCTGGAGAGCTTCTGCCGGCCTGTGACTTAGGCGGAGTGGCTGTTTGTCTCCGTAGAAAGCGGCTTCCCTTTAACAGCAAGGACTGGAATCTTACTTGATCTTTAGAGAGGATGTAGCTTAGGGGGACGCGGGTGGCGCTGTGGGTTAAACCACAGAGCCTAGGACTTGCTGATCAGAAGGTCGGTGGTTCGAATCCCCGCGACGTGGTGAGCTCCCGTTGCTCGGTCCCTGCTCCTGCCCACCTAGCAGTTCAAAAGCAGTTCAAAAGTAGATAAATAGGTACCGCTCCGGCCGGAAGGTAAACGGTGTTTCCGTGCACTGCTCTGGTTCGCCAGAAGCAGCTTAGTCCTGCTGGCCACATGACCTGGAAGCTGTACGCCGGCTCCCTCGGCCAATAAAGCGAGATGAGCGCCGCAACCCCAGAGTTGGCCACGACTGGACCTAACGGTCAGCGGTCCCTTTACCCTTTACCTTTAGCTTAGGGGGAGAGCATCTGCTTGGTGTGCAAGAAGGTTCAGGAGAGCATCTTCTGCCCTAAACCCTGGAGGGCCTCTGCCAGTCAGTTCTGAACGACATGGCCTGACTCTGCTCCATAAGCAATCCCTAGGTCCCTTCAACTGGGTCTCAAGGCAGAGTCCACCACTGAGAGAGGTTAACTTTTGCAGAGTTGCCCTTCTGAGCTCAACTATCTATAAATACATCTCATATCCATTTTTTTAAAAAATCACTTTTCTTGATTTTCCAATAAAAACAACCAACCAACATATCCACAATTAAAAACAATAAACTAAAATTTTTAAACACGACTAAATAACAGTCCGAATTGTTAATTATTAATTTTTCCGGGCTCCCCATAGTCTGGACCTCTGAAGAATATCTCCAGTATCATCATCTTGCCTCTTCTCGTTGTTTTCATATTTTCCGCATTTCTCAACGCTTTGTCATATATGTTTATCTTGGCAGGGCCCGTCCCTATCGAGCCGCAAATCTGCCAAGCCACGTGTGCTATCATGAAACTCTCCTTCGACGAAGACTATCGCCGGGCGATGAACGAGTTAGGTAAGTGGAAATTAAGTTTCTATCGTTCTCCTTCCCTCCCACAAAATATGACGCCGTAGAATCCCTTGTCTGTGACTGTTGTTGTTGTTTAGTCGTTTAGTCGTGTCCGACTCTTCGTGACCCCCTGGACCAGAGCACGCCAGGCACTCCTGTCTTCCACTGCCTCCCGCAGTTTGGTCAGACTCATGTTTGTAGCTTCGAGAACACTGTCCCACCATCTCGTCTTCTGTCGTCCCCTTCTCCTTGTGCCCTCCATCTTTCCCAGCATCAGGGTCTTTTCCAGGGAGTCTTCTCTTCTCCTGAGGTGGCCAAAGTCTTGGAGCCTCAGCTTCAGGATCTGTCCTTCCAGTGAGCACTCAGGGCTGATTTCCTTCCAAATGGAGAGGTTGGATCTTCTTGCAGTCCATGGGACCCTCAAGAGTCTCCTCCAGCACCAGAATTCAAAAGCATCCATTCTTCGGCCATCAGCCTTCTTTATGGTCCAGCTCTCACTTCCATACATAACTCCTGGGAAAACCATAGCTTTAACTAGATGGACCTTTGTCAGCAAGGTGATGTCTCTGCTTTTTAAGATGCTGTCTAGGTTTGTCATCGCTTTTCGCCCAAGAAGCAGGCGTCTTTTAATTTCGTAGCTGCTGTCACCATCTGCAGTGATCATGGAGCCCAAGAAAGTCAAATCTCTCACTGCCTCCATTTCTTCCCCTTCTATTTGCCAGGAGGTGATGGGACCAGTGGCCATGATCTTCATTTATTTGATGTTGAGCTTCAAACGATATTTTGCGCTCTCCTCTTTCACCCTCATTAAAAGATTCTTTAATTCCTCCTCACTTTCTGCCATCAAGGTTGTGTCATCTGCATATCTGAGTTTGTGTCTGTGACTATCTAGCCATAATTACTTTCTGCATAAAATAAATAAAATGTGGCCGATATCTTCCCCGTCCTGCTTGTCTCTCGCTCTCTGTCCCCTCTCCCTGCTTTTCTCGGATTCCTGCCTTGTCAGGGGTTGAGCTAGATGCCCTTTGGGGTTCCCTTCACTCTACAATTCCACAGCTCTGTTCTTCTTTTTTTAAAAAAAAAAAAAAATATTTATGCTTTTCAGGTTTATACCTTTCGCTAATTTTACAGTCATTCTACCATTTCCAACCTTGACTTCCTTCCCCCTCTTCCCGCGCTGTTCCTTAAATTCATTTTTAATATCTTCTGCATATCCAAATTAACTTAATTTGCTCGTTTATTCATCTAAATATATACCCTTATAAAACTGCGGGTCATTACAATAACCCGGCCAATGTTCTTATCTGCTTACAATTTATCTCTAAATATTCAACAGAACATTTCCATTCTTTTATTTTTTAAAAAGTTTATCTTGATTTCTTATTCTTCTGGTAAGTTTCACGAATTTCTGCGTAGCCCTAAGCTAGGTTTCTGTATCCGTTCTTCCTTTGCTGGGACTTGCTTCTGGTTTCCATTTTTGGGGGAGTAACATTCTTGCACGTTCGCAACCTGCAGTGGTGCCGGTTGCGATTTGGTCTTCTGTGCATGCGCAAAGCGCAATTTAGCACTTCTGCGCATACGCGACCGCCGAAACCCGGAAGTAACCCGTTCCAGTACTTCCGGGTTTCGACGGTCCGAAACCCGAAAAAACGCAACCTGAAGCATCTGTAACCTGAGGTATGACTGTATATTACTGAAATATACTCGGAGTCGAGAGTGGATTTCATGCTCTTTATTCAGCTCATAGTGGTGAGGAGGAATGGAAGTTCCCCCACAATATCTACTTTATGTACACTATTTACACAATGGGCTGCATGTGATTGGCTAATTCCGGGATTCTCCTGTAGGCCAATCAGGTTGTGGATTCACTTCCACCTGGAGCTGGATTGGGTGGCTCCTGCGGACCAATCAGACTGCTGCATTGTTCTAGGACCAATCAAACTGCTGCATTCTGAATCCTATTGTTCTAGGACCAATCAGACTGCTGCACTCTGTATCCTATTGTTCTAGGACCAATCAGACTGCTGCATTCTGGATCCTATTGTTCTAGGACCAATCAGACTGCTGCATTCTGGATCCTATTGTTTTAGGACCAATCAGACTGCTGCATTCTGGATCCTATTGTTCTAGGACCAATCAGACTGCTGCATTCTGAATCCTATTGTTCTAGGACCAATCAGACGGCTGCATTCTGGATCCTATTGTTCTAGGACCAATCAGACGGCTGCATTCTGGATCCTATTGTTCTAGGACCAATCAGATGGCTGCATTCTGGATCCTATTGTTCTAGGACCAATCAGACTGCTGCATTCTGGATCCTATTGTTTTAGGACCAATCAGACTGCTGCATTTTGGATCCTATTCAACTCAGTACATAACAATTACAAAATGGAAAACAAATAAAAATGGCATTAAGAGAGAGAGAAAGAGATGCTCTTTAATACGTCTGGGGTCAAACACAGAAGCCTCCCTTTCCTTCTTCCTAGGCGGTTTGCAGGCCGTTGCCGAACTGTTGCACGTGGACTACGAAATGCACCGAATGACCAGCGATCCCCTCAATCTGGCCCTGCGGCGTTACACCGGCATGGCTCTGACGAACCTCACGTTTGGGGACGTTGTCAACAAGGTACTGTGGGGGGTGGGAATGCGCTTCGGCTGAGATTTTGGCATCGCTTGGCCCACGGAATCCCAAAGCGGAGAAACGTCTGAGGCTTGAAGGCACTAAAAGAAAGTACCGTATTTTTCGCTCTATAAGACGCACCGGACCATAGGAGCGGGAGAACGGGGGGCGGGAATTCTCCCCCTCTCTGCTCAGCGCCCCTTCAGCGAAGCCCCTTCCATTTCTCCTTCCGCTTCGCTGAAGGGGCGCTGCACAGAGAGGGAAAACTGTGCAGTGCCTCTCCAGCGAAGCGAAGCCTAGAGACCAATAGGTAACTTTCTGTGTTTCCGCTTAATAAGTAACTTTGTGTTTCCGCTTTAGGGTCTCTTTGCTTTGATCTATTTACAATACAAGGAAGGCAGACTTCCTGGTTGTACCTTCCCCGCTCCGTACCAAATTAGACTTTTTCTTTTAGGTCCAATTTAATCCTACTCACGGGTAGTTGTTTTCAAAGTCCGATTATCCCAGGAAAAAGGCAGCGCTCTCCGGTAACAGCTTCGCGGCTTCGCTCCACGGAAGAAGCAATTTGCTCACAGCACCACGCCACCCCCGCTCCACTCCGGAGCCCGTTGCCGAGCTCCTTTAACAGTTGGGGGGGCGCAAACGGTGCCCGCTGAGTCCCACGGTCACAGGCTTCACCCGCCTGTGATTTTTTTTGGGGTCCCCGCTGCGCCGTAGCGGCAGGACCCAGATTCCGTAGAGCCGGTTCCCTCCAAGTTAGAGAGAAGCGGCCATTACCGATGGCGCCACCCCGGAAGTCCCCGGTGTGCACTGACCCCTCTTGCTCTCCAGGCTTCAGACGGCTATCCGCAAGCCTTCGGAGCGCAGCGGGAACTCCAGGGGCTTCAGCGAAAGCAATGCGAAGCCTCCGGAGCGTGGGGGGAGCGCTCCCTCTGTACTTCGGAGGCTTCGCGTTGCTATCGCTGAAGCCAAGGAGCCTGCATTCGCTCTATAGGACACACACACATTTCCCCTTCATTTTTGGAGGGGGAAAAGTGTGTCCTATAGAGTGAAAAATACAGTAACATGCGGGGGAAAGTCCAGGCACCTGCAACCGGTTCAGGGGGAAGGCTGAGTGCGAGCAAAGCATCTATAGGGGTTCCGTGGAGCAGCACCGGAGCTGTAGGTCCCTATCGGACTTTGAAAACATAACAATCATCATAATGTATTCTTTATACCCCCCGTCCATCTGCCTGGACCTCCCCAGCCACTCTGGGCGGCTCCCAAAAGAATATTAAAAACACGATAAAATGTCAAACGTTAAAAACTTCCCTAAACAGGGCTGCCTTCAGATGTCTTCTGAAAGTCTGGTAGTTGTTGTTCTCTTTGACATCTGGTGGGAGGGCGTTCCACAGGGCAGGCGCCACCACCAAGAAGGCCCTCTGCCCGGTTCCCTGTAACTTGGCTTCTCGCAGTGAGGGAACCACCAGAAGACCCTCAGAGCTGGACCTCAGTGTCTGGGCTGAACGGTGGGGGTGGAGACGCTCCTTCAGGGATACTGGGCCATTTAGGGCTTTCAAGGTCAGCACCAACACCTTGAATTGTGCTCGGAAACGTCCTGGGAGCCAACGTAGATCTTTCAGGACCGGTGTTATGTGGTCTCAGCGGCCGCTCCCAGTCCGCAGTCTAGCTGCCACATTCTGGATTAGTTGTATTTTCCAGGTCACCTTCAAAGGTAGCCCCATGTAGAGCGCATGGCTGTAGTCCAAGCGGGAGATAACCAGAGCATGCACCACTCTGGTGAGACAATGCACAGGCAGGCAGGGTCTCATCCTGCGTACCAGATGGAGCTGGTAAACAGCTGCCCTGGACACAGAATGGACCTGCGCCTCCATGGACAGCTGTGAGTCCAGAATGACCGAGAGTCCCATATGGCCTCGGCGGCTGCTCCCAGTCCCCAGTCTAGCTGCCGCATTGTGGATTAGTTGTATTTTCCAGGTCACCTTCAAAGGTAGCCCCATGTAGAGCGCATGGCAGTAGTCCAAGCGGGAGATAACCAGAGCATGCACCACTCTGGTGAGACAATGCACAGGCAGGCAGGGTCTCATCCTGCGTACCAGATGGAGCTGGTAAACAGCTGCCCTGGACACAGAATGGACCTGCGCCTCCATGGACAGCTGTGAGTCCAGAATGACCGAGAGTCCCATATGGCCTCGGCGGCTGCTCCCAGTCCCCAGTCTAGCTGCCGCATTGTGGATTAGTTGTAGTTTCTGGGATACCTTCAAAGGCAGCCCCACGGAGAGCGCATGGCAGTAGTCCAAGCAGGAGATAACCAGAGCATGCACCACTCTGGAGAGACAGTCTGTGGGCAGGGAGGGTCTCATCCTGCATACCAGATTAACCGTCACTGTTTTGAATTTATGATTTTCTGCAGTCAGTCCAGCAAACCACTGAACGTTGCTTTCTTATATGTGGGGTAGGGGAGCACTGGGGATGAGTTTGTGGAAGCAAAGGGGAGCACCCCAAAAAATGCTGGGGAGACACCAGTCCAGTGTTTATGGGCGCATTGCGCTTTGGAGGCGAAATGCAGAAATGAGGAGCATTTGAAGGCAAAGGGGCGAGCTGGTTTTGAAGGGGGACCACAGCAGTTTCTCAGATGATGACCCTTCTCCCCACCTCTCCTCCCTCGTTTCTCATTTCCCCCCACCCAGGCGACGTTGTGCTCGCGGCAGAGATGTATGCAGGCCATTGTGGCGCAGTTGGCGTCTGAAAGCGAAGAGCTCCACCAGGTAAGGATAGGTCAAAGGCGGGGGGGGGAGGGTGTGAGCTGCGTCTGCCCACAGCAAGCTTCCCGAGCCGACTTCCACACAGTTCTGTGCAGACTTCCACAGCAGACTTCCACACGCTTCCACAAAAGACTTCCACACGTCCTCAGACTTCGGAAGAAGACTTCCACACTCCCGTAGACTTCCACATACTTCCACACACTTTGGCAGAAGACTTCCACATACTTCCACACACTTTGGCAGAAGACTTCCACATACTTCCACACACTTTGGCAGAAGCCTCCCACATACTTCCACACACTTTGGCAGAAGACTTCCACATACTTTGGCAGAAGACTTCTACATACTTCCACACACTTTGGTAGAAGACGTCCACATACTTCCACACACTTTGGCAGAAGACTTCCACATACTTCCACACACTTTGGCAGAAGACTTCCACATACTTCCACACACTTTGGCAGAAGACTTCCACATACTTCCACACACTTTGGCAGAAGACTTCCACATACTTCCACACACTTTGGCAGAAGACTTCCACATACTTCCACACACTTTGGCAGAAGACTTCCACATACTTCCACACACTTTGGCAGAAGACTTCCACATACTTCCACACACTTCCACAAAAGACTTCCACACTTCCTCAGACTTCGGAAGAAGACTTCCACACTTCCGCAGCAGACTTCCACACACTTCCTCACCAACCTGGCACCCCTCTCCAGATGCATTGGGCCGATGTGCAGGGTTGTCACAATGAGGAATGAGTGTATCCATCCATTTCACTTCCTCTCCATTTTTGTCCCCTCCCCCCTCTACTCACCTTCAGTTAAGTTCTCCACATTCCCACATTGGTTTGTAAAAATTACCAAAAAAAAAATGGAGGGGGGCAGACACCTGTGGACATTTGTAGACATTTTAGCATGTATTTCCCCCGATTTATATTATTTATTTATCGCACAAGATTTCTATGTCGCCCAGATGCAAAGGCAAAACGACGACACAAAGAATAAAGCGGTAAAATTATCAGCAAAAAAACCCAACTGAAAACCACCACTGAAAACCTTTTTTTAAATAAAAAAAAATGGTAACCTAAAAACCAAATTAAAACACATTCTATATAACTGGATAGGCTTCTCCGAATGAAGATGTTTTAGCAGGCACCGAAAAGAGCGCAGGGAAGCCTGCTGTCCATTGGCAGGGAGTTCCATAGTTTAGTCCTGGATCAGCAAATCCCTCTGAGTTTAGCCAAGTCACACGCACACACAGCAGCCTTCTAAAGCCGCTGGCTACCGTCATTTGAACTCTGTGCTCTTCCGAGATCAGTAATCAGCTTCCCTCCGGATCCTCTTCTTCTTCCTCCTCTCAGGTGGTCTCCAGCATCCTCCGCAACCTCTCCTGGCGGGCCGACATGAATAGCAAGAAGGTGTTGAGGGAAGTTGGCAGTGTCACGGGTCTGATGCAGTGTGCCCTGCGGGCCAACAAGGTGAGCCGGGGAGCAGCTAATAATTATTATTATTTATACCCCACCCATCTGGCTGGGTTTCCCCAGCCACTCTGGGCTGCTTCCGACAGGATAATTAAAAACACAGTAAAAGATCAAACATTAAAAGCTTCCCCAAACAGGACTGCCTTCAGATGTCTTCTAAAAGTCAGACAGTTGTTTATTTCCTTGACATCTGAAGGGAGGGTGCCACCACCGAGAAGGCCCTCTGCCTGGTTCCCTGTAACCTCGCTTCTCGCAGGGAGGGAACCGCCAGAAGGCCTTCGGAGCTGGACCCCGGTGTCCGGGGCGGAGACGCTCCTTCAGGTCTACTGGGCCGTTTAGGGCTTTCAAGGTCAGCACCAACACTTTGAATTGTGCTCAGAAACATCCTGGGAGCCAATGTAGGTCTTTCAGGACTGGTGTTATGTGGTCTCAGCAGTCCGTTGCTTGCCCATGGTGGAAGCTCGTTGGGGCAAATGTGGCAATGGCCTTCCACTCTCTCGGACAACCTGCAGCCAATCGGAAGCCGCGCTTTGGTTTCCGAACGTTTTGGAAGACGAACGGACTTCGAGAACGGATTCTGTCCGACTTCCGAGGTTACCACTCCAAAGGTCTCAGGGCGGTTCACAGCTCCCAAGATCCTCTGGGAGAGAAGCCCACAGTTGATTTAAAGCGGTCTCATAGTGCTCCAAGGGACACGGGTGGCGCTGTGGGTTAAACCACAGAGCCTGGGACTTGCCGATCAGAAGGTCGGCGGTTCGAATCCCCACAATGACGGGTGAGCTCCCGTTGCTCGGTCCCTGCTCCTGCCAACCTAGCAGTTCGAAAACACCTCAAAGTGCAAGTAGATAAATAGGTACCGCTCCGGCGGGAAGGTAAACAGCGTTTCTGTGCGCTGCTCTGGTTTGCCAGAAGCGGCTTAGTCCTGCTGGCCACATGACCCGGAAGCTGAATGCCGGCTCCCTCGGCCAATAAAGCGAGATGAGCGCCGCAACCCCAGAGTCGGCCACGACTGGACCTAATGGTCAGGGGTCCCTTTACCTTTACCATAGTACTCCAAACGCCTGGGGCAAACACATAACAGGACGGATTCGAAACCTGTGGGACCAGAGATTCTTAGGAGACTGGAGTAAACATTTGAACTATCTAAAAAGCAATTGTAATAAACAGATTACGCTAGCAGGACTGCAAGAAGTTCTGTAAGGAGGATTATGTGAAATATTGCAAGGAAGATTAGGAAGAGAATTATTAGTTAATGATAATTAGAAGTACAGTGGTACCTCTGGTTGCGAACAGGATCCGTTCCGGAGCCCCGTTCGCAACATGAGCAGAACGCAACCCGCGTCAGCGCTGGTCGCGATTCGTCGCTTCTGTGCATGCGCGTGACGTCATTTGAGCGTCTGCACATGCGGTGAAACCCGGAAGTAACCCGTTCCGTTACTTCTGGGTCGCCGCGGGACGTATCCTGAAAGAACATAACCTGAACCGAACGTAACAAGAGGTATGACTGTAATAGAGAAATTAAGAAATGTGGAATAAGTGATAAAGAATGGAAAATCTTCAGCGGTTGTTGATGGAAGTCCAAAATATTGTATAAGATAAGAATTTATGTTAAATGATTGTTGGAAGTGATATGTTAAAAAAATCAATAAAAATGTAAAACATAAAAAAAGAATTAAAAGGCACAAAATAATAATACAGTGGTACCTCGGGTTAAGTACTTAATTCGTTCCAGAGGTCCGTACTTAACCTGAAACTGTTCTTAACCTGAAGCCCCACTTTAGCTAATGGGGCCTCCCGCCGCCGGAGCACGATTTCTGTTTTCATCCTGAAGCAAAGCACTATTTCTGGGTTAGCGGAGTCTGTAACCTGAAGCGTATGTAACCTGAAGCGTATGTAACCTGAGGTACCACTGTAATAAAAACGCCAGGGGCGAACATGGCTTCATTGCCTCTGTCTCTCTGCTGTTCTGTGCTAGGAATCTACCCTAAAAAGCATCCTCAGCGCCCTGTGGAATCTCTCAGCTCACAGTACGGAGAACAAAGCCGCCATCTGTCTGGTGGATGGGGCCCTTGGCTTCCTGGTCAGCACTCTCACCTATAAATGCCAAAGCAACTCACTGGCCATCATTGAGAGCGGAGGAGGGATCCTAAGGAATGTCTCCAGCCTCGTGGCTACCAAGGAAGATTACAGGTCAGTGACTCTCTCCCTCTGTTTCTCGGCCGCCACTGGGCGCATCTCCCTCCCTCTGTTCGACTTCCGAAACGTTCGAAAACCAAGGCGCAGCTTCTGATTGGCGCCGGCACCCCGGAAACAATAGCCGACAGCTGACTCGGACGTTCGGCTTCTGAAAATGTTCAAAAACCAGAACACTCACTTCCAGGTTTGGGACACAAGGCGTTTGAGTACAGTGGTACCTTGGTTCTCAAACGCTGAAAACCTTGGAAGTAAGTGTTCCAGGTTTTGGACATTTTTCGGAAGCCGAACTTCCGATGCAACTGTCGGCTATTGTTTCCGGGGCACCTGCACCAATCAGAAGCTGTGCTTCTGTGCAGCTAAGAAAAAAGTTTGATTTTAATTTTTATCATCTACAATGCTGTCTTGTTTATTTTATAGTACAGTACATTGTACAGCGGGTAGCGCTGTGGGTTAAAACACAGAGCCTAGGAATTGCCGATCAGAAGGTCGGCGGTTCGAATCCCCGCAATGACGGGGTGAGCTCCCGTTGCTCGGTCCCTGCTCCTGCCCACCTAGCAGTTCGAAAGCACATCCAAGTGCAATTAGATAAATAGGTACCGCTCTGGCGGGAAGGGAAACAGCATTTCCATGCGCTGCTCTGGTTTGCCAGAAGTGGCTTAGTCCTGCTGGCCACATGACCCGGAAGCTGTACACCGGCTCCCTCGGCCAATAAAGCGAGATGAGCGCCGCAACCCCAGAGTCGGCCATGACTGGACCTAATGGTCAGGGGTCCCTTTACCTTTACATTGTTTGTCGCTTTCATTTTATGGATCAACGGTCTCATTAGAGAGCAAAACTCACATTAAATTGCTGTTTTAGGGGTTGTTTTTAAAAGTCCGGAACGGATTAATCCGTTTTGCATTGCTTTCTATGGGAAAGCGCGCCTTGGTTTTGGAACGCTTTGGTTTTGGAACGGATTAAGTTTGAGAACCAAGGCACCACTGTTCAGCGAAACGCAGGTCCATGCCACTGTTGTTGTTTTTAATTTATTCCCCACCCGACTGTCTTCCAGACAAGTCCTGAGAGACCACAGCTGCCTGCAGACCCTCTTGCAGCACCTCAAGTCGCACAGCCTGACCATCGTCAGCAACGCCTGCGGCACCCTCTGGAACCTCTCGGCCCGCAGCCCCAAAGACCAGGAGCTCCTGTGGGACCTGGGCGCAGTCAGCATGCTCCGAAACCTCGTGCACTCCAAGCACAAGATGATCGCCATGGGCAGCGCAGCGGCCTTGCGGAACCTCCTGGCCAACCGCCCCCCGAAATACAAAGATGCCGTGGTCATCTCGCCGGGGTCCTGTATGCCGTCGCTTTATATGAGGAAGCAGAAGGCGCTGGAGGCCGAACTGGACACGAAACACCTGGCCGAGGCCTTTGACAGCTTGGAGAAGCAGACTTTGAAGGCACAGAGTGCCAAAAAGCCCATAAGGCACATAGAGAGTTTGGTGAAAGACTACGCCTCCGATTCGGGGTGCTTTGACGACGACGAGGGCCCCAACGCGTCCGAAACAGGGAACGCCTCTGTCCTCTCCATGTTCCTGAACTCCTCCTTCCTCCAAGGGCAGGCGTTGCCACGAACCGGTGCTCCACGGAGGTGCCCCGAGCCCGAAAAGGATGGGAGCCGTCCGGCGGAAGCTGCCCAGGTGGCCCCTTCGCTGCTCCGTCCGGACGAGGACGTCTCTGCGGCGGCCGAGAAGCTGGCCAACAAAATCTCCACCGCCGTGGCCAAGATCGACAAGCTGGTGGAGGACATCTCCGTCCTGCACACGTCGTCGGACGACAGCTTCAGCCTCAGCTCTGAAGACCACTGCTTGGATTGGCAGCTGGGGCTGGAGGAGGTGCACGAGGCCCGTGCGCAGTCGTGCTCGCCGTGCCGGCTGTCGGACGCCAGCGGCTTTGCCAAGCGGGAAGGCCTGTGCCGCGCCCACACCCTCCTGCGGCTGAAGACGGCCTACACCAGCCTCTCCAATGACAGCCTCAACAGCGGGAGCACCAGCGACGGTTACTGCACCAAGGAGCACATGAAGCCGTGCACCGGAACATCCTTCTTGGATTTTAAAGATGAACTGCATCGCTACCAGAAGCGGCCCAGCCGCCTGGACCTGAAAAACATCTTGAGCAACAGGCCAGAGAAGGCGGAGGTGCCAGGAAAGAAACGTCACGGGACAGGAGAGGCGGCAGAAAAGCCAGAAAACCTCGGGAAGATCCCGAAAGCTGACGCCGCTGTTGCCGAGAAGGAGCCAGAACCCCAGACAAAAGTTCTAAGCAATGAGCTAAACGCAGACCCCAAAGTCCAGACGATTAAGCTCTCGCCGTCCTACCAACATGTCCCCCTGGTGGAGAGCATTGGGGACGGTAGCTCAGTGCCCGAAACGGCCGGGCCGCAGGGAGCCGGTCCCTTCTACCCCAGCTTGTCGCTGAAGTCGATCGAAAACCTGAGCAAGATTCCTGAGAAGCTGCCCGCTCGGCCCCCGGCCCCCGCGGCGCAAGAGCAGCTGCAGAAGTACTCGGTGGAAGACACGCCGATCTGCTTCTCTCGTTGCAGCTCGTTGTCTTCGCTTTCCTCGGCCGACAACGTCCTGGACGGGCAGAGCCACAGCGAGAACGAGACGGACAGCGACTCCTCGCTGGAGATCATCGAGGTGGAAGAGGTGGCCGAGATGGAGGAGGCGCGGAAGGGAGGGCAAGCGGAGCCTGCCCCGGCCGCCTCGCAGCCCATCGCCATCCCTTTCCCCAAGAAGGAGAAGGTCTTCCTCCGCGGAGCTTCGCCCTGCCGGCCGGAGGACTTGACGCCGTCCAGCTCCTCGGAGAACTACATACAGGAGACGCCGCTGGTGATGAGCCGCTGCAGTTCGGTTAGTTCACTGGGCAGCTTCGAGAGTCCGTCCATCGCCAGTTCCATCCAAAGCGAGCCCTGCAGCGAGATGATCAGTGGCACCATCAGTCCCAGCGAGCTGCCCGATAGTCCCGGGCAGACCATGCCCCCCAGCCGCAGCAAAACACCCCTGTTCGAGCTCAGCGGTCAGCCGGAGAAGGAGGCAAGCCAGTTCAACATCCAGTGGGAGAACAACGTCAAGAAGTTCATGGAGATCACGGACTTCAAGGAGCGGTTCCAGGTGCCCCAAGACCTCGACTCCATGGTCTACTTCACCGTGGAGAAGCCCAACGAGAACTTCTCCTGCGCCTCCAGCTTGAGCGCTCTTCCTCTCCACGAACACTATGTACAGAAGGACGTGGAGTTGAAGTTGATGCCCCCTTTCCCCGACAGGAGCGGCGGCCTGGGCTTCGCGGCACACGAGGAAGAGAGGGCCGCCGAGAGCCAGAGGAAGCCAGAGCGCCTTGAGCTGACCTCTGACGAAGACATCGAGATCTTGAAGGAGTGCATCAATTCGGCCATGCCGTCCCGCTTCCGGAAAGTGCGGACGTCTCTCGTCTCCGGGTTTCCGGGCCAGGTTCTGAACCCTCAAACCAAGAAGCCAGTGCACGTCCCAGTTTATATGCTGGTCCCCGCCAGTTCTCACCTTGGTCTCCCCAAGCACAGGCGTTCGGCGGCCGCCACGAGGCCCAGCAAAGACTACATCGGCGATGAGGATTCCTTCACCGACTCGGCTGAAGGGACTCCGGTCAACTTCTCCAGCGCGGCTTCCCTGAGCGACGAGACGCTCCAGTACCCGACGAAGGAGGAGGCGGACTTGAGGCAGTGCTCCGGGAGGAGGAGGGAAGCTCTGGGCCCACGTGGATTAGGCCTCAAGATGGAGGCGGCCCAGGGTGAGGTGGGAGGCTTCCGGGCCGGAAGGATAACCTCCAGCCATTCCACGCCAACCCGGGTGGCGTCCGCGTACAAGCACAACACGGGCTCAAGCCACACCAGCCCGCTCCGCACAGGCCGGGCCCAGTCGGCCGAGTCCAAGCGAGGACACGTCCCCCTCAGAAACCTGGAGTTGACGCTCGTGAGGCAGGGCAGCCTGAGGGCCAGCTCGGAAGGCAGCCGTTCCAGGAAAGACGCCCCTCAGGAGAACGGCAGCAGCGACATGGTCTTCCAGTCGCTCTGCCACACCACGCCGACTGAAGAGGCGGTCTATTGCTTCTACGAGAACGACTCAGACGACTTGGCGGAACTCGGGGTGAGACGTTCGCCCAGGAGGAAGGCCGGAGCGCCCGGCAAAGGCCAAAGAAAGGAAGCTTGGGTCAAGAAAGAGGCCGAGTTTGCTTCCAGGCAGCCGCCGCCGAAAACCAAGATGGCTGCCAAGCTGCGCAGCAACCTCATTGCGGACGAGACACCCCCATGCTATTCCCTCAGCTCCTCTCTGAGTTCCCTGAGTGACGTGGAGCTGTGCCACGCAGACGGGAGGGGGCAGCTGTACGGCCGAGCCAAGCTGGCCTTGAGCCGGCGGCAGGAGATGCGGGCAGCGCTGTCCAAGCGGAGGGGCAGCTCGGGGAGCTCCCTCAGCTGTGACTCGGACGACAACCTGCTACCCAAGGGGGTCGGGTCGGCCGCGGCCAAGAGGAGGAGGCACTCGGGGAAAAGGAAGCAGGGCGAGAAGGAGAGGAAGGGGAGGAAGCCCCATGAGCGGAAGCCAGAGGCCACACCGGACGAAGCCGCCTCAGACCTGGACAGTGTCGACTGGAAGGCGATCCAGGAAGGAGCCAACTCCATTGTCACCTGGCTGCACCAGGCGGCCTCCTCCTTTGCCCGCGACCCGTCCTCTGAATCGGACTCCATTCTCTCTTTCATGTCCGGCCTGTCATCGGGATCCACGCTGCAGCTGTCTCTGGAGAGGAAGGAGAAGAAGGCAGGCAGGAAGGTCCCCGGCCGTCACGTGGAGAAGAAAGACCTTCCGAGGGCGTTCCAGGGTGGCAAGAAGGTCGCCACAGGAGGTCCCAGGGCCCAGAACAGTCGGGCGGAGAAGAACGTTCAGCAGAAGCCGCTCACAAACTTGCCGGTGGTCTTCCGAGGCCGTACGGTGATCTATATGCCAAACGTGGCGAAGGACTCGCCGGCACAGAGCCCCAGAGCCGCCCCGAAGAAGGCAGGACCCCCAGCGAAGCAGGAAGCGCCTGTGAAGAACCTCAGCCTGAACCAGCAGAGGTCTCGGAGCCTCCACAGGCCAGGGAAGATCTCGGAGATGGTGGACCTCACCTTGCCGAAACGCAGCGCGACTCCACCGGCCCGGATGACGAAAGCCCCTTCCTCAGGGTCGTCCCGGACGTCCACGCCGTCTCAGCCCAACCAGAAGAAGCTGACGTCCCCTTCGCAGCCGCCCGGCCGGCAGATACCGACTCGGGAAGCTGGGAAGGCAAACGGCAACGCCACATCTCCCGGCCAGAATCCCAAGCCGGTGCAGAAGTCTCCTGTCCCCAAGCAACACAAGACCCAGAAGTCTCCCGTCCGTATCCCCTTCATGCAGAAGCCGATGAAGAAAACGCTGCCGGCCCGGAACGCCATGCCTACTTTGGAGGAGCAGGTGGGGAGAGGCAGAGGGACAAGGCCGCAGACCGGCGGGAAGCCCACCCTGCAAAGCAGCCACCTCAATCTGGTCCGCATGTCCTCCGCGAGGTCCGCCGCCAGCGAGTCAGACCGCTCCGGCTTCCTGAGGCAACTGACGTTCATCAAGGAGTCGTCCGGCCTGCTCATGAGGCACCGGGCCGAGCTTTCGTCGCCACAGCCAAACTCGACGCTCTCCCCGGCCGCTTCACCTCGGAGGGGCCGCCCCGGCCTGCCGCCCGTCTTCCTCTGCTCCTCCCGGTGCGACGAGCTCAAGGCGGACAAGTCCGGGGGGCTGATGCAGCGGCCTGTCGTCTCACGGGGGCCTCTGTCGAGCCACGGGGTCCCGGCAGGCATGAGGCCTCCCAGGCGGACCAGCTCGGAAAGCCCCTGCAGGCTCCCGGTCAAAATGGGCAACGGCCCGCCGGAGCCGTTCAAACGGTACTCGTCGTCGCCTCAGATCAACGTCGTCAAGAGGACGGGCAGCCCGGCCACTCCCAGTTGCCAAGAGCCCACGAAGCACAAGAGCGACGAGGGGCCCAAACTCCCCGTGGTGCCTCCTCTGGGAGCGCCGGAAAAGCAGGCCGAAGAGGCACAGCGAGAGATGGTCAGGGGGACGTGGAAGCGCATCCGAGACGAGGACATCCCCCACATCCTGAAGACCACCCTCCCTCCCACGGCCCTGCCGCTAGTCAGCACCTTGGAGGAGGAAGAGGCCCCACAGGTCCTGCGGAAGACCAGCGACGCCGTCGTGCAGACGGAAGACTTCTCCGCCGCCAAAACCAACTCCAGCACCTCCCCGACGATGGAGAACAAGGCTGCGCTCCTCGCGTTCTCAGAAGCAGAAGACGCAGGCGGTTCCAATCCAGGCAAGGCCCCCGCGGCGGTGCCCATCTCCTTCACGCACGAGGTGCCCGTCAGCTCCCTCGGGAACTTCCCCCCAAGCAGGCACAGCTCCCCAAGCCGGGCTGCCCGGGTGACTCCTTTCAACTACACGCCCAGCCCCATGGTGGAGCCCGCGGACAACGACAAACAGATCCAAAAAGTGCAGGTGTGAGTAGCCACCGGGCGCGGCCGCCGCACCTCTGTACGAACACAGAAGCTTGTCTCCGTTTGCTTATCTTTCGTTCATTTTCTTTTCTATTAAAAAAAAAAGGAAGACTTTGTCACCGCCTGCTAACTCCCGGCCTTGCTTCTTAGCAAAGCGAGGAGGGATCTGGGAGCGTTTGATTCCATATTGACACAGGACTGGAGGAGCTGTTTCTTGGGCTGATCGCTGGGGAGAGATTCCTTTCATGCCCACTGAATCCTTCCTCCCTTTCGAAACGGCTTCTCGGACTTCTTAACGCACCAAGAGATGCCCAAAGTCCACCTCATACTCCGGGGTCAACGTGGCTGTCGGTGGTGGTGCTACGAGATGGATCGGGGCCCCGCCACCCAATCTGTGGGGATGAGGGCGAGCGATTCTCCCCTGCCGTCGGTCGCCTGGAGTTCTTCGCCCCGTTCAGAATTAAACAGGGTGTTCTCCCGCAGGAAAACACCCTTCCTGCTTGGATTATGAGCTTTCGGAAGATATCTCACCGTTCCCTCACGAGCACCCCTTGCCGAATTCGTATCCCCAGCCTCGTACAGACACGATCCGCTTCGAACACGGCTCTTTCCCCACTTCCGATCGCCCTTCGCAAGTGACGTGGTCAAGAGGCGCTTACACAAAAGACTCCTCCTTTCGCCAGCGACTTTTTTTGGGTGGACGGATAACATCGCCAGATGGATTAGTCCTTTTTTGCCCGTTCCACAGTTCCACCAAGCCACCTTGGGGGCAGTGTGTCTCCTGCCCTCCTCTGCTTTCCTGGAAACCACAGACACAAACTTTAAGAATCAGATGGGAGGCATATAAATAATAAAATTATTATTATTATTATTATTGGCCAGGGATGTTACCCGGACCACATCTCCCATCATCCCTGATAACCGGGGCGGCAGGGGCGATGGGAGCTGGGTTCCAGCGATGTCTGCCGAATCACAGACCTTGTAGCATTCGAAAGGGACCCGAAGAGTCATCTAGACTAACCCACCGCAATGCAAGAATCGCTGCTCCCCCTGCTGGGCGGGACAGCCGTTGCGAGTGAACTCGGCCTGAATGGGACAGGCCAAATTCTATGATGGAGGGGGAACAAAGCGAAGGGGGTTAGGGGACAGAGAAAGAGCCTTAACCTCAACTCTCGGTTGCATGTATTAGGCCGCGATCCTGTGCACCTGCTTACCTGGAGGTGAGCATCCATTGGGCTCAGTGGGGCTTACGTCCGAGTCGCCCTGTCTAGGACTCCACTTTTAGTCTCCTGTGTTATGGGCACTAATACCAGTTGAATTAAAAACGAAAAAAACGAGAGAGTTTATTTGGTTTATTTGGGGTGGGGGAGACATTTAAGCAAGGGGAGGGGGGAAAGGATAAGGGGTGGGTGGGGGAGGACCTTTTACGTGGCAGAGTGGGGTGGGGGTGAGGTGGAAATAAGCCTCAAAGTCGAAAAATGCCCCCCTCTAGTTCTCCCTACCTGGCCCTTCTGTGCCTCCCCTGGCTACATATCATCAGCCACGCCCCTTTCCTCCAGGCCACACCCCTTTCCTCCAGCCACTCCCACTTCTTCCAGGCCATGCCCCTTTTCTCCAGGCCGCCCCCTTTCCACCAGGCCACACCCTCTTTCCTCTAGGCCACTCCCCTTTCCTCCAGGCCACTCCCACCTTCCTCCAGGTCACGCCCCTTTCTTCCAGTCACTCCCACTTCTTCCAGGCCACACCCCTTTCCTCCAGGTCACACCCCCTTTTCTCCAGGTCACTCCCACTTCCACAGGTCACACCCCTTTCCTCCAGGCCACACCCCCTTGTCAGCCCGGCTCAGCTCAGAGGTAGAGCGTGCGCTCTGGCTGCAAAAGTTCCCCTGGTTCAATATTTGGTGTCTCCAGGCAGGGAGAGAGCGAAACCCCAGCTGCTGCCTGCCAGTGTGAGTAACACTGACCAAGATGGGGGTGTGGCTTAGATGTTTAATATGCCTTTACACGGAACCTTGAGGACTAGAAACTTGCTCCGTTTCTAAGGAAAGGGCAACAACTCGGCATCAGAGGGCTGCAGTTTGAGGGGAACCTCAGGGTCATCCAGTCCAACCCCCTGACTGCCAGAAAATTCCTCCTGATGTTGAGTCGGAATCTCCTTCCTCGCCACTTGAAGCCGCGGGTTCGAGTCCTACCCTCCAGAGCAGGAGAAAACAAGCTTGCTCCCTCTGATATCCCTTCAGATATTGGAAGACGGCTCTCAGGTATCTCCTCTTTTCCAGGCTAAACATACCCAGCTCCTTCAACCATTCCTCATCAGGCTCGGTTTCCCAACCCTCAACAGCAGAGGCAGTGCCTTCCACGCACAGGACCCAGTTTCGACCCCCGGCCTGAAACTCCAGAGCGCGGATGCTGCCAGTCAGTGTACACAAGACTGGGTGGGCCAGCTGACCAGACGACCGCCACCCAGCGAGATCCATGTCCAAGTGGCGAGATTTGAACCCTGATCTCCCAAGTCGACACTCTAATCACTGCTCTTGCATTTGGAAAAGAATGGGAGGGAAATCCTGTTAGCTGTTCGCCGGCCCGTCCTAGCCAGCATGACCAATGGTTAAGGTAAAGGGACCCCTGACCATTAGGTCCAGTCGTGGTCGACTCTGGGGTTGTGGCGCTCATCTTGCTTTATTGGCCGAGGGAGCCGGCGTACAGCTTCTGGGTCATGTGGCCAGCAGGACTAAGCCGCTTCTGGCGAACCAGAGCAGCGCACGGAAACGCCGTTTACCTTCCCGCCAGAGCGGGACCTATTTATCTACTTGCACTTTGACGTGCTTTCGAACTGCTAGGTTGGCAGGAGCAGGGACCAAGCAGCTCCCGTCGCGGGGATTCGAACCGCCAACATAACCAATGGTTAGGGAGGATAGAAATCAGACTCCGAAATGCCAGAAAGGGGTAAGCTGACTCTCACAGATAACAGAATTTACTGGGGGGGGGCATTGGAAAGGCAAAGCGAACAAAAGGCCTTTTCCCCTCCCCAGACATTAGTTCCCATGGGAACACATTGTCCTCCCTTGTTTGCTTTTTACATAACAAAGGCGGATTTGTTTTGCAAAGGTTTGAGACCCTATTTCTGCAAAGGAAGCCCCCTTTGGGACTCCAGATTCCTAGAATTGCTAATAGGGAAGGGGACCTTAACAGGTCATCCAGTTCATCCCCATAATTTCCATTCTGCAATGGGTGGCATTTAACTCCCCCCCACCTTTCACACGAGGGACGCAGGTGGCGCTGTGGGTTAAACCACAGAGCCTAGGACTTGCCAATCAGAAGGTCGGCGGTTCGAATCCCGTGACGGGGTGAGCTCCCGTTGCTCGGTCCCTGCTCCTGCCAACCTAGCAGTTCGAAAGCACGTCAAAGTGCAAGTAGATAAATAGGTACCGCTCCGGCGGGAAGGTAAACGGCGTTTCCGTGCGCTGCTCTGGTTCGCCAGAAGCGGCTTAGTCATGCTGGCCACATGACCCGGAAGCTGTACGCCGGCTCCCTTGGCTAGTAAAGCGAGATGAGCGCTGCAACCCCAGAGTCGGCCACGACTGGACTTAACGGTCAGGGGTCCCTTTACCTTTACCCGAGGGGTCCCTTTACCTTGACCAGAGCACGCCAGGCACTCCTGTCTTCCACTGCCTCCCGCAGTTTGGTCAATAATAATAATAATAATAATAATAATTTATTATTTGTACCCCGCCCTTCTGGCTGGGCCTCCCCAGCCACTCTGGGCGGCTTCCATAGAAACAAAAAATACAGTAAAATATCACAGATTAAAAGCTTCCCTGAACAGGGCTGCCTTAAGATGTCTTCTAAAGACATAAAGATGTCAAACTCATGCTGGTAGCTTCGAGAACACTGTCCCACCATCTTGTCCTCTGTCGTCCCCTTCTCCTTGTGCCTCCATCTTTCCCATCATCAGGGTCTTTTCCAGGGAGTTTTCTCTTCTCATGAGGTGGCCAAAGTCTTGGAGCCTCAGCTTCAGGATCTGTCCTTCCAGTGAGCACTCGGGGCTGATTTCCCTAAGAATGGAGAGGTTGGATCTTCTTGCAGTCCATGGGACTCTCAAGAGTCTCCTCCAGCACCAAACTGAAAATCACAAATAAAAATTTAAAAAACCAAAAGGGCAGAAATTCTGACATAAAAGGCAAAGGTTTGCCAGCTATTGCTTCACTAGGAGAGACCAGGGTTCGAATGGGCACCAGTCATTCACTCTCAGCCTAACTATAAAGTTCCAAAAGAAACTCAATCGCAGAAGTATATACGGTACACTGAAAGAGTAAATTCCACCATATTCAGTGAGACTTTACTTCTGCCCCATAAAAAAAATGATTTATATGTTTATTTTTTTGGCACTTTTGTCCTACGCCTTTATTGTGCAAACATCAACTTTCTCAGAGCAGGTTCCAATGTCAGAACCTCCCTGCTCCCAACCTGACTTCTTGTGTCTTTCCAGCTGAATTGTGCATTTGCTTCAGAGTAAGATAAAGGTAAAGGGACCCCTGACCATGAGGTCCAGTCGTGACCGACTCTGGGGTTGCGACGCTCATCTCGCTTTACTGGCTAAGGGAGCCGGCGTCCAGCTTCCGGGTCATGTGGCCAGCAGGACTAAGCCACTTCTGGTGAACCAGAGCAGCGCACGGAAACGCCGTTCACCTTCCCGCCGGAGCGGTACCTATTGATCTACTTGCACTTTGACGTGCTTTCGAACAGCACCGCCAACCTTCTGATCGGCAAGTCCTAGGCTCTGTGGTTTAACCCACAGCGCCACCCGCGTCCCTTTGCTTCAGAGTAGGTACTGATATTTACTTATTTTTATTCAACCAGATTTACGTACAGCTTAATAAACAAGCAAACCAATCTCTAAGCATCTTGCAATGAAACAGTATAAATGTTCGATTTTTTAAAACAGCAACGAAAACTGTAAATATAGGACTGAATCCAACCAAGTTATTACTCAGAGCAGAACTGTCGCATCCAAGCTGAGCCAGACTCAAAGTAGACCCACTGAAATGAATGGACGTGTGTCGCTAACTGAGGTCCATTCATTTATTCTGTGAGTTGAATTAATGCTGGATGCAATCCATTAAAACCATTAAAATATCAGATAAATAAACAGCCTTTATTGCTGCTGTTTTTGGGGCCCCCCCCCCTTCTAGTAATGCCCCAACACAGTCATTTTGACAGGGGTCACAGGTCAGCTGCTAGGCACGCAGAATGAAATTGCCCCCATCCTGAAACCTTGGAAAGCCAGCGCCGGTCAGAGGAGGGTGGATTAACGTCCTGACTCAACACAAGACAGCTTCATATTGAAACCAGCCTATCATTTATAGCCATGTGGAAGACACAAGAGCTTCCCACACTGGAGGAATGGCAGATGAAACTGATGGACTATATGGAACTGGCGGAAATGGCTGGCAGAATCCGTGACCAGGGAGAAGAGTCGGTGGAGGAAGATTGGAAGAAATTCAAAGACTATCTGCAGAAACATTGCAAAATTAAAGAATGTTAGAGTGATGTTGGATTGAAAACAAGTGGCTTCCAGCTGTACAGGATTTAAAGTTATAGATAGATTAAGATTAAGGATTAGAATTAAAAAAGTTTAAGGAAATGGAAACTTGGTTTTTAAGAGGTAAAATTTTAATGTTATATTATATTAAGATTAAAGATTGGGATTAAAAAAGAGGGAAAGAAATTGCTGGACAAACAATTTGAACTGGAATACAAAAGAGGGAGGTATGAGGAGGTCCAGAAAATAAGTAAATTTAAAAATGGAGATGAAAAGGCGATATCGTTTTTAACTGGTTTTTTTTCTTTTGTTTTTTTTTCTTTTTTTTTTTGGATTATGTATTGTGTATTTTTGAATTGTGTATTTCTTTTCTATGTTTTCATGTTTAATCTTTTATCGATGTGTTCTTTTTATTGGAAAATTTAATAAATATCATTTTTTTAAAAAAATCATTTATAGCCATGATGACTAGAAACTTATTTTATTTTAACGGGAAGGACATCAGGAAGAGCCGCTGGACTGTGGAACGGTCTCCCTCGGGAGGTGGTGGTCTCTTCTTCCTTGCATAGGTTGGATGGCCATCTGTCCTGGATGATCTAGTTAAGATTCCTGCATTGTACGGGGTTGGACTGGATGACCTTTGGAGATCCCTTCCCGCCGGACAATTTTGATTCCATATGGAATGGAATTCCTTGCATCAGTTCCGCGAGCGAAAAAAGGATCAATCCCCAGTGGGCTTCTCCAGGCAGGTCTAGGAGCTCCAGAAAGATGCTGCCAGTCCGTGCATGCAATACGGAGCTATAGATGGACCAGCGGCCGGACTCCTCCTAACGAGACTCGGCGCTCTCCCTGGGCCTGAACGGAAGGGGTTAAAGGCAAGCGGCTCTGCCGCATTCCTGGGCAAAAGTCATCACACCTGCTTGGAGGCTTGGAGGAAGGAAGGAAAGAAACAAGAGGTGAGGAGGAGGAAAGTCTGCGCTCCGGATCGCCCCGCGCTTTGTTGGGGCTCCTGCGCCCCAGAGCCGTCGCTGAGGAGCCCCCCAGCCTGGCAGGTTAGTCTTGGGGCGCGGGGGGGCAGCAGGGGGCGCCCCCACTTCCCTACCCAAATCAACCTCTCCAGAAAGCGTCTTTGCGCCTAGGGCGCACGCCTTCTTTGGAGAGCTCAGGTGGCTGAATGGGGAGGGGACGCTGTTTGCGCCCCCCCCCCACTTCGGAAAGGAAGAGAGCCCCCATCCCCGGGATTGCTTCCCAGGGCCCCGGTCCCGGCGCTCGCTCCACGCCCCGATCCACCAAAGGGCCCTACAGGTGGACTCAGTCTCTTGCAAGTTTTGTGTTTTGAGGGCGTTCGTTCTGGTACCTCGGAGTGTAGGCGTCCCCCTACTCGGGACTTACTCCCGAGTAGCAGAGCACAGTTTCCTGCCCTGACTTGCCTCCAACAAAGTTCCTAGGGTTGCATGGGGAAGCGGGGGTCCATGACTTTCGCTGGCTTTACTCTGAGTAGGACCTACAGGGAAGGCAAACCCTATCCGGCGGTGGGAAAGGTGTCTGCGTAGCAAAGGCAACTTCCTGGTTTCCTGCACGTGGCTCCTGTTTTCGATTCCTCCCCTCCTTCTCAGCCCTCTCTCCCCTTTTAAATTCGCAAATATGTTTCTTCAACCGCCGTGGATCTTTGCCTAAAGCGCCCAGCCAGCGGCGTTTTCTGGAGAGGCGAAGTAGATCTTTTCTTTTTGGCAAGGCTGCCAAAATCAAAATAATCCCAGTGACCTCATTTAAAGTCACCCGGCCGCCGGCAAGCCTCACTTACCTGGGAGTCAGCGAGAAGCCCTATTGGGCCCAGTGGGGCTGACTCCTGAGTAGGCAGGGATAGGCTTCTGCTGAGTCGCACGAACTTCTTCATCCCTGTTGTTGTTTGAAGACACACCTTGCCTCTCCCTCAAAGGCCCGAAGGCAATTCAGTTAAATGTATGGCTGCGTTATAAAATCTTCATGGCCTTTATGAGAAACTTCGCTTCTCTGGAAACTTAACAGAGGTATAACTGTATGTGCGTCCCCTTGTATTTTTTATTGCATTTCTGTCCTACTTTTAGCCCCCTGCAAGCAGCTGAGGGTGGCATAGCATTGGTTCTCCCCCCTCGTTTAATATCTGAGAAACTCAAGATATATATCACATTTTTCCGTGTGTAAGCAAATGTCCAGGATTTTGCAGCGATCGCCCCCTCAAAAGCTTTCCACAGTAAATATAGGGCTGAATCCAATGAAGTTATTACTCGAAGCAGAACCGTTGCATCCAAGCTGAGCAGTAGTCAAAGTAAAAAGGTAAAGGTAAAGGGGCCCTGACCATTAGGTCCAGTCGTGGCCGACTCTGGGGTTGCGGTGCTCATCTCGCTTTACTGGCCGAGGGAGCCGGCGTACAGCTTCTGGGTCATGTGGCCAGCAGGACTAAGCCGCTTCTGGTGAACCAGAGCAGCGCACGGAAACGCCGTTTACCTTCCCTCCGGAGAGGTACCTATTTATCTACTTGCACTTTGACGTGATTTTGAACTGCTAGGTTGGCAGCAGCAGGGACTGAGCAACAGGAGCTCACCCCGTCGCGGGGATTCGAACTGCCGACCTTCTGATTGGCAAGTCCTAGCCTCTGTGGTTTAACCCACAGTGCCACCTGTGTACTCAAAGTAGACCCACTGAAATGAAAGGGCATGTGTGGCTAAATGAGACCCATTCATGTATTCTGTGAGTTGAATTAATGCTGGATGCAATCCATTAAAATCATAAACATATCAGATAAATAAACAGTATTTGTTGCTGCTGTTTTGGGGGTGTTTTCCTCTACTCCTAGTAATGTCCCAACACAGCCATTCTGACTAGGGTCACAGCTCAGCTGTTTGGCATGCAGAATGTGATAGGTTCAATCCCCTCTCTCAGCTGCAGGTGGTTCTGAAAACTGCCCCCATCCACTGCCAGTCAGAGGCAGTAGTAATACAGGGCTCATGGATTAACACCGTAGGGGTCAGCAGACTTTTTCAGCAGGGGGCCGGTCCACTGTCCCTCAGACCTTGTGGGGGGCCGGACTATATTTTGGGAAAAAAAATAATGAACGAATTCCTATGCCCCACAAATAACCCAGAGATGCATTTTAAATAAAAACACACATTCTACTCATGTAAAAACACCAGGCAGGCCCCACAAATAACCCAGAGATGCATTTTAGATAAAAGGGCACATTCTACTCATGTAAAGGTAAAGGGACCCCTGACCATTACGTCCAGTCGCGGGGGTTGCGGCGCTCATCTGGCTTTATTGGCCGAGGGAGCCGGCATACAGCTTCTGGGTCATGTGGCCAGCAGGACTAAGCCGCTTCTGGCGAACCAGAGCAGCGCATGGAAACGCCGTTTACCTTCCCGCCGGAGTGGTACATATTTATCTACTTGCACTTTGATGTGCTTTCAAACTGCTAGGTTGGCAGGAGCAGGGACCGAGCAACAGGAGCTCACCCCGTCATTGCGGGGATTCGAACCGCCGACCTTCTGATTGGCAAATCCTAGGCTCTGTGGTTTAACCCACAGCGCCACCCGCATCCCTTTCTACTCATGTAGAAACATGCTAATTCCCAGACCGTCCGCGGGCCGGATTGAGAAGGCGATTGGGCCGGATCCGGCCCCCGGGCCTTAGTTCGCCTGCTCATGATTAATAACTCAACATAAGGCACCTTCATATTGAAATCAGCCTCTTTCATTTATAACCGTCTGCCAACAGGCCCACTGCCCGTAGTTGGAAAAAGCTGGAAAAAACGCCAATAGATTTCAGATTTGTCAACCCATGTGCTCCTTGGGTTTCAGATAGTAAGAGTCTGAGAAACCCAGGACACAAATTTTCACAGCCCTCTAGCGGCTATGATGGCTCACTTACCAAAACTCATGAATTTAGCATTAACAGTGGAAGTGTTGGATTCCGAACGCCTTGCGAGTCGGAACGTTTTGGCTCCCGAGCGCCGCAAACCCGGAAGTGAGCGTTCCGGTTTGCGAACGTTCTTTTGGAAGCCGAACGTCTGTCATGGCTTCCGATTGGCTGCAGGAGCTTCCTGCAGCCAATCAAAAGCTGTGCCTTGGTTTCCAAACGTTTTGGAAGTCGAATGGACTTCCGGAATGGATTCCTTTTGCCGTCCTAGGTACCACTGTACCATACTTGATTCTGACGAAACTAAGCCGCCTTGTATCTTAAATCCAACCCCTGATTTCATATACAGTGGTACCTCGGGTTACATACGCTTCAGGTTACCTACGCTTCAGGTTACAGACTCCGCTAACCCAGAAATAGTGCTTCAGGTTAAGAACTTTGCTTCAGGATGAGAACAGAAATTGTGTTCCGGTGGCGCAGTGGCAGCAGGAGGCCCCATTAGCTAAAGTGGTGCTTCAGGTTAAGAACAGTTTCAGTTTAAGAACGGACCTCCGGAACGAATTAAGTACTTAACCCGAGGTACCACTGTATTTTTATTATAAATTTTATTTTTCACTTTTCCAGTATTACTTTTGACATAAAGACAACCCCGTCTTTCCCAACAAATTTATATATATATATATTGACTTCTTTTGCAGTTTCTTACATTTTTTAATTTATATCACCGCATCTCTTCCACTACTCCGATCAATAGTTATCTTTCATCGATTACAGTCTAAACTGTAAACTGTTTAATGATTATTTGCTGATACAGTATTTAATTTTAACGTTTACTGTTAGGTTCTGGTGGATTGTTGAATGTTGCTTTGTTTGATATGAGTTGTTTACAGTATTTTAAAGTTATTGCGACTCTTTATATTGGATCAGATTTTTACTGTTAATGCTTGATGTTTTTTGGGGGGGTTGGAAGCCGCCCAGAGTGGCGGGAGCAATCCAGGCCGATGGGCTGGGTATAAATAAATAAATTGTTATTGTTGTTGTTGTCTTTAAACATTAATTTTAACTGTTTTGTTTAAGTTAATCCTGCTAATGTACTTACATGTGTACTGTACAATAGCATTTCAAATAATCCACAAATTTCCCCCAGTCTTTTATAAAGTTTCCCCCTTCTTGGTTCCTTATTGCTCCCATAAATTTTGCACTGGGATGAGAGTCTTCTTTCAGTTTCTGAGCTTATATCCACCTGGCTGCGGTCGTAGCAGACATAAACAGTTATGATTTCATATAGATATTTTTAAATTGTCCACGAAAGGCCTCCCATTCGTCTCTAAAAATATTTCAGGTTTTTAATGAGGGGGTGCTGAATGGATGGTCAAGCCCCTTTTTGAAGAAATGTAAGTGCTTTGCAATATAGACGATCAGCTTCAGGTCCTGGGTATAATTCTTACTATTTATATACCGCTCATCTGACTGGGTTGCCCCAGCTACTCTGGGTGGCTTCCAACAAAATACTAAAACACCAAAACCCTCAAACCTTTCTGTGCGGCCTGTTGTTGTTGTTTAGTCGTTTAATCGTGTCCGCCTCTTCGTGACCCCCTGGACCAGAGCACGCCAGGCCCTCCTGTCTTCCACTGCCTCCCGCAGTTTGGTCAAACTCATGCTGGTCTCTTCGAGAACACTGTCCCACCATCTCGTCCTCTGTCGCCCCCTTCTCCTTGTGCCCTCCATCTTTCCCAACATCAGGGTCTTTTCCAGGGAGTCTTCTCTTCTCCTGAGGTGGCCAAAGTCTTGGAGCCTCAGCTTCAGGATCTGTCCTTCCAGTGAGCACTCGGGGCTGATTTCCTTAAGAATGAATACGTTTGATCTTCTTGCAGTCCATGGGCCTCTCAAGAGTCTCCTCCAGCACCAGAATTCAAAAGCATCCATTCTTCGGCGATCAGCCTTCTTTATGGTCCAGCTCTCACTTCCATACATCACTACTGGGGAAACCAGAGCTTGAACTATACGGACCTTTGTTGGCAAGGTGATGTTTCTGCTTTTTAAGATGCTGTCTAGGTTTGTCACCGCTTTTCTCCCAAGAAGCAGGCGTCTTTTAATTTCATGGCTGCTGTCACCATCTGCAGAGATTATGGAGCCCAAGAAAGTAAAATCTCTCACTGCCTCCATTTCTTCCCCTGCTATTAGCCAGGAGGTGATGGGCCCAGTGGCCATGACCTTTGTTTTTTTGATGTTGAGCTTCAGACCATATTTTGTGCTCTCCTCTTTCACCCTCATTAAAAGGTTCTTTAATTCCTCCTCACTTTCTGCCATCAAAGTTGTGTCATCTGCAGATCTGAGGTTGTTGATATTTCTTCTGCCAATCTTAATTCCGGCATGGGATTCATCCAGCCCAGCTTTTCGCGGCCTAGCATGGGACAATGTGAAATTGTCCGATTTTTCTTTTAAAGAAGCAAACCATCTGAGCAAGGTTCAGTCGCATGTGCATTCTGGGGGAAAATGCTTCCCCCGAGGTGTTCTGGAGAGCTGGCTTTTTAAGATCTCTGCCCCGAGGACCTTGCAAATCTGTAAATGGAGAGGGACGCTACCGCCAGAGTTGAAATGAAGGCAGCGGTGCCTAAGAGGTTAAGCTAAAGGGGTCAATTTCTGAGCCAGTCCTTTGTTTGTTTGCGATCTAGCTGCAATTCTGAGCTCCGAGAAATGGATTTGTAAGATCCTGTGGGATTTCCCTAAACCGCCTGCCCCGGTCCGCTGTTGACCAACCACCGGTCTTTGTGTCTGCTTGAGTTCGCTAACCTCAAATAATCTAGATTTCCCCTTTCACAGCCAAATGTCAATATTTGCCACTGAGAGAAGTGGAATGCGACTGGGCAAAGGTAGATAGGGAAAGAGGGATAGACGATTGAGGGGCGAAGGTAAACCCTGGATTTTCAGGCTTATGAGAATAAAACTGCTGCATGGAGCCACTGTTTACCTCCTCCTATAGCTCCCATAAACCCGCGCTGGTGCAGGTTTTGTATTTTATTATTATTGATAATAATAACATTTCTATACACCTTTCATCCGAGGATCCACAAGGCAGTTTGCAATACAAAACACACAAAAATACATAGCATAATAACAAACAAAGCAATAACCCCCCCAGGCAACCGGTTTCCAGCTTTCAGACTACAACTCCCATCGTCCACCGCTAAGCTAGCAGTGGACGATGTCCGTTGTAGTCCAAGGCACCAAGTTGCGGGCTACACTCTTAGACCCAAGTCCACGTGTTTTTTTAAATTTACTTTATTCTTTTGTTTTGCAAGGGTTCTATTCTGCTTGATTGCAACGGAACCTCAAAGAAGAATAAAGCAGGGAAACTATATATTTTTAAAAGCAGCTTAAAACGTTCAGAAAATAAAATCGAGGATAAGCTAATAAGCGGATGAAAAAACACACGCCTATGTTCCGCATGTCTGGGTAGGCTTGCAATATAAAACACACAAAAATACATAGCATAATAACAAACAAAACAATAACCCCCCCCCCAGCTGACCAGTTTCCAGCTTTCGGACTACAACGCCCATCGTCCACCGCTAAGCTAGCAGTGGATGATGGGCGTTGTAGTCCGAGACGCTGTAGAGGGCCCCAAGTTGGGGGCTACGCTCTTAGACCCAAGTCCACGTGCACATTCCTGCATTGCAAAGGGTTGGACTAGATGACTTCTGGGGTCCCTTTCCCCCTCTACAATTCTAGGATTGCCATCGGCAATCGGAAACCTGCCCTATCGAGCGGAAGCCCCGCAAAAAGAGCATTGCAGCAGTCCAGCCTGACAGCAGCCGGCCTCTCCCGGTCCAGCCTTATTTATTTTCGTAGCTCCGTCCTGCAAAATCTCCCGGCCTCGATTCCCTGAGAAACTTGGGCAGCGGGAGGGAAGACCCCTGAAATCCTGGCCACCGGCTGCCAGCCCGTGCCGGCGACAACACACAGAGAGAGGGAGCTGACTCCAGATAAGGCCGCTTCCGGTGTCCAGCCCCAGATAGGATTTCAGCCTTTGTTGCTTTCTCAGTGTCCTTGCAGTTATCGGAAACCCCCGGTCCGTCACGAGCCGGCCAGAGGCAGATCTTGGGAGATGTTTTCTTTGCGAGAGGCAGCTGAGAATTCCCTGTTTTTGAAGTTTCTCTGCACTGAGCGGTTTTCCTTTGGGGCCTCTGCCAGCCGGCGAGGGAACTGGAGAGTTCTGGCTCCACCTGGAATCTAGGTGTGTCTTTGGGGAGGGTACACCTGTTCGCTGGAAGAGGTGGGGCCGGGGTGCGGAAGAGGAAGGAAAACCAGAGCCGACAGGCCAGGGAGGGAGAAAACCTGGAATATAAATATATATATTCTGGAAGCCTGCCTTCTGTCGGGCCTGGGCAAACCTCTTCGGGGCTGCGGACAGGTGAGCACACCTGTTTCCCACCTGGCAAAGATGTCTGGCCCAAGCTGGTTCTGAGCACCATGGCCGTGCGATTTCAGGCAAGTAAATTTTGCGTTGTTTGGCAGCCTTCGCCTCGCGACCTACTTCCAGCGTGCAAAAAAATACGGGCTTATCTCTGAGCCGGAAAACGAGGAGGTTTGTCTGCCCAGCTTAACAACATTCTTGTTTTCTCTATTTTTTTCTGGCAAGGCGGTTGCGGAGGGAAACGTGTAACCCGAGCCGCGTTTAATTGAAAGGGCTGCATTCAAGACAGGAGCCTGGGAACCGTAGCGTGTAGCTGCACGCTACAGTTCCCCAGATTTTCCCCTCCTGGGGCGTGTGTGCTTTAAAAGTGCAGCCTTAATCTCACGGCCGTTTGAGTCGCCTAGCTGTCAACTTTCCCCTTTTCTTGTGAGGAATCCTATTTGGAATAAGGGAATTTAAAAAAGGGAAACGTTGACAGCTATGGGCAGGTGGGTTGTTCATTTGGGGGTGAGGGCCTGGCACTCTGGACATGCTCAGAGGTACCCCCTTTTCTTTCTGGGTTAGAGTGTTTAGATTAATTCAGGGCGCCCCGTGCTTTTTGGACACGGAGTTGGAAAGCTGTGTCTCTGGGTACGTGCAGAGTGCATTTGGAGTAAAGAGGACTGGGGTTGTGGGTTTTTTTGGGTGGGGGGATCTTGGATTTTGAGGATGGAAAAATCAGGTTGTTTCTTTCTCGTGGGACAAACTGCAGTTTAGGAGTCAACCTCTCCCTGCAACCGAAGCTTTCCACCTGGTTTCCTTGTAAAACAGTCAGTAATCCAACAGGTGTGTCTTGTCTCCTGGCATGGAGAAACAGCCAAATGTGGCCTCTTGGCCCGATATTAACCCTGCCGTTTCGAAAGGGCAGAGGAGCGAAGCTCTCTTTGGGTGTTGGCTACGCGTGAACCACTCCAGGCTCGCTAGGACAACAAAGGGGACTTCCTGTAGTTTCTGCCTGGCAAAACGTCCCAGGAATGTGGGATTGGCCTTTCTGTGAGAGCGGCTGTTTACCCACTTTTGTCCTGGCTCTCCAGGTGAGGACAAGGGTGGTGCTGTGGGTTAAACCACAGAGCCTAGGACTTGCCGATCAGAAGGTCGGCGGTTCGAATCCCCGCAATGACGGGGTGAGCTCCCATGGCTCAGTCCCTGCTCCTGCCAACCTAGCAGTTCGAAAGCACGTCAAAGTGCAAGTAGATAAATAGGTACCACTCCGGCGGGAAGGTAAACGGCGTTTCTGTGCGCTGCTCTGGTTCGCCAGAAGCAGCTTAGTCTTGCTGGCCACATGACCCGGAAGCTGTACGCCGGCTCCCTTGGCCAGGAAAGCGAGATGAGCGCCGCAACCCCAGAGTCGGCCACGACTGGACCTAATGGTCAGGGGTTCCTTTACCTTTTACCTCCAGGTGAGCGATTCAGGAAACCTTGAGAGCGCTTGAGAGCCTCCTCCAGTTGCACGAGGGGAGTGTCGCTGAGTGGGTAGAGCACCCGCGTTTGCAAGCGCCGGAGGTTGCAGGTTGCATCCTCTTCCTGGTTAAGAACGTGATTGTTTGGGGTAGGGGGAAGAGACCCCTCTCTCAACCTGAGATGCTGGAGAACGGCTGCCGGTCAGAGCAGGCAGTATTGGGGCAAGGCAGCAACCGGAGAATTACACATGGGCATCAGAGGATACCTGTGGATCAGACCACCCAGATACCCCCATGGCAAACTCGCAATCTGGACCCCAGCACAACATCCCCTCTCCCTTCTTTTGTGTCCAGAAACTGGCGTCCAGGAACATTGCTGCCTCCAGCCGGGGAAGTCGAGAGTAGCCATCATGCCTAGTGGTCACCGAAAGCCAGACTCCCCTCCTCCGTGAATTTCCCTCGCCCTCTTTTAAAGCCATCCAAGTCGAGGACCATCCCGGCCTCCTGTGGCAGGCAGTTCCATAGTTTAACTACGAGCTGTGCGAATCGTTAAGAGTTGGAAGGGGTCGCCTTGGAGCCCTGGCAAAGAAGGGATTTCTTTTATGGAAAGATGCTAGGCCGGGCACATATAATATTTTTGCCCGCAGATAACCGGAAGCTGTACGCCGGCTCCCTTGGCCAAGAAAGCGAGATGAGCGCCGCAACCCCAGAGTCGGCCGCGACTGGACCTAATGGTCAGGGGTCCCTTTAACTTTAGCTTTTAACCCTCCACCGAAGTATTTCGTAGATCCCTCTTTCTTTCTTCCCCCCCTCTCTCTTCCTCTTTCTTTCTTCCCCCCTCTTTCTTTCTTTCTTTCTTTCTTCCCCCCTCTTTCTCGCTCTTTCTTTCTTCTTCTTCCTTCCTTCCTTCCTTCCTTCCTTCCTTCCTTCCTTCCTTCCTTCCTTCCTTCCTTCCTTCCTCTCTCTCTCTCTCTCTCTCTCTCTCCCTCCCCCCTCTCTCTTTCTCCCTCTTTTCCTTCCTTCCTTCCTTCCTTCCTTCCTTCCTTCCTTCCTTTCTTTCTTCCCCCTCTTTCTCTCTCTCTCTTTCTCCCCTCTTTCTCCCTTCCTTCCTTCCTTCCTTCCTTTCTTCCTTTCTTTCTTCCCCCTCTTTTTCTCTCTCCTCTTTCTTTCTTTCTTTCTTTCTTTCTTTCTTTCTTTCTTTCTTTCTCCCTCCCTCCCTCCCTCCCTCCCTCTCTCTCTCCTCTCTCTCTCTTCCTCTTTCTCTCTCTCTCCCTCCCTCCCTTACTCTTTCTTTCTTTCTTTCTCTCTCTCTCTCTCTCTCTCTCTCTCTCTCTCTCTCTCTTCCTCTTTCTTTCTTTCCCTCTCTCCCTCCCTCCCTTACTCTTTCTTTCTTTCTTTCTTTCTTTCTTTCTCTCTCTCTCTCTCTCTCTCTCTCTCCCCCCCCCTTCTCTTCCTCTCCCTTTCGGCAACATTCGCCTCTTCCTTTCTTCAGCCACCTTGACCTAATTTCACCACAAATTAATCCCACCCCCCTTCTTCCAAAACTTCTTGGAATGCTTTATATGCCTGCCGGCGGTTAAGTTATTTATTTCTTTAAAGAGAGCCCGTTTTTTCAGCCGAAAGAGCTGATCCGCTTATCGAAATACCTCCATGCTTCTGAGTGGCAGATTTAAAGGCGTCATTATCGCCTTAGACCCCCATCAGAGGTAAGCCAATTATTACAGACCCCATATACCCTGCGGAAAATAAAATAAATAAATCGGGGCTAGTAAAAAAAGCTCGTTTTTAAAAGCAAGCATAAACAGCTCCCTTCCTCAATCAGAAGTAAAGGGGGCACTTTAAATAAAAAATTGGCTAGCATTGATTTTGGGGAGTGGGCAGATAGTGTTTTGCTTGCGCCCTGCAAGTCACGCGTGATAGCGCTTTGTTTCCCAGCAGCAAATCCCACGCTAGGCGTCATTTAGGGAAATAAAAAGGGCCGATTTTATAGAATGGTAGAGTTGCAAGGGACCCCTAGAGTCATCTAGTCTGACCCCCCGCGATGAAGGCATCGTTATGGCCGCTGTACAAATCTATGCTTAAGGTTGAATCCTTACAAGACAGAAGGACTGTTTTTGGGGGACAGGGGGCGGGCAGGTGTGGGGGACTCCCTGGTCCTGAATGGGGTCACTCTGCCCCCGAAGGACCAGGTGCGCAGCCTGGGGGTCATTCTGGACTCACAGCTGTCCATGGAGGCGCAGGTCAGTTCTGTGTCCAGGGCAGCTCCATCTGGTACGCAGGATGAGACCCTCCTTGCCCATGGACTGTCTGGCCAGAGTGGTGCATGCTGTGGTTATCTCCTGCTTGGACTACTGCAACGCGCTCTACGTGGGGCTCCCTTTGAAGGTGACTTGGAAACTACAACTAATCCAGAATGCGGCAGCTAGACTGCAGACTGGGAGTGGCCACCGAGACCATATAGCACTTGAAAGACTTCCATTGGCTCCCAGGACATTTCCGGGCACACTTCAAAGGGTTGGTGCTGACCTTTCAAGCCCTAAACGGCCCAGTTTCCCTGAAGGAGCGTCTCCACCCCCATCGTCCAGCCCGGACACTGAGGTCCAGCTCCGAGGGCCTTCTGGCGGTTCCCTCCCTGCGAGAAGCGAGCTTACAGGGAACCAGGCAGAGGGCTTTCTCGGTGGTGGCACCCGTCCTGTGGAACGCCCTCCCATCAGTTGTCAAGGAAATAAACAACTATCTGACTTTTAGAAGACATCTGAAGGCAGCCCTGTTCAGGGAAGTTTTTAGTGTTTGATGTTCTGTTGTGCTTTTAATATTTAGAATGAATTGATTTTAGAATGTATTTTGATTAATGGATTGTGATTTTATGTAAACTGTGTCTCTTTTACTGTTATTAACTCTTATTAGCCACTCTGAGCCCTGCTTCGGCTGGGGCAGGCGGGATATAAATTTATTATTATTATTATTATTATTATTATTATTATTAATTCTGCTGGGAGCAGCCCAGAGTGGCTGGGGAAACCCAGCCAGATGGGCAGGGTATAAATAATAAATTGTGGTGGTGGTGGTTGTTAACGCGATTGTCGAAATCTATGGTGCATTGGAAAACATTCAGGAAAGGGGCGACTCGGATGACCAAGGGGATTGAAAGGTTTGGGACTATTTAGTTTTAAAGTAAAGGGGCGTGAGGAGCAACATGATTGTTGTTGTTTAGTCGTTTAGTCATGTCCGACTCTTCGTGACCCCCTGGACCAGAGCATGCCAGGCCCTCCTGTCTTCCACTGCCTCCCACAGTTTGGTCAAACTCATGCTGGTCTCTTCGAGAACACTGTCCCACCATCTCGTCCTCTGTCTTCCCCTTCTCCTTGTGCCCTCCATCTTTCCCAGCATCAGGGTCTTTTCCAGGGAGTCTTCTCTTCTCATGAGGTGGCCAAAGTCTTGGAGCCTCTGCTTCAGGATCTGTCCTTCCAGTGAGCACTCAGGGCTGATTTCCTTCCGAATGGAGAGGTTTGATCTTCTTGCAGTCCATGGGACTCTCAAGTGTCTCCTCCAGCACCACAATTCAAAAGCATCCATTCTTCGGCGATCAGCCTTCTTTATGGTAGCAACATGATAGAAGTCTATAAAATTCTGCCTGGCGTTTAGTTATTAGAGTTTGGCTGAGAAAGGAGCAGCAAGCGAAAGATTTCCCTCTTTGCCGCCTCACCTGGTAGCTGCTATTCCCCAGTGCCCAGCGCATCAACTTCCATAAATACACAACTCTTATTATTGAGGGGAAGTGCGTGGAACGGGTCTCGGTGTTTCGATTTCTGGGAATGGAGTTGAGAGATGACCTAACCTGGGGAGAAAACAGCAAAGACCCGATGAAGAGAGCACAGCAGAGGTTATATTTTCAGAGAATCCTCCGGAAAAACAATCTCTCAAAGGACCTGTTGATGGCATTTTACCATTGTACTGTGGAGAGTGTATTAACGTATGGTCTGTGTGTGTGGTTTGGGAGCTGCACGGCCAGGGAAAAAACAATGCTGTCCAGGGTTGTAAAGACTGCGGAGAGAATAATTGGGCGCACTCTTCCCACCTTGGATCAAATCTATGCTTTCAGGTGCCATAAGAAAGTGGCAGAAAGAGCGCAGGTTAGTGCGCACCCCGGAAATGATCTCTTTCAGCTTCTGCCTTCTGGAAGAAGGTATAGAGTTATAAAGGCCAGGACTAGCCGCCTGAGAAACAGTTTCTATCCAAATGCGATTTTGGTTTTAAACGCAGTGTAAGGTAGTCTCTAGGGGTTAAACCACAGAGCCTAGGACTTGCCCATCGGAAGGTCGGTGGTTCGAATCCCCACGATGGGGTGAGCTCCCGTTGCCCGGTCCCTGCTCCTGCCAACCTAGCTGTTCGAAAGCACGTCAAAGCGCAAGTAGATAAATAGGTACCGCTCTGGCGGGAAGGTAAACGGCGTTTCCGTGCGCTGCTCTGGTTCGCCAGAAGCGGCTTAGTCATGCTGGCCACACGACCCGGAAGCTGTACACTGGCTCCCTCGGCCAATAAAGCGAGATGAGCGCTGCAACCCCAGAGTCGGCCACGACTGGACCTAATGGTCAGGGGTCCCTTTACCTTTAAGGTAGTCTCTATGGGACTATATTGTATTTAATTATGGGGTATCAGAGTTTTTAGGGGGCTAACCAGGCTGGGATAGCCGGGATAGCAGGCTTGTTGGTTTCTGAATGTCTGATGTAGATTTTCAGTTTCATTGTTCTGTATGGGACAATGACAATAAAGATTATCGTATTGTACAGTGGTACCTCGGGTTACAGACGCTTCAGGTTACATACGCCTCAGGTTACAGACTCCGCTAACCCAGAAATAGTGCTTCAGGTTAAGAACTTTGCTTAGGATAAGAACAGAAATCGTGCTCCGGCGGCGCAACAGCAGCGGGAGGCCCCATTAGCTAAAGTGGTGCTTCAGGTTAAGTACAGTTTCAGGTTAAGTACAGACCTCCGGAACGAATTAAATACTTAACCAGAGGTACCACTGTATCGTATCTGAGCTGCGGTGTGCCCTGGAGGGATCCTGTTGATCCCTTTTCAGGAGAAAAAGGCCGCTTGTGATCTTCTAGCCGCTGTTTGGCTCGTGCTTCTGTGAGGTCACGGAATGTCCCCAAACATTCCAAGTTGGCAGGGGAGGAGAAAGGGAGCCGTCGAGATGTCAGCGGCTCGCTTGCCACGAGGAGCGTGGAGTTGTTAGTTCAGCTGGGACGAAACTCTCACGAACAGGGGTCCCAGGGGTGAGAGCAACTTTGTGGGGGAAATCTTGAGCTCGAGGGCAACACGATTCCTCCATTTTCACGGGGTCAGCCTAGATGACCCTCGGGGTCCCAACGATATGATCCTGCGATTCTATGCCAGAAGGGAAGGGTTGCGGAAGTAAGGGGCAGGGTATTGGGTTGTTGTTTTTATTTTGATTATATATTTTGCGGTTTTGTATTTTGGTTTTGTTCTGCGAACCGCCCTGAGACCTCTGGGTATAGCATGGTATATAAATTCAAATAATAATAATAATAATAATAATAATGGGCGATGGATTAAGGAAAGGGGGTATGTGGATGGTGTTTTCTAAAACAATTAATCTTTATTAAACATCAATCAACATCAATTTACACATAACTCATCATCTTAACTTAGATGCGGCAGCTAAAAAAGCCAATGCAATTCTGGCCTGCATCAATAGGAGTATAGCATCTAGATCAAGGGAAGTAATAGTGCCACTGTATTCTGCTCTGGTCAGACCTCACCTGGAGTACTGTGTCCAGTTCTGGGCACCACAGTTCAAGAAGGACACTGACAAACTGGAACGTGTCCAGAGGAGGGCAACCAAAATGGTCAAAGGCCTGGAAACGATGCCTTATGAGGAACGGCTAAGGGAGCTGGGCATGTTTAGCCTGGAGAAGAGGAGGTTAGGGGTGATATGATAGCCATGTTCAAATATAGAAAAGGATGTCACATAGAGGAGGGAGAAAGGTTGTTTTCTGCTGCTCCAGAGAAGCGGACACGGAGCAATGGATCCAAACTACAAGAAGAAGATTCCACCTAAACATTAGGAAGAACTTCCTGACAGTAAGAGCTGTTCGACAGTGGAATTTGCTGCCAAGGAGTGTGGTGGAGTCTCCTTCTTTGGAGGTCTTTAAGCAGAGGCTTGACAACCATATGTCAGGAGTGCTCTGATGGTGTTTCCTGCTTGGCAGGGGGTTGGACTCGATGGCCCTTGTGGTCTCTTCCAACTCTAGGATTCTATGATTCTAAGATAATACTTATAATGCAGACAAAACAAACTACATTACAACATCAACACATCTTGGACACTAAATTCTGATTCTCCTCATTGTACTATTTTACATTTTGGTAATTTGTACACAGTTCATTATTGTTACTATCTTTCCCCCATTTCTCATCAAGAAGATTCTGCTATAGACTTCCTTTGTATTTCAAGATTCATTCTAAGTCTGCCCGGAGTTGACCGTTGTCCCAATAGTTTTTAAGGTATTCTTTAAACATTGTCCAATCTTTATTAAATTTTTGTACTAAGTTTCCTCTTAATCTCCCTGTCATTCTTGCGAGTTGTAAATATTCTGTCATTTTTGCTTGGTTTTTGTGGGGTTATGTCATCACTTTTCCAGTGATTTGCTATTAAAATCCTAGCCGCTGTGGTTGCGTTCATGAAAAGAGGTCTACGATTTCCCTTGATTTCCATGGACATACCGTATTTTTTGCTCTATAAGACTCACTTTTTCCCTCCTAAAAAGTAAGGGGAAATGTGTGTGCGTCTTATGGAGCGAATGCAGGCTGCGCAGCTATCCCAGAAGCCAGAACAGCAAGAGGGATCGCTGCTTTCACTGCGAAACGATCCCTCTTGCTGTTCTGGCTTCTGGGATTCAGAATATTTTTTTTCTTGTTTTCCTCCTCCAAAAACTAGGTGCGTCTTGTGGTTTGGTGCATCTTACAGAGCGAAAAATACGGCAATGCCTAATAGGAAGGCCTCAGGTTTTTTTGGGAGAAGAGAATTTAAATGTCTTTTAAAATTTCATTATATATGCTATCCCAAAATTCTCTTACGCTTCCACCACATGTGCATAAATGTAGTGAGTGTTAGTTGGCAATGGAGAGTCGAAGGAAAGGGCAGAGCAGGTGAGGAAACTGAAAATCATAGAATTATAGAGTTTCAAGGGACCCTCAAAGGGACGCAGGTGGCGATGTGGGTTAAGCCACAGAGCCTAGGACTTGCCGATCAGAAGGTCAGCGGTTCGAATCCCCGCAATGACAGGGTGAGCTCCCGTTGCTCGGTCCCTGCTCCTGCCAACCTAGCAGTTCAAAAGCACGTCAAAGTGCAAGTAGATAAAAAGGTACCGCTCCGGCGGGAAGGTAAACGGCGTTTCCGTGCGCTGCTCTGGTTCGCCAGAAGTGGCTTAGTCCTGCTGGCCTCATGACCCGGAAGCTGTACGCCGGCTCCCTCGGCCTATAGAGCGAGATGAGCGCTGCAACCCCAGAGTCGTCTGCGACTGGACCTAATGGTCAGGGGTCCCTTTACCTTTACCTTTTAAGGGACCCTCAAGGGGCATCTAAGTCCAACCCCCTCCAATGTGTAAAAGGGGCTTTTTAAGAGAGAAAACAGAAGCTGAATCAGACATTGATTTGACATAAAGGGCTAATTCTTCGGCTGCCTGCTCTCTTTCTGTTTGTGTATATCCCTGAAGTTGTTTTATAACGTTTTCCTTCTTTTCCTAGGTTGCAGACATGGAGGAGATGATAATCTGGGAACAGTATACAGTAACGCTAAGCAGGGTGAGTGATTTGAGAAATAAGCAGAATAACAACCACAACAACAATCTTTATCACGGTCCAGAGACCCAACAAATCGTTACAAAGCAATACACAATTCATACAGCCTACCTCCAGGTTAAACAAGCATTTTGTGCAGAATATAGGGATCATTGGTTCTTGCAACCGCCGATAAAAACCTCGCCACTGCTAATGTTCTAGCGTTTGTCAAGTCTTCCAATAGGAACCTGACATAGTGAGCCTCTGATTTTCCCAGGCAAGGGACCAGCAAGGGTAATATCAGTTCAGCCCTGGCTTGCTCGTATTTTGCACAGTGCAGCAAAATATGTTTTATGGACTCGATGTCTTGAGCACACGAGCAAAGTCTGTCCTGGTAGGGAACTCCTCTCAACACTGCAGAAGGAAAGACGTTTAATCTGGCTTTCGTGAAAAGCCTTCGATAGTTTGGTACTGTCAGGTTTTTAACGTAAGGTGTTAACTTAAAGACATGCCCATATTGTACTCCTACTGCCAGCGGACTACAGACTGCGTGTGATCGAGATCTCAAGTCACTGTGTGCACTATCCCATAATCTTTGCTTTAACGTCTTTTGGGCGCCTTCATAACCCAGGTAATACAGTTGGGGGGGGGGGGGACACAGACCAATAAGCAGAATAAGCCCAAGAAATAAGCGGATGGTTTTCTGATATTTGTGTGTGTGTGTGTTTGCTTTAAAAAATATATATTAATGTTTGAAAGGAGAAGGAAAATATAGTATACAGCAGGCATGTCCAAAGTCCGTTTTGGGGACCCAATCCAGCCCACCAGTCGGTTTAATCCGGCCCCTGTGGCAGATTATCTCCCGGGGTAAAATCCTACAAAAACCTCCACAACTCAACAGCTTTGGTTGGCCCTCACGGCCCTTCACTTCATCAAATCTGGCCCTCCTTGAAAAAAAAGTTTGGACACCACAGAAATGAACATCAAATATCAAGCATTTTTTAAACATAGATCACCGGGAATGATCTGCTCTGCTCATTAGGCAAGACTCTCCTGTGCAGATCCTGTTTTTGCTAACTCCAGCTTGCAGGGTGTGATTTACGGCCGGCTCACTCCTGAAACTAAGTGAGCCACATGCAAAAGTTGCCCTTTGTCCTGAAAAGGTTCCTTGCCCTTGGTTTAGCATGGCCCCAAACCTGGGGAGCTTTCCCTTCCCCTCCCCTGGCGCATCCACAAAGAAGTTTGCGGAAGCTTTTGCACCCGTTTTTTCCTCGACCAACAAACCAACAAACCATGGTTTGATTATAAGTCTAGTTTTCTGGAACCATGGAAACCATGGTTGGTGAACTCACAAACCATGGTTTGATCTTAAGTCCAGTGTTTTGGAAGCGAACGAAGAGGAAACCATGGTTACTGAACCCAGAAAGCATAGTTTGATCTGAAGTCCAGTTTTCTGGAAGCAAAAGAACTGGAAACCTTGGTTGGTGAACCCAGAAACCATGGTTTGATCTTAAGTCCAGTTTCCTGGAAGCGAGCGAACTGGAAACCATGGTTAGGGAACCCACAAACCATGGTTTGAACTTAACTACTGTTTTCTGGAAGCAAGCGAACAGAAAACCATAGTTGCTGAACTCAGAAACCATGGTTTGATCTTAAGTCCAGTTTGCTGGAAGCGAGTGAAGAGGAAACCATGGTTGGGGAACCCAGAAACCATGGTTTGATCTTAAGTCCATTTTTCTGGAAGCAAACAAACTGGAATCAAATTAAATTGGAGCGCAGAAGGGAACTGAGATCTGCTTTGGGCCTCTTTCCATGCAGGATCCCCGGAGGGGCTTTGGCATTGCCATATCGGGAGGCCGGGATCGCCCCAGCGGCGTCGACGGAGACACATCCATCATCATCTCCGACGTGGTGCCCGGGGGCCCTGCTGATGGCCGGCTCCAGTGAGTAACCTTAAACCAGGCAGCTTTAGCAGGCTGCCAGGAAACCATGGTTTGATCTGCAGTCCAGTTTGCTGGAAGCGAGCAAACTGGAAACTGTGGTTGGTGAACCCACAAACCATGGTTTGATCTGGTCCAATTTGATGGAAGCGAGCAAACTGGAAACTGTGGTTGGTGAACCCAGAAACCATGGTTTGATCTTAAGTCCAGTTTGCTGGAAATGAGCAAACTGGAAACCATGGCTTGATGAACCCACAAACCATGGTTTGATCTTAAGTCCAGTTTGCTGGAAGTGTACAAACTGGAAACCGTGGCTTAGCAAACCCACAAACCATGGTTTGATCTGAAGTCCAGTTTGCTGGAAGCGAGCAAACTGGAAACCGTGGCTTGGTGAACCCACATGGCAGCCAGGAAAGAGGGAAATGAGCTTTCTATGGAATCCTCGAAGTGTTTTTTTAATGGTTTGGGAGAGTCAGAATTTTTTTGATTGCTGATCGCTCTTGGCCCATCTCACAAGGCTTTTTTTTCAGGACCCGAGACAAGATAGCCATGGTGAATGGTATCTCCATGGAGAACGTGTCCTCCTCCTTTGCTATCCACACCCTGAAAGGCTGCGGGAAAGCCGCCAATATTGTGAGTAAGAGCAAGCGCCAACTCCTTGACGGCGACCCTCAGCCAATCGCTCCGGAAGAGGCATGCCTTTAAATTGAACAACAGCTCAGTGGGTAATAGCATGGGACTCTTAATCTTGGGGCTGTGGGTTCGAGTCCCACACGGGGCTGTTTCACGGGGTTGGCGCCTACTGACGCTACAATTCCCAGATTTTGATCGTCTCCCTGCAGATTTTGGGGCGGCTCCTTTCCCGGTGAGAGAACGGCAGCTCTGCGTGAGCTGATAACAATCGTTGAATTTGTTGGAAGGGACCCCAAGGGGTCATCAAGTCCAACCCGCCCTGCGATGCAGGAATCATAGCTAAAGTAGGCATTCAGACATTGGCCTGTCTCGGGAGACAATGGAGGTGAAGTCAAACTGTTGGAAGGTTGCAGCGCCTGTTGTGGTTGTAGAGACTGATACAGGGTATTCCTGACACAGCATAGAACTATTATTATTATTATTATTATTATTATTATTATTATTATTATTATTGCAGTACCTCTGGTTACATACGCTTCAGGTTACAGACTCCGCTAACCCAGAAATAGTGCTTCAGGTTAAGACCTTTGCTTCAGGATGAGAACAGAAATCGTGCTTCAGCGGCGCAGCCGCAGCGGGAGGCCCCATTAGCTAAAGTGGTGCTTCAGGTTAAGAACAGTTTCAGGTTAAGAACGGACCTCCGGAACGAATTAAGTACTTAACCCGAGGTACCACTGTATTATGATTATTTACATTTATAGGCCATCTCTACCTCTATCTTCCAGGAAGGGACGCTGGTGGCGCTGTGGGTTAAACCACAGAGCCTAGGACTTGCCGATCGGAAGGTCGGCGCTTCGAATCCCCGCAACAGGGTGAGCTCCCATTTCTCAGTCCCAGCTCCTGCCAACCTAGCAGTTCAAAAGCACGTCAAAGTGCCAGTAGATGAATAGGTACCGCTCTGGCGGGAAGGTAAACGGCGTTTCTGTGCACTGCTCTGGTTCGCCAGAAGCAGCTTAGTCCTGCTGGTCACATGACCCAGAAGCTGTACACCGGCTCCCTCGGCCAGTAAAGCGAGATGAGCGCCGCAACCCCAGAGTCGGTCATGACTGGACCTAATGGTCAGGGGTCCCTTTACCGTTACCTTTTTATCTTCCAGGAATCTCAAGGTGGCATTCATGTTTTCCCCACTTCTCATTTAATCCCCACAACCCTGTAAGGCACCAAGGTCACCCACTGAGCTTTGTGGCCGAGTCGGGATTCGAACCCTGCTCTAGCGTCCTGCTCCGACACTCTAACCCAGTGGCTCTCAACCTGTGGGTTCCCAGATGTTGTTGAACTACAACTCCCATCTCCCATCTGGTCATGCTGGCTAGGAATGATGGGAGTTGTAGTCCGACAACATCTGGGGACCCACAGGTTGAGAAACACTGCTCTAACCATTGCACAACACTGCCTCACGGAGCTGTGGGGTTGGAAAGGGGCCTTTGGTGGGTTTTCTGCAACGGCACACTCCAGCTGTGATGTTTCAAGGCGGACTTTGTTGCGTCGGAGCGACAACAGCCGCAAGGAACCCGCAAAAGTGCGAGTCCCTGGGATTATAAACTGTGTGGGCTGTTCTAGAGGTACTGTATTTTCCGCTCTATAAGACGCACCAGACCACAAGACGCACCTAGTTTTTGGAGGAGGAAAACAAGAAACAAAATATTCTGAATCTCAGAAGCCAGAACAGCAAGAGGGATCGCTGCGCAGTGAAAGCAGCAATCCCTCTTGCTGTTCTGGCTTCTGGGATAGCTGCGCAGCCTGCATTCGCTCCATAAGACGCACACACATTTCCCCTTACTTTTTAGGAGGGAAAAAGTGAGTCTTATAGAGCAAAAAATAAGGTATTTAGCTGCATTAATGCGCAGAAACAGAGACTTTGAGGGAAAGCAGGACTGCGTTGTCCGAGCCGGATATTATCCGACGGAACAGAGTTTCCACTCCTATCGCTGATTCAAGGCCATATAACTCCGACGTTCTCGACGCATTCTTAACAAAATCTGAGTTAGCAGATTCCCCCAACCACACACTATTTTTGTGTCTCTTCACAATGTAGGCTAACTTATGACGTCAACGTCAAGATTTCACCCAGTACGGGACCCTAGGGTCATCTAGTCCAACCCCGGCTTAATCCGTTCCGGAAGTCCGTTTGACTTCTGAAATGTTCGGAAACCGAGGCACGGCTTCTGATTGGCGTAGGCGCCCCGGAAACAATAGCTGACAGCCACAGTGGACGTTCGGCTTCCAAAAAACGTTCGAAAACCGGAACATTGACTTCCGGGTTTTTGGCGTTTGGGAAACAAGGCGTTTGAGAACCAAGGCATTTGAGAACCAAGGCGTTTGAGAACCAAGGCGTTTGTTAACTAAGGCATTTGAGAACCAAGGCATTTGGTAACCAAGGCATTTGAGAACCAAGGCGTTTGGTAACCAAGGCATTTGAGAACCAAGGCATTTGAGAACCAAGGCGTTTGGTAACCAAGGCATTTGAGAACCAAGGCGTTTGGTAACCAAGGCGTTTGGTAACCAAGGCGTTTGGTAACCAAGGCGTTTGAGAACCAAGGTGTTTGAGAACCAAGGTACCATTGTCTTCCGTTTTCTCCTCTTGCAGACTGTCAAGCGCCCCCGAAAAGTGCACCTCCCCGTAGCCAAGCCCAGCCCGCCCAAAAGCCTCCCGCTCTCCAGCCCCGCTTTGCGCGACGGCGACTCCGACGAGGACGCCGGCTACCGGTCGCCTTCCGCGCGGGGCGGGTTGGTGGCTGGCGGCCGGCGCCAGGCCGAGGCGGAGCACAACCGCGGCTACGACGGCGACTCGTCCAGCGAGAGGAGCTCCGGGCGGCACCGGGATGAGGAAGACGCTCCCCGCAGGCACCCGGTCCGCAGCAGGAGGCGGAGCCAAGACGGCGGGCATCGGAGGCGGAGCCAAGATAGCGAGTCGGACCGACAGCGCTTCACCAATGGGTACAGCCACCGGGGCAGCGCTAGCGGGCTGGCCCTGGTATCCGGGTTCAAGAGGCTTCCACAGCAGGACGTGCCGATGAAACCGGTCCGCTCCGTGCTGGTAAAGAGCAAGGAGAGCGAAGGTGAGTGGGATTTACGCCCCGATTTCCCTCTCCTCTTTTTTTCTTTTACGTAAAGATTCTTCGCCTTTTTAATACGACTTTTTATTAATTTTTCTGTTTTACAATTTCAGATAAGCATTTTGCATCATTAAGAGATATATATATGTATGCGTGTGTGTGTGTGTGTGTGTGTGTGTATAAATATATATATTTTTTTTAAAAAATGTATTTTTCAAGTTTAACATTTCACTAATTTTATACATTTCACTAGTTTTACAGCCATCTTGACATTTCGAAACTTGACTTCCTTCCCCCTTTCTGCGGTTCCTTAAATTTATTTCTAATATCTTGTGCATATCCAAAGCAACCTAATTTGCTCATTTGTTCATCTTCTTTAAATATACAGTGGTACCTCGGAAGTACGACTTCCAAAATGTTTGGAAACCAAAGCGCGGCTTCTGATTGGCTGCAGGAAGCTCCCATCTTCCTGCTTCCTTTTTCCTATTTGTCAATTCTACATATTCCATTGATTTATCTGCCTTTCCCCCCCTCCCTCCTTCGAAAGCGCTTGAAGAACTCTTGCAGAATCTGCCGTTCATTTCACCCAAATGTCTTCATTTTTTTTTCTCTCCTTCCTCCCCCAAAAATGCAGAATTTGGCTTGAAGTTGGGGAGCCAGATCTTTATTAAACACATTACGGACACAGGACTGGCGGCCAAGGACAGTTCTTTGCAGGAGGGAGACCTCATACTGAAGGTGAGTTGGGTGGGAGAGGTTCTTCGTTCAAATCTCGGAGCAATTACACCCGCAATTTGTGGGAATGTTCAGGGTGGCAGGAGAGGATATATTGTTTATTAATATCCTCCCTTTTTAATATTTGCTTTATCTTTGTTTATTCAATTTTCATACCACATAAAAAACGGGTAATACACCCTTTCCAATACAGTTGGTCCTAGGCTCTGTCTGTACAGTGTTCCTAAAACCGTATCAGTCCCAGAATCAGTGCCGGATTTACGTATAAATTAAACAAGCTCTAGCTTAGGGCCCCGCACTCTTGGGGCTGCCCCAAAAAATGTAACGGGGGGGAAAAACCTGGATGCACATTTCCAAAATATAAGATAAAAAAAGAAATAAAATAAAACCTATATGCAGCAACAGGATTTTGTATTGTGTAGGCTCCTATGATGTAAGTCATGGGTAGGCAACCTAAGGCCCGGGGGCCGGATCTGGCCCAATCGCCTTCTCAATCCGGCCCGCAGACGGTCTGGGAATCAGTGTGTTTTTACATGAGTAGAATGTGTCCGTTTATTTAAAAGCATCTCTGGGTTGTTTGTGGGGCCTGCCTGGTGTTTTTAAATGAATAGAATGTGTCCTTTTATTTAAAATGCATCTCTGGGTTATTTGTGGGGCATAGGAATTCGTTCATTTATTATTATTTTTCAAAGTATAGTCCGGCCCCCCACAAGGTCTGAGGGACAGTGGACCGGCCCCCTGCTGAAAATGTTTGCTGACCCCTGATATAAATCATGGGCCCCGCCTGCTCCCTAAAATATCACTGCTTTGCTCCTTTCTATATATAGGGTGCCTACATTTTGCATGGACTGGTTGCAGGGCCACATTGTGCAAATGGCTTTAGATACCTACAAGGTCCATAAATGACCATTTAGCATATATACAACACAGAAAAAAACAGCGACAATTTGTTGTTGGCAAAGGACAGCAGGACAAAGGGCCCCATTACCTTCAGGAGCTGAGGGCAGGCATAGGCAATTCCGGTCCTCCAGATGTTTTGAGACTACAATTCCCATCATCCCTGACCACTGGTCCTGTTAGCTAGGGATGATGGGAATTGTAGTTCCAAAACAGCTGGGGGGCCGGAGTTTGCCTATGCCTGGCTTAGGGCGTCATCTAACCTAAATCTGGCCCGGATCCTTCGGTATGTCTGCACCTAAAATACCTAAAAGGAAGGCTTCTGGTCTTTTGAGCAACTGTTATTTTAAACATTGTTTTCCAACTCGTTATATATCATTTCCCAGAATTCCTTTATCGCTTTACAGTTCCACCACATAAGATAAAAGGTCATGTACAGTGGATGCTCAGGTTGTGAACGTGATCCGTGCGCGATGCACATTCGCAACCCGCAGTGGCGCGTCTACACACGCATGGGTTGCGATTCGGTGCTTCTGCGCATGCGCAAAGTGCGATTTAGCGCTTCTGTGCATGCGCGACACCCGAAACCCGGAAGTAACCCGTTCTGGTACTTCCAGGTTTTGGCAGGTCCGTAACCCGAAAAAACCCAACCTGAAGTGTCTGTAACCCAAGGTATGACTGTATATCAAAATTTGCTGATTTGGTGGTACTCCTAGAAATTAGGGACACGGGTGGCGCTGTAGGTTAAACCACAGAGCCTAGGACTTGCTGATCAGAAGGTCGGTGGTTCGAATCCCCGTGACGGGGTGAGCTCCCGTTGCTCGGTCCCTGCTCCTGCCCACCTAGCAGTTCGAAAGCACATCAAAGTGCAAGTAGATAAATAGCTACTACTCTGGCGGGAAGATAAACGGCGTTTCCGTGCGCTGCTCTGGTTCGCCAGAAGCGGCTTAGTCCTGCTGGCCACATGACCCGGAAGCTGTACGCCGGCTCCCTCGGCCAGTAAAGCGAGATGAGCGCCGCAACCCCAGAGTCGGCCATGACTGGACCTAATAGTCAGGGGTCCCTTTACCTTTACATTTACCTAGAAATACATAAGATAGATAACTATGAAATGATTTTTGTGAGATTTAACAAGTTAACTCTTTACATTTGGACAACCTTTCCGCTGTGGAGAAAAACAACCCTTTCCTTAATAGCAATTTAAACGATTCGTTTAACTAAAAGAATAACCTGATGGCATGTTGGAGCTAGTCCTATACATTTCCTGACCTTCTAACAGCGCTCAGCTTAGTCGGCTTAGCGTGAGATGCTGAATCTCCGGGTTCAAGAGAATCTCCTCTCTTTCCAGATCAATGGGGTGTCGAGTGAGAATCTGTCCCTGGAGGAGACGCGGCGGTTGATCGAGCTCTCGGAGGGGAGGCTGACATTGGTGGTCCTTCGGGATAACAGCCAATTCCTGGTGAACATTCCCCAAGTGAGAGATAGCGAGAGCGAAAGCTCCCATCTGGACGGTGAGTGAGGGCCAGTTCTTAGCACTTCCAGCTGCTTAGCGCTCGCAGAAGTGATGCACCGCGAAATTATTTCTCTTTGTTTTCTTTTCCCAAAGACATCTCTGACCTCGGCTCGGACATCTCGCCGCCTCCAACTGCCCCAGCGAGCGGGCCGGACTCGCCGGGATCTCCAAAGTGGAATCCGGCCCCGTAAGCTTTTCTCTGAGATGCCTGTATGGGGGGCGGGTGTCTCATTTCCTTTTCCCTCCCGCCCCCCCTGTCTCTCTCTCTCTCATTCTCTCTCTCTCTCTCTTTCTATCTCTCTCTCTCTCTCCTTCTCTCTTTCTTTCTCTCTCTCTCTCTCCTTCTGGATTTATTCTAGGCACGGCCAAATTTTGCTTGTTGAACCTTGCCTCGTTAGATAAGTCTTAAAGCCTTCCCACTCCTTTTAGACTACATCGGTTGGTTTATTCCGTAATAATTCTGTCCCTTTTGCAAGTTCCAAGCACAGCACTCCCTTCACTTTAATTCCAATTCTTCACTAGTGCTTTAAAAAATCTCCTTCCCTCCCCAAACCCAGGACCCTACGGCGCTCCGAGCAAACGTCACCCGAAAAGTCAATGACACCCCCACTTCGTGGTGAGTTCATCTCCTGTCTCTCCCATCTCTCTGTCAAGGTGGCTGGTTTTTGGTTTCGAAGGCGGCTGAGAGGTTTTACGGCAGGGACTCAAGCCCTTGGGGGGGGTTCAGGGTTCAGATGTGGCCCCCTAGACCTCTCAATCTGGCTCCTGGATCCTTCCCCTCTGGCCCTTTCCCACCAAATGTTTTTGCCAGGTTGCAAAGGTGCCCTTGAATCTTGCATTTTGTGTGCCTGGGCAAAGGGTTTTGGGGTGGCTAGATTTTCTATCCAAATTGGGGGGGGGGGGCTTGTTTGTCTATCCCAGCAGTGGAGAAACCTCCATTTTGGGGGCTCGGTTTCCCCCAACTCATTTTCTGCCCCTGACACCCTCCATTGTTGTTTAGTCGTTTAGTCGTGTCCGACTCTTTGTGACCCCCTGGACCAGAGCACGCCAGGCACTCCTGTCTTCCACTGCCTCCCGCAGTTTGGTCAGACTCATGTTTGTAGCTTCGAGAACACTGTCCCGCCATCTCGTCCTCTGTCGTCCCCTTCTCCTTGTGCCCTCCATCTTTCCCAACATCAGGGTCTTTTCCAGGGAGGCTTCCCTTCTCATGAGCTGGCCAAAGTATTGGAGCCTCAGCTTCACAATCTGTCCTTCCAGTGAGCACTCAGGGCTGATTTCCTTAAGAATGGATACGTTTGATCTTCTTGCAGTCCATGGGACTCTCAAGAGTCTCCTCCAGCACCAGAATTCAAAGCATCAATTCTTCGGCGATCAGCCTTCTTTATGGTCCAGCTCTCACTTCCATACACCCTCCATAGATCAGGTGAAATCTCTGCCTTATCCGTAAATACTCCATAAGCTGCAGACATGATGGACTGAGTAAAGGCCCCAATCACACCTTCTATTAATAATAATAATAATAATAATAATAATAATAATAATAATGTTATTATTTGTACCCTGCCCATCTGACTCTGTTTCCCCAGCCACAACGGGCAGCTTCTAACAAATATAGAAGCATAATGAAACATCAAACATTAAAAACATCCCTGTACAGGGCTGCTTTCAGATATTTCCTGAAAGTCAGATAGTTCTTTATTTCCTTGACATCTGATGGGAGGGCGTTCCACAGGGCGGGCACCACCACCGAGAAGGCCCTCTGCCTGGTTCCCTGTAACCTCGCTTCTCGTAGGGAGGGAACCGCCAGAAGGCCCTCGGGAGATGGACCCCGGTGTCCGGGCTGGACGATGGGGGTGGAGACGCTCCTTCAATGGGCTATTTAGAGCTTTCAAGGTCAGCACCAACACTTTGAATTGTGCTTGGAAACGTCCTGGGAGCCAATGTAGGTCTTCCAAGACCGGTGTTATGTGGTCTCGGCGGCCGCCCCCAGTCACCAGTCTAGCTGCCGCATTCTGGATTAGTTGCAGTTTCCAGGTCACCTTCCAAGGTAGCCCCACATAAAGCGCATGGCAGTAGTCCAAGTGGGAATTAACCAGAGCATGCACCACTCTGGCCAGACAGTCTACAGGCAGGGAGGGTCTCATCCTGCGTACCAGGTGGAGCTGCCCTGGACACAGAATTGACCTACGCCTCCATGGACAGCTGTGAGTCCAAAATGACTCCCAGGCTGCACACCTGGTCCTTCGGGGGCACAGTTACCTCATTCAGGGCCAGGGAGTCCCCCCTCCTGCCTGCCCCCTGTCCCCCAGAAACAGTCTGTCTTGTTGTTATTCAGCCTCAATCCATCAATCACCATCCACCCCCAACCGTTGAAAGAACTACAATACCGCTTTAAACACTCCAGGAATTCTGGGATCTGTAGTTTTTATTCAGGGTGCTGCTAACTGTCAGGAGAACCCTGTCATCCCCTCATAGAACTACATTACCCAGCCTAACAACCAGTCCCTCTGTCCCGGGGAACTCTGGGAATTGTAGCCTTGGGTGGGGGACTCTTAGCAAACTACATCTCCCAGGATCCTTTGGGGCAATCCGTGACAGTTTAAAGTGGACCGCTTCTGCTTTTAAGGGTATGCTATGGGTTCAGCTTTGGTCAGTTTGCCTGTGCTTTGAAATGGGCGCAATAAAAGAGCTTCTGCTCTGTCCAGAGTGCTGAAATCATATTGCGCTAACCTAAGTGTTTTAATATTGGTTTTAAAGGCCTTTTTTAATGCCTGATTCTTCACTGTGTTTTCCTATTCAGCTGGGGCAACCCAGTCAAACGGGTGGGGTACAAACATTAAATTATTATTATTAAAATGTGCGGTGCCAACGGGTTGCCTGTAAAATTGTTTTTGAGCTTTTTGGGGAGGACACCCACCCCTGCCCCCAGAATGTACGTTTGGGGGCTTATTTTTGCATTTTTTTAAGCGTTCAAAAATAATAATTCTTGCCTTACGTCCTGAGTTTGCCCAGACATTTTTCCAATCGGCAAAAATCCACCTGGAAGCCATTTTGTAGGGCGGTTACCAGGGAAACCCAGGCGTAAGGCAAACCTACCCTAGTCTAGAAATGGAGGTATACTTGTGGCCAAGGGATGGAAAGATCACGAGGCTCCAAAAATAACAGATTGGCAAATCAAATTACAGGAATTGGTGGAGATGGCTCAACTGACTAGTATACTCAGAGGAAACTCAAAGCAAAAATTTGCGGAGAAATGGGATGGTTATAGAAGATATGTTCAAAAATACAATAATAGTTTTGACTCCGTGCTACCATTTGAGTGATAAAGGAACTAAAAGGAGGTGGACAACAATTAACGGTTTATTATGTTTTCAAAATGTATTAGGAAAATTATATAGAAAGGTTTATTGTTTTGTGTACATCCAAAGGTAAGATAAAATATATGCAAAGGGACTTGACAGGAAGTCAAAGTTGAAGAAAAGATTTTGGAAGATAAAAGGGGGGAAAATATTTACTTTCATTATTATCATTTTGTGTGCGGGTGTGGGTGTCTGCACATATGTGTGTTGTTGTATGCAATGTTTGGGAGGAAATAAGACGGTAAATAACAAATAAACTAAATATCGATGTATGTAATTTTTATTTCTTAATTATATTTACGGGTAGTATGGCTGTATTGTTTTTTGTAACGTAAAATCATTCAATAAAAATTATTTTTAAAAAAGAGATGGAGGTTGTGGTTTTCAGACTGTCTCTGTGTCCTGTCCCCCTTGCCAGAAGTCCAAGGGAGTCCTGAAAATGACTACGATGCCCACGCCGATGCCGTTGCCTCCCAGACCGGCACAAATTATGGGTAAGGAGCTTGGGAGAGTCCTAGCGGCTCCAGAGTTGGCCGCACGCATCCTGGCCCTGAGAGCGTTTTTCTTTTTCTTTTTTAAATATAATTTTTATTAACAGGCCAATCAAATCACATTAATTCCAAATCACATTAGTTCCAAATTATACAGCCAGATTTTTAAAATTTTGTTGGGGGTGCCCATACTTCAAGCTCCCAAAGGGGTCCAAACATCACTCTTGCTGCTGCTTAAATTAAACAGTTCTATCCAGTTCTGTCCAGATAGTCTCTTTGTTATTTTCCTCATCTTCTTGTTGTTGTCATATACAGTGGTGCCTCGCAAGACGAAATTAATCCGTTCCGCGAGTGTCTTCGTCTAGCGGTTTTTTCGTCTTGCGAAGCAACCCTATTAGCGGCTTAACGGATTAGCGCTATTAGCAGTTTAGCGGCTATTAAAGGCTTATCGTCTTAGCGGATTAGCTGCTAAAAGGCTATTAAAGGCTTAGCGGCTTAGATAAAGGGGGGGGAGCGAAAAAAAAATCTCAAGACTCGCAAGACATTTTCGTCTTGCGAAGCAAGCCCATAGGGAAATTCGTCCTGTGAAGCAACTCAAAAATGGAAAACCCTTTCGTCTAGCGGGTTTTCCGTCTTGTGAGGCATTCGTCTTGCGGGGCACCACTGTATTCCTTTCTTTGTGATCTCTGATAATCTTCACAAGCGGGTTGAAAACAAACATCTCCTGTGTGGGTTTTACATTCTCCAAGAGTCATATCACATAAAGGACAGACGCCATTTCCACACCTCCGTTAAAAACATTCCCACAGTCTGTCCGTTGATTTCCACAGGCTTGCCAATCTATATCTCAGGGGGCCCTGCCAGGTCAAGATCACATTCCAATCAGTGGCGTAGCGTGGGGGGTGCAGGGGGGGCCGGCCGCACCGGGCGCAACATCTGGGGGTTGGGGGCGCAAATCCACGGGTTAGGGGGTGCAAATTACTTGCCTTGCCCCGGGTGCTGACAACCCACGCTACGCCACTGATTCCAATAACCATACATTCACATTCCCTGAGAGCGCTTTTCGTCCTCTCCTGTTTCAGATACAGCCCCGATTCGAAAGTGGTCCGTTTCATAAAAGCCAAGAGCATCGGTCTCCGTCTGGCCGGCGGCAACGATGTCGGCATCTTCGTCGCCGGGGTGCAGGAAGGCAGTCCAGCTGAGAGCCAAGGGATCCAGGAAGGAGACCAGATCCTTCAGGTAAGCAGATCCCTCGCCCAAGGACTGCCTGATCTCCGCAAGGTCTGTGATGTGATGGGGACGCGGGTGGCGCTGTGGTCTAAACCACTGAGCCTCTCGGGCAGGCATGGGCAAACTCGGCCCGCCAGATGTTTTGAGACTACAATTCCTATCTTCATCATCATCATCATCATTTATTATTTATACCCCGCCCATCAGGCTGGGTTTCCCCAGCCACTCTGGGCTCCTTCCAACAGAATATCAAAATACAGTAACGCATCAAACATTAAAAGCTTCCCTAAACAGGGCTGCCTTCAGATGTCTTCTAAAAGTCTGGTAGTTGCTGTTCTCTTTGACATCTGCTGGGAGGGCGTTCCACAGGGAGGGCGCCACCACCGAGAAGGCCCTCTGCCTGGTTCCCTGTAACTTGGCTTCTCGCAGGGAGGGAACCGACAAAAGGCCCTCAGTGCTGGACCTCAGTGTCCGGGTAGAACAATGGGAGTTGAGACGCTCCTTCAGTATACTGGGCCATTTAGGGCTTTCAAGGTCAGCACCAACACTTTGAATTGTGCTCGGAAATGTACGTATAATCCCTGACCACTGGTCCTGTTAGCTAGGGATGATGGGAGTTGTAGTCCCAAAACATGTGGAGGGCCGAGTTTGCCTATGCATGCTCTTGGACTTGCTGATCGGAAGGTCGGTGGTTCGAATCCCCACGACGGGGTGAGCTCCCGTTGCTCTGTCCCAGCTCCTGACCCAATAGAGTAGCTGGGTTCTGTGTTATAAATCAAGAACTGCTAGTTAGTTTTCCAATGTATTTCTTATTGGTAAAAAATAAATGTTGTGTGGCACAAGCAGATTTTTATCCTGAAAGTGTGACGCAGAGAGAAAAAAGGGCACCCCCAAAGGTCATCCAGCCCAACCCCCTTGCAATGCAGGGAAATTTTGCCTGTTGCGAGACTCGAACCCACGACCCTGATTTTGAAGAGTCTCATGCTCTACTAAAGGCACGCGGGTGGCGCTGTGGGTTAAACCACAGAGCCTAGGACTTGCCGATCAGAAGGTCGGTGGTTCGAATCCCCGTGATGGACGGGGTGAGCTCCCATTGCTCGGTCCCTGCTCCTGCCAACCTAGCAGTTCGAAAGCACGTCAAAGTGCAAGTAGATAAACAGGTACCGCTCCGACGGGAAGGTAAACGGCGTTTCCGTGCGCTGCTCTGGTTCGCCAGAAGCGGCTTAGTCCTGCTGGCCACATGACCTGGAAGCTGTACGCCGGCTCCCTCGGCCAGGAAAGCGAGATGAGCGCCGCAACCCCAGAGTCGGCCACGACTGGACCTAATGGTCAGGGGTCCCTTTACCTTTACCTATGCTCTACTAAGAAGCACTGCTCAGAGCAGTTTGGAAGAGTCTTATTTCAGAGGTGAAAACAAGTGCGCATTCAGACAGAGGTGCGGAACATTGTTATCTCTGCTTCCTTACTATTTGCTCCTCGGCTCCTGCCCACAGGTGAACGAGCAAGTTTTTCATAACCTCACCCGCGAAGAGGCCATTCAGTACCTCCTGGAGCTGCCACCGGGCGAAGAGGTGGCGTTGCACGTTCAGAATAAGCAGGACAGTGAGTAACTCGCCATTGTCGTGTCCCTCCAGCCCTCATTTGCCATTGCTTAACTAGGACTTGCCGATCAGAAGGTTGGCGGTTCGAATCCCCGCAACAGGGTGAGCTCCTGTTGCTTGGTCTCTGCTCCTGCCAACCTAGCAGTTCGAAAGCACGCCAGTGCAAGTAGATAAATAGGTACCGCTCCGGCAGGAAGGTAAACGGCGTTTCCGTGCGCTGCTCTGGTTCGCCAGAAGCGGCTTAGTCCTGCTGGCCACATGACCCGGAAGCTGTACGCCGGCTCCCTCAGCCAGTAAAGCGAGATGAGCGACACAACCCCAGAGTCGGCCACGACTGGACCTAATGGTCAGGGATCCCTTTACCTTTACCTTAATCTTTTTTATTATTATTATTTTTAATGGAAGGCAAGAAAAGAGAGCGATAGACCGGCTGGCAGAACAGCGTCTTTGCAGGAGCCTCCAGCCTTCCCGAATGCCAGCAAGGCTGAACATTGGAGTAATCAGTGTTGGAAACTCAGATATATAAGCGAATTGCCAAATGACACCTTCAACCAAGGGGCGGCAACCTATGGTCCCCGGGCTGGATCAGGCCCATCTGGGTCCTAAATCTGGCCCGCGCCGTGAAGCCGGAACCCGCCGCAACGCCGAGACTCCCAGTGACGGCGACTTGTTTACCTCAGTGGTGTCTTTATTCTTTGAAGAGGGATTCAAGGGAACTTATCATGAATGTACAATTCAATTTGAGACAGGTTGAATTGTATAATAGTGAGAGGCTCACACAAGCCTGCAACCAGCTATCTCCTGGGCATGTAAAAAGGGGAATGTAACTCTGCTAAGTAAAGGAACTTGCTAGTGCAAGTTAGGAAGGATTTGAATAAACAATATATCCTCTCCTGCCACCCTGAACATTCCCACAGGGGAGATGCTCTGCAGGGGTCAGCAAACTTTTTCAGCCGGGGGCCGGTCCACTGTCCCTCAGACCTTGTGGGGGGCCGGGCTATATTTTGAAAAAAATATATGAACGAATTCCTATGCCCCACAAATAACCCAGAGATGCATTTGAAATAAAAGGACACATTCTACTCATGTCAAAACATCAGGGGGGACGCGGGTGGCACTGTGGGTTAAACCACAGAGCCTAGGGCTTGCCGATCAGAAGGTCGGCAGTTCGAATCCCCGCAATGGCAGGGTGAGCTCCTGTTGCTCGATCGCTGCTCCTGGCAACCTAGCAGTTCGAAAGCACGTCAAAGTACAAGTAGATAAATAGGTACCGCTCTGGCAGGAAGATAAACGGCGTTTCCATGCGCTGCTCTGGTTCGCCAGAAGCGGCTTAGTCCTGCTGGCCACATGACCCAGAAGCTGTACGCCGGCTCCCTCATCCAATAAAGCGAGATGAGCGCCGCAACCCCAGAGTCGGCCACGACAGGACCTAATGGTCAGGGGTCCCTTTACCTTTACCTTTACCTTTACCTTTAAAAACACCAGGCAGGCCCCACAAATAACCCAGAGATGCATTGTAAATAAAAGCACACATTCTACTCATGTGAAAAACACACTGATTCCCGGACCGTCTGCGGGCCAGATTGAGAAGGCGATTTGGCCAGATCCGGCCCCCGGGCCTTAGTTTGCCTACCCATGCATTATGGAGAGCAATGTCACTTGCCTGGGGTTCAAAATAATAATAATGATGATGATGATGATGATGATGATAATAATAATTTATTTGTACCCCACCCATCTGGCTGGGTTTCCCCAGCCGCTCTGGGCGGCTTCCAACAAAGATGAAAAATACATCAAAATGTTCGAGCCTTCGTTTCTCTCTCTCTCCTCCTATCAGTCTACAGGAAGATGGTGAAGTCCAACGTGGGCGACTCCTTCTACATCCGCACCCATTTCGATTTTGAGAAGGACGCCCCCTCTGCTCTGAGCTTCACCCGTGGTGAGGTCTTCCACGTGGTGGACACCATGTACCGGGGGAAGGTCGGAAGCTGGCTAGCCATGCGGATGGGCAAAGATCTCCAGGAACTCGACAAGGGCATTATCCCAAACCGAAACAGGTATCCTGGCAGGAGATGGGCTGTCTCTGAGGGTCCCTATGTTGTTGTTTAGTCGTGTCCGACTCTTCGTGACCCCATGATCTGGCTTATTTTACACGGGGGTAGTCCCGATCAGAGAAGACAACCTTGGAACCAGTGTATTAAATTGTATACATTACTGGCTGCACAATATTGCAATATTTCGTACAATATTAGTTAAGACACATTGCAATTAGCGGAGACTCTATAGCTACACAGGGTGATATAATCCGATATTAGAAATACTCAGAGTAGACCTATTGATAAATTCCAGCATTAGAAATACTCAAGAGTTAGACCTATGGGAATTAATGGAGACTCTAGCCCTTAAATTATATTGGCTGCATAGATTCCAGTATTAGGAATACTCAAGAGTTAGACCAATGGGAATTAATGGAGACTCTAGCCATTAAATTATATTGGCTGTATTTTTTGTTGTTGTTTAGTCGTGTCCGCCTCTTTTGTGACCCCATGGACCAGAGCACGCCAGACCCTCCTGTTTTCCACTGCCTCCCGCAGTTTGGTCAAACTCATGCTGGTAGCTTCAAGAACACTGTCCCACCATCTCGTCCTCTGTCGTCCCCTTCTCCTTGCGCCCTCCATCTTTCCCAGCATCAGGGTCTTTTCCAGGGAGTCTTCTCTTCTCATGAGGTGGCCAAAGTCCTGGAGCCTCAGCTTCAGGATCTGTCCTTCCAGTGAGCACTCAGGGCTGATTTCCTTCAGAATGGAGAGGTTTGATCTTCTTGCAGTCAATGGGACTCTCAAGAGTCTCCTCCAGCACCATAATTCAAAAGCATCCATTCTTTGGTGATCAGCCTTCTTGATGGTCCAGCTCTCCCTTCCATACATCACTACTGGGAAAACCATAGCTTTTACTATACGGACCTTTGTTGGCAAGGTGATGTCTCTGCTTTTTAAGATGCTGTCTAGGTTTGTCATCGCTTTTCTCCCAAGAAGCAGGTGTCTTTTAATTTCGTGACTGCTGTCACCATCTGCAGTGATCATGGAGCCCAAGAAAGTCAAAGCTCTCACTGCCTCCATTTCTTCCCCTTCTATTTGCCAGGAGGTGATGGGCCCAGTGGCCATGATCTTAGCTTTTTGATGTTGAGCTTCAGACCATATTTTGCGCTCTCCTCTTTCACCCTCATTAAAAGGTTCTTTAATTCCTCCTCACTTTCTGCCATCAAGGTTGTGTCATGGGTGTAATCCCATGGGATTACTGTGCTTCACTGGCCAGCAAACTTGCCTGACCTGAACCCCATAGAGAATCTATGGGGCATTGCCAAGAGAAATACCCTCCACTCAACCCATCCCGTGGTTCTCCTTTGCACCCCAGGGCGGAGCAGATTGCCAGCTTGGAGTCCGTCCTCAAGGCCACGTCGGGAGCCGCCTCTTCGGGGCCGCGGGCTGAGTTCTGGAAACTGCGGGGCCTGCGAGGAGCAAAGAGGAACCTGCGGAAGAGTCGCGAGGACCTGTCTGCCCTGACCAAGCAAGGGCACTACCCGCCGTACGAGAGGGTCGTTCTGAAGGAAGGTGAGGGCAACTTGCCTTGTTTTTGGGGACTCCAAGAGCGGTGGGCAGTGCCGGATTTACATATAAGCTAAACAAGCCATAGCTTAAAGGTAAAGGGACCCCTGACCATTAGGTTCAGTCGTGGCCGACTCTGGGGTTGCGGCGCTCATCTCGCTTTACTGGCCGAGGGAGTCGGCGTACAGCTTCCGGGTCATGTGGCCAGCAGGACTAAGCCACTCCTGGAGCAACAGAGCAGCGCACGGAAACGGCGTTTACCTTCCCACCAGAGCCTATTTATCTACTTGCACTTTGATGTGCTTTTGAACTGCTAGGTTGGCAGGAGCAGGGACCGAGCAACGGGAGCTCACCCCATCACAGGAATTCGAACCGCCGACCTTCTGATCGGCAAGCCCTTGGCTCTGTGGTTTAACCCACAGCGTCACCTGCATCCCAAAGCTATAGCTTAGGGCCCCACTATTTTATTTTATTTTTTCTGGCCCATGTAGGACCAGTCTGGATAGTTGGCCTTGGTGAAGATTTGACGTTTTCACGCCCCCCCCCAAAAAGTTTTTGATTGGAGTTTTTGCTGAAATGAGGCTGCATTTTAATGTTGTGTTTTAATCTTGTTTTTAAGTTGTATTTTAATCAATCGTTTTTATACCTGGTGTTAGCCGGTCTTGGCTGGGGCGGTTGGGGTATAAATAAAATTTATTACTACTACTTCTTCTTCTTCTTCTTCTTCTTCTGTAACAAGGTCAATAATAGCATATTTGGGTATTTTCAGTGCTTTTTTCTGGGGGGACGGACGCAGGGGTACGCATACCCCTAAACATTCTGTGAATTTTAGTACTTTTGTCCATTTACTATACAGAAATGCAACTTTTGGGTTGCGAAAGCGGCAAACCCGGAAGTGCATTCTTCCAGGTTTCTCCATGCGCACATGCGAAGAAGCACTCTATCGCACTGTGCGCATGCACAGAAGCAGCGACTCTACTTGCGGATTTTTCAGGATACGTACGGACCCCTAGAACAAATTATATCTGTAACCAGAGGGTCCGCTGTATTTATTTCCCCCGATTTGAACTATAAAACGGTGGTTTTCTTGAGTCAAAATGAGAGTACCTCTAAACATTTTATTTTATTAGAAAAAAACACTGGGTATGTTTATGCAATGTTATGCGTGAGGCTTAACCATTGGCCTTTGAGGACCTGGCACCTTCCAGATCTTTTTGGACTACAATTCCCATGCTGGCTGGCGGTTGATGATGGGAGTTGTAGTCCGAAACATGCACAGAGCATCGCCTGGAAAACTTTGCCCTGATCTCCTCCGTGATGGAGGGAGATGTACATGCAATAAATGAGCAAGATCCCTCTGACTTTCCTCCTCCTCCCTGGCAGCAACCTTTAAGCGCCCGGTTGTGATCCTGGGACCCATCGCCGACATTGCCATGCAGAAACTCAGCACCGATTTGCCGGATCAGTTTGAGATTGCAGGTGAGCCGCCTTCCCCACGAACCAAGTCCAGTGCATAGCTGTCAACCGTCCCTTATTTGGCAGGAAACTCCCTTATCCCAGCGCCGTGTCCCGCTGCTGTCCCGGATTGATGATGTCCCTTAAATTTCCCGGGTTTCAAAGGAAGCAGCTCCTCTCCCTCCCTCCCTGCCGGCCAGGGAGGAGGGAGGCTCCAACTGTGTTGCTTGGCTGCGTTGCTCACCCAATAAGGAGTCTAAGAACGACCGGGGGGTGGAGCTTGCATGCCTTGTGCCAATCAAATCGGCCGCGTTGCCTGGGGACTCGCCTTTGCTCAGCGCTTCCCAGCGGAGAGGTGACGGTGGTTTTCCTTGCTGCATCCCTTTGCCGGGTTGCTGCGCTGTGGGAACCACCGCTAGAGGCTTCGCTTGGCTGCTGGCTGGGCTTTCTGCCTTTGGCTCGGAGGGGCTTAGAAGTTTATCATACCTGTGCCTGGAAAATCCCTTATTTTGGCTGCTGATCCCTTATTTTCGAGGCTGCTGGTCCCTTATTTTCAAATCTGTAAGTTGACAGCTATGGTCCGGTGGGGCCGGGAGGGCCAGGTCTTCATATGTCGTCCGACTCACTGTGCTTTGACCGACTCTTGCGCAGTCAAAGATGGAAAAACAATATCCATCTCTCTCTTTCTCTTTCCCTCCCCATTTTTAGAGAGCGTGGCGAGAGAAGGGAGCTCATCTAAGGTTATCAAGCTGGACTCCGTGTGGCACATTGCAAAACAGGTTAGAGGAGTGAGGCGGCGGGAACGTCACGAAACTGGGGTCCAAGGGGGTGGGAAGCAGATGCTCCCTCGCTCTGAAGCCCTTCCCTTCAAAATAAGACGCTAGTCCTCATGGTTCTGTGTTGTGTTCTGAAGGCGAAGGCAAGGACCGGACCCTGATTAAAACAAAACACACGAGGCTTGGCCAGCAAGACTCTGGGAGGATGTGCCAATAATAATCACCTCTCACACCCTGGCCCAGATCCCTTTTATTAACAAAATAACTTTTAACACAGCGCTTGTAAGAACCAATCCGAGGTCCTCTGAGCATTTCAAAAACAACCACTACGTGGGTACAAAGTTAGATCCGAGAAATCCTTTTAACTACAAAGACTACTTTGAGCATGCATAAATAAAACAGGAATCAAGGAGGAATGCATTTAGCAAATCCCGGAGGTCATAAACAGGCAGTAAACAGGAAAGAAATACAGTATTTACCATATCCTTGTGAACTCTGTTTCCTGAACTGTCTCCCTGGCCCTAAGATTAACAAAACTAACAAAAGCTACATCAAAGCTACCTTCTGTCTTTATGACCCAGGATGCCTGGTGAAGCAACTGGTCTGTGTTTTAGAATGCTTAGATGCGGGTGGCGCTGTGGGTTAAACCACAGAGCCTAGGACTTGCCGATCAGAAGGTCGGCGGTTCGAATCCCCGCAATGACGGGGTGAGCTCCCGTTGCTCGGTCCCAGCTCCTGCCAACCTAGCACTTCGAAAGCACACCAGCACAAGTAGATAAATAGGTACTGCTCCGGCAGGAAGGTAAACGGCGTTTCCGTGCGCTGCTCTGGTTCGCCAGAAGCAGCTTAGTCCTGCTGGCCACATGACCCGGAAGCTGTACGCCGGCTCCCTCGGCCAGTAAAGCGAGATGAGCGCCGCAACCCCAGAGTCGGCCACGACTGGACCTAATGGTCAGGGGTCCCTTTACCTTTATGTGCCTGTCAGGCGTAGAAAATGGACAGTAGAGATAATGGACAGAGATGCAGAGGCTTTTGGGATTGAATCAGAACTTGTGTCAAATGGCCCAAAGCAATGCATTCATTGCAGACACAATGGCTTGCTACATTTTTTCATAATTCTTCATAACAATCCCATGTGGCCACCACAGTTCTGAACAGAGGGGTGATTTAAACAGGAAGCTGCCTTCTGCCAGATCAACACATTGTTTCCTCCAGCTTAGCATTCTCCACACTGATTGGCAGAAGCTTTCTAGGGAATGTTCCCATCTATACTCGGAGACTCTGGGTGTTGCTTCTTGCAGCAAAGGGGCCAACTGACCGGATGTCAAGGCAATAAACAACTATTTTACTTTTAAAAGACATCTGAAGGCGGCCCTGTTTACGGAAGTTTTTAATGTCTGACACTGTATTGTTTTTAATATTTGGTTGGAAGCTGCCCAGAGTGGCTGGGGAAACCCAGCCAGATGGGTGGGGTATAAATAAATTATTATTATTATTATTATTATTATTATTATTATTATTATTCTCTTGAACCATGCAATGTCTTGTCTTTTACATCAGATTTAAACAACACACGTTATAAATACAGGGCTGCTTTCAGATACCGTCTAAAAGTCAGATGGTTGTTTATCTCCTTGACATCTGGTGGGAGGGCGTTCCACAGGGCGGGCGCCACTACCAAGAAGGCCCTCTGCCTGGTTCCCTGTAACCTCACTTCTCACAGGGAGGGAACCGCCAGAAGGCTCTCGGAGCTGGACCTCAGTGTTTGGGCAGAACGATGGGTGTGGAGACGCTCCTTCAGGGATACTGGGCCATTTAGGGCTTTCAAGGTCAGCACCTTTGAATTGTGCTCAGAAACGTCTTGGGAGCCAATGTAGGTCTTTCAGGACCGGTGTTATATGGTCTCGACGGCCGCTCCCAGTCCCCAGTCTAGCTGCCGCATTCTGGATTAGTTGTAGTTTCTGGGTCACCTTCAAAGGTAGCCCCACGGAGAGCGCATGGCAGTAGTCCAAGCGGGAGATAACCAGAGCATGCACCACTCTGGCAAGACAGTCTGCGGGCAGGGAGGGTCTCATCCTGCATACCAGATGGAGATGCCCTGGACGCAGAATTAACCTGTGCCTCTATGGACAGTTGTGAGTCCAAAATGACTGTGAGTCCCATATGGTCTTGGCGGCCGCCCCCAGTCCCCAGTCTAGCTGCCGCATTCTGGATTAGTTGCTGTTTCCGGGTCACCTTCAAAGGCAGCCCCATGGAGAGCGCATGGCAGTAGTCCAAGCGGGAGATAACCAGAGCATGCGCCACTCTGGCCAGACAGTGCACGGGCAGGGAGGGTCTCAGATAAGAGTTGGCAGACAGCCGCCCTGGACGCAGAATTGACCTGCGCCTCCGTTGACGGCTGTGAGTCCAAAATGCCCTCCAGGTTGCACACCTGGTTTCAGATGGAGTTGATAAATAGCCGCCCTAGATGCACGATTGACGGCCTCATTTGTCGCTTTCCTGTCTCCCAGGATAAACACGCCCTTTTGGACATCACCCCGGCAGCCGTGGAGAGGCTCAACTACGTCCAGTACTTCCCCATAGTGGTCTTCTGCGAGCCGGACAGCCGGCAAGGCGTCAAAGCCATGCGCCAGTGGCTGGCCCCGGAATCCAAGAAGAGCTCGCGGCGCCTCTACGCCCAGGCTGGCAAGATGCGCAAGGACTGGAGCCACATCTTCACGGCCACCATCAGCCTGGCTGGGGGCTCCAACAGCTGGTACCAGAGTCTCAAGGACATCATCCGGGTGCAGCAAGCCCGACCCGTATGGACGACAGAGGAGCAGGTGGGTGCCGTCTGGGGTATCAGAACCTGGATCTCACGTCTTACGCTGTGGTTGTGGCATGCTGGCGTTTTCTTTTTTTTTAATGAAATATTTTTCATTTGATTTTTTAAAACGTCAGCCTCGTTCCGGAGCGGACAGAGGCTGGGGATGAAAGCTGGCAAAGAGAGATAAGGAGACTGGAATGTGAGAGGGAGGAGCGGCAGCCGAGTGGCATAGCTTCGGAGAACAGAGAGCAGGCAGCAGATAGCAAAGATCCACAAAATGCCAATATTAGCTCAGAGACGGAAGGGGAGAGGCCAGGAATTGTTGTTGTTGTTGTTTAGTTGTGTCCGCCTCTTCGTGACCCCCTGGACCAGAGCACGCCAGGCCCTCCTGTCTTCCACTGCCTCCTGCAGTTTGGTCAAACTCATGCTAGTAGCTTCGAGAACACTGTCCCATCATCTCGTCCTCTGTCATCCCCTTCTCCTTGCGCCCTCCATCTTTCCCAGCATCAGGGTCTTTTCCAGGGAGTCTTCTCTTCTCATGAGGTGGCCAAAGTCTTGGAGCCTCAGCTTCAGGACCTGTCCTTCCTGTGAGCACTCAGAGCTGATTTCCTTCCGAATGGAGAGGTTTGATCTTCTTGCAGTCCATGGGACTCTCAAGAGTCTCCTCCAGCACCATAATTCAAAAGCATCCATTCTTCGGTGATCAGCCTTCTTGATGGTCCAGCTCTCACTTCCATACATCACTACTGGGAAAACAATAACTTGAACTATACGGACCTTTGTTGGCAAGGTGATGTCTCTGCTTTTTAAGATGCTGTCTAGGTTTGTCATCGCTTTTCTCCCCAGAAGCAGGCGTCTCTTAATTTTGTGGCTGCTGTCACCATCTGCAGTGATCATGGAGCCCAAGAAAGTAAAATCTCTCACTGCCTCGTATTTCTTCCCCTTCTATTGGCCAGGCCAGGAATAGCTAGCCCAAAAACTCGAAGGCTCAAAAAGGTCAGCGAGAGGAGAGGAAAAGAGTGGAAGCGAAAGGGTTTTTCCCCCGTTGGAGGAAGGGGTAGAGTTTAGACTCAGGCAACTGCAAACTTGGAGTCAGACACGGCGTGAAGGAGCTCTGGAGTGATTTATGTGTTTGAGCAATAAACCTGAGATAATTACTGCCGTTGTCTCACTTCTGTGGGAGAGCCAAGCCATTAGAAAAATACAGACTTATTGCAAAATCAATTAAAAATCCATATAAAAAGATTGCCCTGAATCTCAAGACTTTCCCCCCCTCCATCCCCTCCATGGGTCCTAATATCAATATTTACAACAGCATATAAATCCGTTATCCACATTTTTTAGCCGTCCAAATTGTCCATAGTCTTTGTAACCTTGCAAATGAGATTAAAAATCCTGCTGTTTTCATCTGCTTACAATGATCTCCTAAATAAAATATAATTTCCTCCCATTCTTTTTAAAAGTTCTTGTCCTCTTGGTTCCTGAGCTTTCCAGTTAATTTTGTGGCTGTTGTCGTTTCTGGTCCTTTCGAATCTCGGTACCTATAATTCCTAATTAAAAAAGCTTCTGTTTTTTTTAAACAAAAGTTATTTTAAACACTTTCCCCCCCATTATATATCATCTCCCAGAATGTTTTTTATTACCTCACACATCCACCACACATGATAAAAGGTACCTTCTTTTTCTTTACATTTCCGGCAGGTATTTCTGCTGGTTCTATACATTTTTGCTAACTTCCTAGGAATCAAATACCACCGGTACATCGTTTTCATATACAGTCATATCTCGGAAGTCAAACAGAATCCGTTCCAGAAGTCCGTTCAACTTCCAAAACGTTAGAAAACCAAAGCGCGGATTCCGATTGGCTGCAGGAAGCTCCTGCAGCCAATCAGAAGCTGCGGAAGCCCCGTCGGATGTTCAAAAACCGGAACAGTCGCTTCTGGTTTTCGGTTGTTCGGGAGCCGAGGTACGGCTATAATTTCCTTTCAGCACACAACATGCTGCACGCTCGCGTTTTCAAAGAAGAACGGTTGGCTTCTGATTAATAACCATCATACTAATTAATAATATTAATTTATTTTTAGCATTGTGCATCATTCAAGAATGGGCTTACAATTATTTGCATTTTTTGAGCTGCTTTTTGCCACCTGGTGTCTCTCTGTAATAATGTTTTCTGAGTCTCTCTTTTCCATTGGACCGATCTTGGGGTTGTGTTTTTTAAAAAGAACCAGGAAGTTTGCAACCCTCTCCAGGAAACCTTTTAAGCTTAAGGGCAATAACTTCCATCTACCATGAACACATTTGCAGAAAAATTCCTGTTTTCTTAGACATTTCTTTTCTCTGCCCTCAATGATCTTACGGGTGAAACTGGTTTTGATTGGGTTTTTAACAAAATGTTATAATTGTTTTTATCGCTGATGTTTTTCGTTGTGAAATTGCTTCGAGGTATTTTACAAGAAGCACATTTCAAACGGAACAAAATCAGTAAGTGCCTGTTTGCTGATCTGCAACAACTTATACCCAAGTTGTCATGCATTTTAATAGGTAAATTCTCCTTGTAATGTATATTTTGAACAGCTGGTTTTATTGATGTTTTGAATTTATTATTTTTTAGGTCCGCTTGGTTTTTAACTTCTGGCTTTTAACTGATAATTTTAATGTATCTTCTGTGCAATTTGGACGGCTGCCCAGTCACTCTGGATTTGAACACCTCTTAGAATATCGTGACCAAACTTTGCATGACAGCTCCTGAGATCAGGAACTGCTTTTCATCTATATTTGGATGCCTGATTTTATCCTGATTTTGCACAATCATTCCTGAGATCAGGGAACTGGTTTTCCTCTATATTTGGATAAAACGGGGGGTTATTTTGAATCAAGATGGTGAACTGAACCTTTCGAAACCGCCCTGATTTTTGTTGCAGAAAAGCAAATACATTTCCTTCTTCTGAGCTTCTAGTTAATGCATGAGTTGCTTTAAACTACACGAGGGCGATCTAAACATCACCGGTTCCGAGTCATATTCTTGTTCTCTCCCAACGTGTTGAGACAAGATCTTTGCCTCTTTCATCTTTACTCATCCGATAAATAGTTGTTTCATGAATAAAGTCTCTGAACTCCAGAAACTGTAAGCGATCAAATAAATCTTATTGACCCAAGCGGCAAGCACTTCTAACAGGTTATGGGCCCAGGCGTATATTTGGAACCCCAAACGGATTTTCCCAAAGTTTCCTTTCCAAAAGCCTTCCCATTCCAGCGAGAAAGCCAGTGAGAAGGGGAGTGGATTTCAAGAGAAGTGAAGAGTAAGGCTGGGTGGACTGGACTAGGAAGAAAGAGCCGGCTGCAAGGAAGGAAGCAATCTGCAAAAGCAAAAATCCTAGGTGTGCCTCTCCCCAAAGGGAAAGCAGAAAGGGAAGGTTTGCATTGCTGGGAACTGGAACTTGCAGAGAGATGAACAATGGCTGGAATTTAGGCAAAGGCAGTAATCCCCAAGTCGAAGGAGCAGATTTTTCAACTGTGGGTGTTCAAGATAGAGAATCTCCCAGCCCGCTGCTGATTTTGCGCAATCGGATAACGAAGGGCAAGCAAGCAAAAGGCGTTGTCTTTCGCTGGAAGAATCACTGATAATACACACCAGAGGACTGGGGAAACGGTATTCAATTAGGCTGAAACAGGATGGAGACTTGCAAACTCGTCTGAGTACCACCCTAGAAATTCTTCTGCGATTGAGAAAAGTCGGCGGTGATCTTGAGGACAACCGTGCGGCGGTTTCCGTCTTACGCCGTTTACCCCAATCCTTTGATAAATGTCCTGGAGACCCAACCAGAAGCAGATTTGAGTCTTTTCCAAACAAGTAGAAGAGCGTCACAGGATTAAGAGAGTTCTTGGGGAGGAACGCAGCACAGACGCTTGTCAAGGAAAGAGCAAAGAACGTCTTTTTGTTGTGGGGAAATGGGACACCCAAGGGAATATTAGAAGTATGGGGTGCAAGCTTTAAAGCTGCCTGGTATGTTGATTCGGGTGCGAGCAATCCTAGGACAAGTTGGGTGAAAGATGCCTGCCAACTTGACAGTTGGGTGAAAGGTCCCTTCCAACTTGACAGTTTTATGATTCTAGAAGTGACACATCTTTGTTGCACCGCTTGATCCAAACAACAAAGACCGGATTTACCGTATTTTTTGCTCTATAAGACTCCTAAAAAGTAAGGGGAAATGTGTGTGCGTCTTATGGAGCGAATGCAGGCTGCGCAGCTATCCCAGAAGCCAGAACAGCAAGAGGGATTGCTGCTTTCACTGCGTAGCGATCCCTCTTGCTGTTCTGGCTTCTGAGATTCAGAATATTCTTTTTTCTTGTTTTCCTCCTCCAAAAACTAGGTGCATCTTGTGGTCTGGTGCGTCTTATAGAGCGAAAAATACGGTACTTTGCCAATGGGAACAGCAACATTCCTATATATATATACAGTGGTACCTCGGGTTAAGTACTTAATTCGTTCCGGAGGTCTGTACTTAACCTGAAACTGTTCTTAACCTGAAGCATCACTTTAGCTAATGGGGCCTCCTGCTGCTGATGCGCCGCCAGAGCACGATTTCTGTTCTCATCCTGAAGCAAAGTTCTTAACCTGAAGCACTATTTCTGGGTTAGCGGAGTCTGTAACCTGAAGTGTATGTAATCTGAAGCGTATGTAACCCGAGGTACCACTGTGTGTGTGTGTGTGTGTGTGTGTGTGTGTATATATATATATATATATATATATATATATATATGAAATTAGTTTTTTTTAACATATCATTTTCAACAGTAATTAAACATACTTTCACATCTTATTCAAATTTTTGACTTCCATCAATCCTGTCTGAAAATTTTCCAGTCTAATCTCTCAGTATGCATTTCTTATCTTCCCTATGACATTTCAAACTCATAACCAACATCTCTCTCTTTTTCTACTTTGTAACACTTCGTATATTTCTCCTTACAAAACTTCTAGCGTAATTTGTTGATTACAGTCGCTCTTCAAATAATTCATATACTTCTTCCAATCTTCTGTCAACCTCTGGTCCTGCAGGTTTCAAATCCTCCCTGTCCTTTTGTCCAATTCTGCATAGTCCATTAATTTTGTCTGCCGTTCTTTTTTCGTCGGAATTTCTTCTTGTTTCCATATCTGGGCTAACAATACTCTTGCCACAGTTGTTGTGTATAAAAACGATTTAACATCTTGCCTATTAATGAGTCGTACGGCAACATTCCTGAACGGAAAGGCCGAGCTTTTCTCAAGTGAGTCCAGCAAAGATCATTCCCATATTCATTCCCCAAGTAACACCCTCTGGGAACGACCCAGCCAAGTACGACCGGAACCATCGCAAAGCGGTACCACTAGTTCGGAGACTCGCTCCAGAAGGATACCACGGCCGATGGTATTGAAAGCCGCCGAGAGGTCCGGAAGAATTAACAGGGACGTGTTTCCCTTGTGTGTGTCTCTCTCGACAGAGCTACTAAAGCAGTTTCTGGGCCAAAACCAGAAGTGGATCCAGAAAATCAGTTTCTTCCAAAAGCGCCCGGATCTGGCCAGCGACCACTCGCTCCAGAACCTTGCCCGGGAAAGGGAGATTCTAGAAAACTGCAACCTGTGTTGCTGAGGGAAGTAGTCCGACTCATGCAACACGTTGGCGACCAAGCTACACACAATAATTGCCGTATTTTTTGCTCTATAAGACTCACTTTTCCCCTCCTAAAAAGTAAGGGGAAATGTGTGTGCATCTTACGGAGCGAATGCAGGCTGCGCAGCTATCCCAGAAGCCAGAACAGCAAGAGGGATTGCTGCTTTCGCTGCACAGCAATCCCTCTTGTTGTTCTGTCTTCTGAGATTCAGAATATTTTTTTCTTGTTTTCCTCCTCCAAAAACTGGGTGCGTCTTATGGTCTGGTGCGTCTTATAGAGCGAAAAATACGGTATTTACTTTCATTATTATCATTTTGTGTGCTTGTGTGGGTGTCTGCACATATGTGTGTTGTTGTATGCATGAAACATGGACCACGTATAAACACCATCTCCAACTCCTTGAAAGATTCCATCAACGGTATCACCGAAAAATTTTACACATCACTTGGGAAGACAGGCGAACTAATACCAGTGTACTGGAAGAAGCAAAGATCACCAGTGTCAAAGGGATGATTCTTCAACATCAACTTTGTTGGACCGGTCATGTTGTACAGATGCCTGATTATCGTCTTCCAAAGCAACTACTCTATTCCGAACTTAAAAATGGAAAGCATAATGCTGGTGGTCAACAAAAGAAGTTTAAAACTGTCTCAAGGCTAATAATAATAATAATAATAAAATAGTATAAACACCAGCAACTGGGAAACACTGGCCTGCGAGCGCTCCAGTTGGAGAACAGCCTTTCCCAAAGGTGTCGTGGGCTTTGAAGACACTCGAACTCAGGACACAAGGGAAAGACGTGCTAAGAGGAAGGCACGCTTGGCAAACCCTCACCGTTATCAACTCTCGCTCGGAAACCTATGTCCCCACTGTGGAAGGACATGTGGATCCAGAATTGGCCTCCACAGTCACTCACGGACTCACTGTTAAAACCGTGTTTGGGGAAGACAATCTTACTCGGCTACGAGGGATCGCCAAAGACAAGAAGGTCTTGGAAACAGCAGCAGCTAAGCTCTCTGAGGACCATGGAGGCTGTCACAGCCTGAGAAGATAAACCCAAAGACTAAACACATCGGCATAAAGTTATCTCCTTGTCAAGGACATGCAGCAAGATAGCATCGTTGGCTGACGGCCTGAGCTGTCCATAAATCGCCTGAAAATGCAAATGTATTTGAGAAGGCAGGTGGTACTGCAGAAAAGCAAAAGACCTTTCCTTCTTCTGGACTTCTGGCTAATGCGTGTGTTGCCTTGAACCCTGTAAAGGCGCTGTTTTGTCTAGAAATTGTTTCGTGGCCTCTCTGCCTAAGCTAAATCCCCTCGCATGGTCACCGTTTAGTTGTTCTCTCCCAACGTGTTGAGAGGCAAAACCTTTCGTCTCTGCTCATCCGGTAAATAGTTCCCGACGAGACGAATCCGTTCCTGCGTAAATAAAGCCTCTCCGGAAACTGTAAGTGATCGTTCCGGCCTAATTGACCCAAACCGCGAGCTCCCCTAACACCGCTTTCGAAACTGCCCATATTTTAACAACTGACTTGCCCTGTGTTTTTATGCTCTATGGTTTTTAAAAACAGACCAGCTTGGGGGCGGGCTATTAGAATTCCAGAGCGACACGCCGTGTGCGACGAGTAAATTTATATTTTGTGTAAACGGCTTTGAGGTTTGTTTTTTTAATCATTACTATATTTTTGCTCTATAAGACTCATTTTTTCCCTCCTAAAAAGTAAGGGGAAATGTGTGTGTGTCTTATGGAGCGAATGCAGGCTGCGCAGCTATCCCAGAAGCCAGAACAGCAAGAGGGATCGCTGCTTTCACTGCGCAACGATCCCTCTTGCTGTTCTGGCTTCTGGGATTCAGAATATATTTTTTCTTGTTTTCCTCCCCCGAAAACTAGGTGCGTCTTGTGGTCTGGTGCGTCTTATAGAGCGAAAAATACAGTAGGTGATACGCAGGTTAGGTTAAAATAAACTCATCCGCCTCCCTTTTCCACCCAGGTGGATGTTCCAGCCGACGAAGGCTTGGACCTATTGAACCAGCCCTCTCCCACCAGCCCGGGCTACTTGACCTGCGACAGCCGAGCCAATAGCGACTATGATGAGACGGACGCAGAAGGCGAAGCTTACACTGACCAGGAGCTCGATGAATCCTATCAGGAGCCGGCCCTGGCTCGCTCCTCAGAACCCACCGAGCAAACCACGGATCAGGACCTCAGCGAGCGGGTAGCGGCTGCTTTGGCTTACCCAGTTAAGCAGGTAAAGGTAAAGGGACCCCAGACCATTAGGTCCAGTCGTGGCCGACTCTGGGGTTGCGGCGCTCGTCTCGCTTTACTGGCCGAGGGAGCCGGCGTACAGCTTCTGGGTCCTGTGGCCAGCAGGACTAAGCCGCTTCTGGCAAACCAGAGCAGCGCACGGAAACGCCGTTTACCTTCCCGCCGGAGCGGTACCTATTTATCTACTTGCACTTTGACGTGCTTTTGAACTGGTAGGTGGGCAGGAGCAGGGACCGAGCAACGGGAGCTCACCCCGTCATTGCGGGGATTCGAACCGCCGACCTTCTGATTGGCAAGTCCTGGGCTCTGTGGTTTAACCCACAGCGCCACCCGCGTCCCTAGTTAAGCAGGTAAGGAGCCCCCAAATGGGTTCCTAGGGGTCATCTACTCCAACCTAATCCCCATTCTCCTGCAGTGCTGGGCAGCCCATGTGATGGGGGAGTTACTGTAGCAAGAAACAGAACAGTTTGAGCGTATTACCCCAGTCCTGGTCCGGCTGCACTGGCTACCATTTAGTTTCCAGGCCCAGTTCAAAGTGCTGGTTTTGACCTATAAAGCCTTGAACGGCTCAAGACCACAATACCTCAAGGACCACCTCTTTCCATATGAACCCACCCGGCCCCTGAGATCATCTTCTGAGGCCCTCCTACATGTGCCTCCTCCTTGAGAGGTCCGGAGGGTGGCAACACGAGAACGGGGCCTTCTCTGTGGTGGCTCCCCGTCTGTGGAACGCTCTCCCCAGGGAAGTTTGCCTGGCGCCTTCATTACACACCTTTAGACGTCAGACAAAAACGTTCCTTTCCAACCAGGCCTTTGGCTGATCCGATTTGCATCCTCTGCCCTTTTAAAATGTGTTTTTTGTGTGTGTGGAGGGAGGGGTATTGGGTTGCTGTTTTTATTTTTTATTAGGTATTTTGTGGTTTTATATCTTGATTTTATTCCGTGAACCTATACCCCCAGGTATAGGGCAGTATATAAATTCAAACCATCTGGTACGCAGGCTGAGACCCTCCCTGCCCACAGACTGTCTCGCCAGAGTGTTTCCAGCTCTAGTTATCTCCCGCTTGGACTACTGCCATGCGCTCTACATGGGGCTGCCTTTGAAGGTGACCCGGAAATTGCAATTAATCCAGAATGCGGCCTCCAGACTGGGGACTGGGAATGGCCGCTGGGACCACATAACACCGGTCCTGAGAGACCTACATTGGCTCCCAGTACGTTTCCAAGCACAATTCAAAGTGTCAGTGCTGACCTTTAAAGTCCTAAACGGCCCAGTATACCTGAAGGAGCGTCTCCACCTCCATCGTTCAGCCTGGACACTGAGGTCCTGCTCCGAGGGTCTTCTGGCAGTTCCCCCCTTGCGAGAAGTGAGGTTACAGGGAACCAGGCAAAGGGCCTTCTCGGTAGTGGCACCCACCCTGAAGGGAGGGCCCCTTCAGATGTCAAGGAAATAAGCAGCTATCTTCTCTTTAAAAGACATCTGAAGGCAGCCCTGTTTGGGGAAGTTTTTAATATTTAATGCTGTATTGTTTTTAACACTTGATTGGAAGCCGCCCAGAGTGGCTGGGGAAACTCAGTCAGGTGGGCGGGGTATAAATAATAAATTATTATTATTATTATAAACAACAACAACAACATCTCCTGTTCTGTTTCACCGCTGAAAAGCACTTACCATTGGGACGCTTGTACTAATTTTTAGCCAAAATCTGTGCTTAAGAAAACCTAAGATGAGCCTGATGGATCAGACCCAATCCAGCCCAGAATCTTGTTCTCACGGTGGCCAAGAAGCTAGGAATCGAGGTAGACTGGCTCTGGAACTGGAGGCTCCATCAGGGCCTAAGGAAAGCCTGGCTTCTGGTACGAGCCAAAGGAGATTCATCTGGTCATCTGGTCCCAAATGACTTTTGGGAAAGGTGCAAGCAGGATTCGCACGCAAGAACTACCGTATTTTTCGCTCTATAGGACACACTTTTCCCCCTCCAAAAATGAAGGGGAAATGTGTGTGCGTCCTATGGGGCGAATGCAGGCTTTCGCTGAAGCCTGGAGAGCGAGAGGGGTTGGTGCGCACCGACCCCTCTCGCTCTCCAGGCTTCGGGCAGCTGTCCACAAGCCTTCGGAACGTGGCGGGAGTTTCCGCCGCGCTCTGAAGGCTTGCGGATAGCAGCAAGCTCCAGGAGCAAAGGCAAGGTTACGTGTGCAACTTCACCCCCGCTTCCGAACCCGTTCTGGGGGCTGGGGTCAGGGGAAGCTTGGACTTCCCCCGCCCCAGCCCCACGGCTAAAAAGGAAGCCAAGACAGTGAGCGGGATCCATCCCACTCGCTGTCTAGGCTTCTGCCAAAGCCGCGCGCAGCCTCTCCCGGCGAGACGTTGTGCGTGGCTAAAGAGGAAGCCAAGATAGCCAGCGGGATGGATCCTGCTCGCTGTCTTGGCTTCTTTGCTCTTTGGGGCTGGAGGGGGAATAATTTCCCCCCCTTTATTTTCCCCCCAAAAAACTAGGTGCGCCCTATGGTCCAGAGCGCCCTATAGAGCAAAAAATACGGTACTCTCTCCTCCTGTGGTTTCCAGGGGCTGTTCTTCAAAAGCGTCACTGCCTCTGACCACAAAGGCAGAGCCTAGCCATCACGGCTTGCGATAATTTTATTATTTGTACATCGCCCATCGGACTGGGTCGCCGCAGCCACTCTGGGCTGCTTCCAGCAAATTAAAAACGCCAAACCCGGTTTTGAAAACAATGGTGCAAATGGGAAGCGATTCTCCTTGAATTAAGAGTATCCCAAACTTTGGGTCCCCGGTTGTCGTCGGACTACAACACCCATCATCCCTAGCGAGCAGGGATGATGGGAGTTGTAGTCCCAGCGACATCCGGATTCTCACCTGCTGATTCCTCTTTCTTCCCTCTCCAGCACGACGGCGACCAGCAACCCCAAGGCCAATGGAGGGAAGACTACGGAATCAGGTAGCGCCTCCAAACTTGCTTTTTGCATTCTGGGGTACTGGGAAAATGACCACCCGAGTGGGAGGGCTGATTTTTGGTTTCCAAGGGCACGAGATGAAGAGTTTGGGGGTCGAGGACACGGTTTAGGGGCTGCAGCAACCCTGCGAGTTTTAAAAGAGGGTGGTCGGCCGGTCAACGATCCAACGATCCTGTGCGCTGGCTGCAATTGTGAATGATTGCTCAAGTTACTAGTCCACATTGGCAGTTGTTGGCAGCCCTCTGACCAGGGCCGGATTAGGTCCGATGAGGTCCTAAGTTACTGAAGGTAATGGGGCCCTTTATATGTCCAGCTGTCCTTTGTCAACAACAAACTGTCGCTGTTTTTTTGTGTTGAATATGTGCTATATGGTAATTTATGGACCTCATAGGTATCTCAAGCCATTTGCGCATGTGGCCGTGCAACCAGTCCATGCAGAATGTCGGCACCATATATATAGAAAGGTGATATTTTAGGGAGCAGGCTAGCAGGCGGGGCCCATGATTTACATCCTAGGAGCCTACACAACACAAAACACTGTTGCTGTATGTAGGTTTTATTTTATTTGTTTTTTATGTTACATTTTGGAAATGTACATCCAGGTTTTTTTCCCCCTTTACATTTTTTGGGGGGTTCCCAAGAGAGCGGGGCCCTAAGCTATAGCTTGTGTGTCCAAACTTTTTTCAAAGAGGGCAAGATTTGATGAAGTGAACATGCGTCGCAAGGGCTGACCAAAGTTTATTGGACTGAAGTTGCTGAGCTTTTTATTGGATTTTACCCCAGGAAATAGGGACGTGGGTGGTGCTGTGGGTTAAACCACAGAGCCTAGGACTTGCCGATCAGAAGGTCGGCGGTTCGAATCCCCGCAATGACGGGGTGAGCTCCTGTTGCTCGGTCCCTGCTCCTGCCAACCTAGCAGTTCGAAAGCACGTCAAAGTGCAAGTAGATAAATAGGTACCACTCCGGCGGCGTTTCCGTGCGCTGCTCTGGTTCGCCAGAAGCGGCTTAGTCCTGCTGGCCACATGACCCGGAAGCTGTACGCCGGCTCCCTCAGCCAGTAAAGCGAGATGAGCGCCGCAACTCCAGAGTCGTCCGCGACTGGACCTAACAGTCTGGGGTCCCTTTACCTTTTACCCCAGGAAATAAACTGCCACAGGGGGGCTGGATCGTACCGACCGGCGGGCTTGAACGACTTGAAATAAAAACCCCTCTTTTGCTTTAGTTTTGCAACCTGGTTTTCCTCTCCCCCAGGGAATATGAACACGATGCCCTGCGGAAGAAGTTCACCCACGCTCAGACCTACGACTCCGAGTCGGACCAAGACTACGGTTACGACTGGGGTCCTGCCACAGACCTCTAGACTGTTCTGCAGAGATTGGGGTTCGCCGATTGGAGGAATACACGATGTGCGTTGTGTTATTTTTTCCCCCATTTTGAAATTCTGTGCCTACGACATCCCTGTATGCCCTCTTACCAGCCCCGGGTCCCTGCGGATCAGGCCCCCCCCCGACCCCAAACTCAGGTCCCGATTCTTCGCGGCACCACCTAGCAAGGAACCGTTCCGCCTCCCTTTGCTCCGAAAATCCCGGGATCTGGGGCGGGGGGGGGGGAACGATCTGTGCCAACGGCTCGCAGCTTCTGAACAAAAGACCTCGAGGCAAATCGGTTCTTTTTTAAAAAACGAGGAGATGGAAAATAAATAAATCTCCATGCACACCTGCAAAGTTTGGGCCAGTTTTTTAATAATAATAATAATATAAAACCTCCGTAATTGATCTCTCGCTGTTGGAGAAACACTCAAACGCCCCTCTGGATTTTTGCCTTAATAAATAGCTTGTTTTAGCTGTGTTTCAGTTCTGGGTTTTTGTGTGTGTCAGGAGCTGAAAACTCCAGATAGCTTTTCCTGGAGATCCTTGCTTTGCAGATTTATTTCATCTTTCGTTTCCTAAAACGTTCACATCGTTAAAAAACAACAACAACACAAATCCGTTCGCCTCAACGGAGCTTCGCAGGTCGTTTCTCAGAATAGAGAAATCGGGAAGTTAAAGCGAGTTGTTTGTCGGAATTGTAGATGGAGAAAATGAGGATCTCTCGGGGGCTTAAGGCCGTGTTAAAATGAGAGAGTCACAGGAGGCTGCCTGTTTGAGCAGAGACAATACCATATTTTTTGCTCTATAGGGTGCACCTAGTTTTTGGGGGTGGAAATAAAGGGGAGGAATTATTCCCCCCCCCCCAGCCCCAAAGAGCAAAGAAGCCAAGGCAGTGAGCAGGATGGATCCTGCTCGCTGTCTTGGCTTCCTTTTTAGCCGCGGGGCTGGGGCGGGGAAGCCCAAGCTTCCCCTGACCCTAGCCCCCAGAACGGGTCTAGAAGCGGGGGCGAGGTTGCACGTAACCTCGCCTTCGCTCCCGGAGCTTGCTGCTATCCGCAAGCCAGTGTGGTGTAGTGGTTAAGAGCGGTGGACTCGTAATCTGGGGAACCGGGTTCGCGTCTCCGCTCCTCCACCTGCAGCTGCTGGGTGACGTTGGGCTAGTCACACTTCTCTGAAGTCTCTCAGCCCCACTCACCTCACAGAGTGTTTGTTGTGGGGGAGGAAGGGAGAGGAGAATGTTAGCCGCTTTGAGACTCCTTAAAGGGAGTGAAAGACTGGATATCAAATCCAAATCCAATCCAAACTCTTCTTCTGAGTCCGGCGGGAACTCCTGCCGTGCTCCGAAGGGTTGTGGATAGCTTCCTGAAGCCTGGAGAGCGAGAGGGGTTGGTGCGCACCGACCCCTCTCGCTCTCCAGGCTTCAGCAAAAGCCTGCATTCGCTCCATAGGACGCACACACATTTCCCCTTCATTTTTGGAGGGGGAAAAGGGCGTCCTATAGAGTGAAAAATACGGTATGCTGGCGAGGGCCTATTTGACACTTCCAACCACTTCCCTACTTAAAAGCGCCTCTCAAGCTGGGGGAAATTGCAGTCTTCCACTCACCAGTGGAGGGGGGGGGGGAAGGAAAAACAGCTTGAGGAGGCGGACTTTGGATGGGAAAACCCCAGATTCAAAGAAGCCCTGCCTCCCAGCTCAAACTGGCAGCTGCCTTGCAGGCACAAAACTCTCCCCCCCAAAATACCGTATTTTTCGCTCTCTAAGACGCACCAGACCACAAGACGCACCTAGTTTTTGGAGGAGCAGAAAACAAGAAAAAAAATATTCTGAATCTCAGAAGCCAGAACAGCAAGAGGGATCGCGGCGCAGTGAAAGCTGCAATCCCTCTTGCTGTTCTGGCTTCTGGGATAGCTACGCAGCCTGCATTCGCTCCATAAGACGCACACACATTTCCCCTTACTTTTTAGGAGGGAAAAAGCGAGCCTTAGAGAGCAAAAAATACGGTATTTCCCATGTGCTCACCCTAAAGGTTTTTCTAAAAAATAAAAATACAAACTGCCAGGTTAGGCTCTGCCCTAACCTTTTACCCTGAGATGCTGGATTTCTGACTGCAGGAAATGCAGATTTTTGCATTCGCTCACATCCTTGTGAAGTGATAAATCGGTCCAGACATATTTGTTTTTTAGTATTTCGGCTGACGATCAGCAAGGCGGCACGTTCCCCACCGCTTACTGAAAGGTTTGTGGATGGACGCCTGCTGCAAGTTTTGCTTTAGGCCTGTTTCTAGTTGCAAAGACCAGCCGCCGAAGTTTTTAACACACTGCAGGACTGAGTGTGTGTGTGTGAGAGAGAGAGGTGGAGATATCTGGTCTATTCTAGAAAGACGGTAGAGCAGTGAGGTGGGTGTAGACTGTCCCACTGCAAAGAATTTTGTTTCTTTATAATATATAACCCAACCTCCCTGCAAGGAGAAATCTAGCACCTCAAGGAAAAAATTGTTTCCATGCAATCAGGAAATCCAGCCCCTCAAGTAAAAAACAGTTCCTGCGTAATCCCTTCGCCGCTATGCTCTTTCCCCTTATTTCCAGGACATGCAAATTTTAACACAATGGCAGCATTTATTTCAATATATTTAAAATTATTTATCCACCAGCAGCGTGGTGGGGTACAGCCTTTCTCCCACGGCTTCTTAGCGGCTTCCCATGTCCCAAACCCAGAAAACAATTCCACACACACACACACAAAAACCCACATCTCCGAAACCGCAGGGCAACGCTTGAAGATGGACAATTTACCAGCACCCAAAAAATTAACTGCACACAAACACACGCTCCCAGTTAAAGCAAAATAAAACCTTTTTTTCCTGTGATTCCGGGTGGAGAAAAAGTCCGTTGAGAGGCAGGCAGGTCTGAATTCAGAGAAGACGCCTTTTTGGTGCACAAAAAGTCTGGTTTGCGAAGCGAGAAGGGGTTGCATGCAACTTGTTAAACAGGTGTAGATTTGCCGCCGCCCCAAGAAAACACCTCCCTTCATAGGAAAACGGGTTGTTCCTGTCCGGTCAGAAGACGGTAAGTTGATGCCGGCATGGTTTTGATGTGAACCTGGAATAAAAAAGACACAAGGGGTGTTTGCGTTAAAGCGATTATCACTGGGGAACAATATTTTTTTGCCATTTTCTGTTGCGTGAGATTTTTCAGCCGTTCTTATATGTTCTTTCAAATGCTGCTTTCAAATGCAAGTCACTTACATTTATCCTCCTATTGTACTACTTTGGCTATGCGTTTAATAAAATGTTGAATTCTTGCACTGTGAAAAACAAAGATTACGGTGAAAAGCGAAAAACATGAATTGCAAAAAAAAAAAAAACCAACTAGAGCTTACAGAACAAAACCAACTTCAGATGTGAAATCAGCACGTCGAAATTAGGTTAGAACGACTGCAGGTGTCAATGCAACAAAAAAATTGTTCCCCAGTGTATTCAGCAAGTCCTGCCTAACAAAAAAAGTTGACTTTGCTAATGTTGTTGTTGTTGTTTAGTCGTTTAATCATGTCCGACTCTTCGTGACACCCTGGACCAGAGCACGCCAGGCCCTCCTGTCTTCCACTGCCTCCCGCAGTTTGGTCAGACTCATGCTGGTATCACTGCAGATGGTGACAGCAGCCACAAAATTAAAAGACGCCTGCTTCTTGGGAGAAAAGCAATGACAAACCTAGACAGCATCTTAAAAAGCAGAGACATCACCTTGCCAACAAAGATCTGTATAGTTAAAGCTCTGGTTTTCCCAGTAGTGATGTATGGAAGTGAGAGCTGGACTGATGGCCGAAGAATGGATGCTTTTGAGTTCTGGTGCTGGAGGAGACTCTTGAGAGTCCCATGGACTGCAAGAAGATCAAACCTCTCCATTCTGAAGGAAATCAGCCCTGAGTGCTCACTGGAAGGACAGATCCTGAAGCTGAGGCTCCAAGACTTTGGCCACCTCATGAGAAGAGAAGACTCCCTGGAAAAGACCCTGATGTTGGGAAAGATGGAGGGCGCTTGGAGAAGGGGACGGCGGAGGACGAGATGGTGGGACAGTGTTCTCGAAGCTACCAGCATGAGTTTGACCAAACTGCGGGAGGCAGTGGAAGACAGGAGGGCCTGGCGTGCTCTGGTCCAGGGGGTCACGAAGAGGCGGACACAACTAAACAACTAAACACCAACATCATCATCATCATTATTATTACTACTACTGCTACTACTATTTCCACAAAAAACCCCACACCCCTGTAGATTGTCAAAGTTTCCCATCCCTCTCAGAAGGGGCGTTCCTGTACTTGCAAATTCAGCATCTCAATAAATAATCCTTTGCTGAGGAGGGATGCTTTGATGCCCACCTCGCTGACCGCCTGTGTCAAGATCTGGATGATCTTCTCGTGTGGCATGGCGACCACGCTCTGCCCGTTGATCTCGATGATCCGGTGTCCCACGCGGATCCCGCCCCTCTCGGCGATCCCCCCTCGCATGAGGCTGCAGATCTGGAGCAGGAAGAAGGCAGAGGGACCCTGTTTAAGAGTTGGGTAAAGGTAAAGGGACCCCTGACCATTAGGTCCAGTCGTGGCCGACTCTGGGGTTGCGGTGCTTATCTCGCTTTATTGGCCGAGGGAGCCGGCGTACAGCTTCCGGGTCATGTGGCCAGCAGGACTAAGCCGATTCTGGCGAACCAGAGCAGTGCAGGGAAACGCCGTTTACCTTCCCGCCGGAGCGGTACCTATTTATCTACTTGCACTTTGACGTGCTTTCGAACTGCTAGGTTGGCAGGAGCAGGGACCGAGCAACGGGAGCTCACCCCGTCATTGCGGGGATTCGAACCGCCGACCTTCTGATCGGCAAGTCCTAGGCTCTGTGGTTTAACCCACAGCGCCACCCACGTCCCATATATATATGCATATATTTATGCATATTTGATATATGCACATATGAAATATGCATCTATGCATATTTATGCAAATCTTTCCAGTCTTATGTGCCTCCAAAGGTCTTAACGCAGCCCCATTTGCAAATTTCCTTTGTTATTTAAATTCACTCCAATCCCCGCCTACCCTCCAAAAAACACCCCGCAAAACTTTTCACCACGCAGCCTGGCTCGCTCGCTCGAGCCACCTAAGTTACTCACAATGCCGTTCTCCACGCAGAACCCCAGCGGGTATTTCGCATCAGGTCTCCGCACAATGGCGGTGGTGACGGGCGGGCAGTGGACCACGCTGAGGGTCACCACAGTCTGGCTTTTCAAATCCTGGGAAGGGAGAGCACGGAAATTTGAGGAGCTGGCTTACAGTGGTACCTATTTATCTACTTGCACTGGTGTGCTTTTGAACTGCTAGGTTGGCAGGAGCAGGGACTGAGCAATGGGAGCTCACATCGTCGCGGGGATTCGAACCGCCGACCTTCCGATCGGCAAGCCCAAGAGACTCAGTGGTTTAAACCACACGTATCCGTAGCTGTCAACTTACAGATTTGAAAATAAGGGACCAGCAGCCTCGAAAATAATGGATCAGCAGCCAAAATAAGGGATTTTCCAAGCACAGGTATGTTCGACTTCTGAGCCCCTCCGAGCCAAAGGCAGAAAGCCCAGCCAGCAGCCAAACGAAGTCTCAAGCGGTGGTTCCCACAGCGCAGCAACCCGGCAAAGGGGACGCAGCAAGGAAAACCACCGTCACCTCTCCGCTGGGAAGCGCTGAGCAAAGGCGAGTCCCCAGGCAACGCGGCCGATTTGATCGGCACAAGGCATGCAAGCTCCACCCCCCAGTCGTTCTTAGACTCCTTATGGGGTGAGCAACGCAGCCAAGCAACACAGTTGGAGCCTCCCTCCTCCCTGGCCGGCAGGGAGGGAGGGAGAGGAGCTGCTTCCTTTGAAACCCGGGAAATTGAAGGGACATCGTCAATCTGGGACAGCAGCGGGACACGGCGCTGGGATAAGGGAGTTTCCCGCCAAATATGGGACGGTTGACAGCTATGGGCGTATCACCACGTATCATCGTCCCACCACTGCTTCCCAGACTCTGAGCCTTCTTCCCTTCGGCGTACCCCAGCTGGTGCTCTGCGTCCCACCAGCCCTGGGAAGGAAAAGGAGTCTCCTCCTCCGCCGTCGCTCACCTGTATGATGCCCTGGCAGGAAGCCAGGGGCAACCCCACCAGGCTGGTACCGTTGGCTGACATGATGCGGTCCCCGATACTCAGCTTCCCTGACCGCTCCGCTGCACCTTTGTGCATGAGGTTAGCCACCACCACGGTGGGCAGGATGGAGCCCCAGCCCGACTCCACGATCACGATGCCCAGGATCTCCCCCTTCTGCTTGTGGATGATGACCTGAAAGGGAAACACAGGGCAGGAATAAGTGTGGCGCCACGTCTGTAGGAACTGGTGTGATCTTTCAGTGTGTCTATCCAAAACTTCCCTCTTGTGGTTTATCCCCACAACAGCGACTCACTTTGGGTTTTAGTCAAGCAAGCAGTCTAATTTGTCAACGCCTAAATGATCTTCGCTGTGGGTTAAACCACAGAGCCTAGGACTTGCCGATCAGAAGGTCGGCAGTTCAAATCCCCGTGATGGGGTGAGTAACTAAGGTGGCTTTTTGGGGGACAGGGGGCGGGCAGGTGTGGAGGACTCCCTGGTCCTGAATGGGGTAACTCTGCCCCTGAAGGACAAGGTGCGCAGCCTGGGAGTCATTTTGGACCCACAGCTGTCCATGGAGGCGCAGGTTAATTCTGTGTCCAGGGCAGCTCCATCTGGTACGCAGGATGAGACCCTCCTTGCCCGCAGACTGTCTGGCCAGAGTGGTGCATGCTCTGGTTATCTCCTGCTTGGACTACTGCCATGCACTCTCCGTGGGGCTGCCTTTGAAGGTGACCCGGAAACTGCAACTAATCCAAAATATGGCCGCTGGAATGGGGACTTGGGGGCAGCCACCGAGACCACATAACACCGGTCCTGAAAGACCTACATTGGCTCCCAGGACATTTCCGAGCACAATTCAAAGGGTTGGTGCTGACCTTGAAAGCCCTAAACGGCCTTGGCCCAGTATATCTGAAGGAGCGTCTCCACCCCCATCGTTCTGCCCGGACACAGAGGTCCAGCTCCAAGGGTCTTCTGGCGGTTCCCTCCCTGCGAGAAGCCAAGTTACAGGGAACCAGGCAGAAGGCCTTCTCGGTGGTGGCGCCCTCCCTATGGAACGCCCTCCCACCAGAAGAAGATAAACAACTACCTGACATTCAGAAGACATCTGAAGGCAGCCCTGTTCAGGGAAGTTTTGAATGTGTGACATCTTAGTGTATTTTTGGTATTTGTGGAAGCCGCCCAGAGTGGCTGGGGAAACCCAGCCAGATGGGCGGGGTACTAATAATAAATTATTATTATTATTTATCTTGACCAATCCCCTACATTGCAGGTGAGGTCTCCGCCCACCCACCTCTGGGGAGAGGAGGGGAAAGATCCGTCCTTACTTCCTTACAGTTCTCTTGCTTGGAGAAGTGCGCCAAATCACCGTTGTATAGCTCTTCCCCCGGGACGAAGCTTTCGTCGCCCTCGTCGTCACCGCACCGCCGGGGATGGAGTTGGTCGGGGTCGATGCCGCTGGCCCTCAGGAACTGCTGGTACGCGACGCTGAAAGCTTGGCCGATAGCTTGGGCTATCAAGGGAGCCTGCGGAAGGAGAAGGCGAGTTTCCGGCGCAGAACTTGAACCCAGGACCCGGGGGTTAAGATGCTCTACTGACTGAGCCATCAACAATAATAACATCACCATCAGCATGGTTGCGACTACAATTATTATCGTTACACAGAGCAGATAAAAATCAATGATTTTTTTTAAATCAGATTTTTTTATTTGATTTAAAAAATAATAATAAAAAAATACAATTTGAATTTTAAAAAATAAAATTTAAAAATCTGATTTTTTTAAATGTAAATGGGATTTTTTATTTAAACCGCATTTTTAAAATAAAATACTTTTTTTTTTGGGGGGGGGGGAATCTTTCTAAAGATTTTCTATTTCAGTTACATTATAGTCCAAAGGCTATTCATCAGGAAAAAAGGATTGGCGTTAAGTTTTTCACGTGTTCTAAAACTCAGTCTGTTTTTTAATAAAATAAAATTGTTTAACCACATCAGTTAACAAACATGGATACATACGCTATAATGTCATTGTTTTAGTTAAATAAATTGTTTAAATTGTCATTAAGGGAATGATTGTTTTTCTCCCTCCAATAAAGTACAGCAGAAAAGTTGCCCAGATATAAACAGTTAACTTACTAAACCTCACAATCATTTCATCATTATCTATGTATTTCTGACAGTAAAACCAAATCAGTCGTTTTTTATATTGCTGTAAAAACTGCTCTGAAAATTCATTATTCAAAAAAACTGAAACCTTCCTCTTGTTGTCAATATTAAGATAAGACCAACAAGAACGAGTCTATCGGGGGGGGGGGGAGATTTGAATCAAGTCTTACCGACCAGCGATTTAAATTGATTTGATGTCAATCAAATCCACCCTGTTGCTATATTCCACTTACTATTTATCACTTGTCATATGGTCTAGAAACTTGATTTCAAAACATAGCTCTCTGCATTCTACCTCTCCTTTAAAGCAAAACCAGTGAAGGCGGTGAAGGTCCTGTGTGAGTGCCTGGAGGCGGCTGGAGGATGGATGGCGGCTAACAGATTGAGGCTGAATCCTGACAAGACAGAAGTACTGTTTTGGGGGGACAGGAGACGGGCAGGTGTGGGGGACTCCCTGGTCCTGAATGGGGTCACTGTGCCCCTGAAGGACCAAGTGCGCAGCCTGGGAGTCATTCTGGACTCACAGCTGTCCATGGAGGCGCAGGTCAGTTCTGTGTCCAGGGCAGCTCCATCTGGTACGCAGGATGAGACCCTCCCTGCCCGCGGACTGTCTGGCCAGAGTGGTGCATGCTCTGGTTATCTCCTGCTTGGACTACTGCCATGCGCTCTACGTGGGGCTGCCTTGGAAGGTGACCTGGAAACTGCAATTAATCCAGAATGCGGCAGCCAGACTGGTGACTGGGAGCGGCCGCCGGGACCACATAACACCGGTTCTGAGAGATCTGCATTGGCTCCCAGTACGTTTCCAAGCACAATTCAAAGTGTTGGTGCTGAACTTTAAATCCCTAAACAGCCTCGGGTCCAGTATACCTGAAGGAGCGTCTCCACCCCCATCGTTCAGCCCGGACACTGAGGTCCAGCTCTGAGGGTCTTCTGGCGGTTCCCTCATTGCGAGAAGCGAGTTTACAGGGAAGCAGGCAGAGGGCCTTCTCAGTGGTGGCACCTGCCCTGTGGAACGCCCTCCCATCAGATGTCAAAGAGATAAAGAATTACCTGACATTCAGAAGACATCTGAAGGCAGCCCTGTTTAGGGAAGTTTTTAATATTTAATGCTGTATTGTTTTTAACACTTGATTGGGAGCCGCCCAGAGTGGCTGGGGAAACTCAGCCAGATGGGCGGGGTATAAATAATAAATTATTATTATTATTATTATTATTATTATTATTATTATTCTCCTTTCCATTTCTACACGGGACCTCACACACATATACGGCCCCCGAGGTTCTCCCCCGGCCCCCAATTTCCCCAGGCTCACATCCGCCGAGTGGAAGACGTGGCAGATCATCTTGTAGAGTTGCTTTTCGGCAGAGGCGTCGGCCCGGCGAGGAAGTTTCCGGCGGGCCATGAGAACCACGATGTTCCCAATGTCAGCGATGTAGGAGATAGTTTGCAGGAGATGATCCATCATCGCCTCCTGGGAACAGAGAGACGGAAAGGAAGGAGAGAAGTCACAAGGAATAGGAGCCGGGCTTTGGCCAAGTTGTTTTTGGCACTCGGAAATTCCTGGTGAATCCTCGAACTCGAGCCCTGCTTCGGCCTCTGCCGCTAGGCTACCCGGAAGCCCGCAAGGGACGCACCTGGGAGTCGGCCGTCAGGACCTTGATCCTCTGCGTGGAGATGAAGAGGTCCACCTCCGTCATGGGCTGCGATTCTCCTTCGGGGGCCTGTAACGCAAAGGCAGGCATCTTGAGGCAAGCGATGGCCGGGAAATAGAGAGACGGGGTGGTCGGGAAATGGAGACATGGGGCAAGTGATGGCTGGCAGAGGGAGCAGTATGGGGCAAGTGATGGCTGGGAGATGGAGAGACATGGGGCAAGTGATGGCTGGGAGATGGAGAGACATGGGGCAAGTGATGGCTGGGAGATTAAGCAAAGTGGGGCAAGTGATGGCTGGAAGATTAAGCAAAGTGGGGCAAGTGATGCCTGGGAAATTAAGCGAAGTGGGGTGAGTGATGGCTGGGAAATTAAGCAAAGTGGGGCAAGTGATAGCTGACAGAAGGAGCAACATGGGGCAAGTGATGGCTGGGAAATTAAGTGCAGTTGGGCAAGTGATGGCCAGCAGAGGGAGCAAAATGGGGCAAGTGATGGCTGAGAGATTAAGCAAAGTGGGGCAAGTGATAGCTGGCAGAAGGAGCAACATGGGGCAAGTGATGGCTGGGAGATGGAGAGACATGGGGCAAGTGATGGCTGGGAGATTAAGCAAAGTGGGGCAAGTGATGCCTGGGAAATTAAGCGAAGTGGGGCGAGTGATGGCTGGGAAATTAAGCAAAGTGGGGCAAGTGATAGCTGGCAGAAGGAGCAACATGGGGCAAGTGATGGCTGGGAAATTAAGTGCAGTTGGGCAAGTGATGGCCAGCAGAGGGAGCAAAATGGGGCAAGTGATGGCTGAGAGATTAAGCAAAGTGGGGCAAGTGATAGCTGGCAGAAGGAGCAACATGGGGCAAGTGATGGCTGGGAGATGGAGAGACATGGGGCAAGTGATGGCTGGGAGATTAAGCAAAGTGGGGCAAGTGATGGCCGGCAGAGGGAGCAACACGGGGCAAGCGATAGTCAGCAAATGTAATAACATGGGGCAAGTGATGGCCAGCAGAGGGAGCAACATGGGGCAAGTGATGGCCAGCAGAGGGAGCAACATGGGGCAAGTGATGGCTGGGAGATTAAGCAAAGTGGGGTAAGTGATAGCTGGCAGAAGGAGCAACATGGGGCAAGTGATGGCTAGGGGATTAAGCGAAGTGGGGCAAGTGATGGCTGGGAGATTAAGCTAAGTGGGGCAAGTGATGGCCGGCAGAGGGAGCAACACGGGGCAAGTGATGGCCGGCAAATGGAATAACATGTGGCAAGTGATGGCCAGCAGAGGGAGCAACATGGACCGGACCACAGACCCCTTTAGCCCCACATCCTGCTTCCAGAGGTGAACAGCCAGAGTGACCCAACAGAAAGTCCACAAACCTCTTCCACTCTGTCCCTGCCAGCAGGCGCCGAGAGAGATAGACTGCGCCTGTACCTGGAGGCTCCGCTTGGGTGGAATTAGGAATGCTAAAGGATCCTTTGCTGGACTGGACCAAAGCTGCCTCTAAGGCAACACATCTCTGGGGACAGAGGTTGCAGCAGCTGCCCGCTCCTCCAGGATCTCACCTTGATCCTGTCCACGGCTTTCTGGGCTTGGGCCATGCGGACGTGGGTGGGGGGGTTCCTCTCGGAGACCAGCTGCGTGGAGCCCAGGTACTTGGCCCCGAAGATCACGCCGTCCAGCAGATCTTCGGGCTCGCAGGGGCCTGGGACTGGATTTAACGACGAAAGGGCCCGTTTCTTAACGGAACGTGGAATGGAACAAAGCAAAAAAACCAAAACCTTTCCCTCAACCCTCAAGTTTCTAGTCCACATGGGGGAAGTTCTGCAGCTGGAACAAGAGCAACGCCCCTCTTTTCTGTATGAGATTGTGATAGGAATCTTGAGGTCTTAGATATATGGCAATGTTCATAACCGCACATACATAGATCAGCACAGGAAGACCGACCTGAAGCCATTTTGATTCCTAAACTGAGCCAATGTTTTCTCTGCAAGGTCAAAGTGGGAAACCTCCCATTGTCTCTTTCCTCACAAATCCTGTCTTAAGGGTATGTCTGTGTTTGAATAGGGTGTGAGCCTGTGACCTGGCCCAGGAACTAAGTATTTATCACTACAAAAGTCTAGCCAGGCTACCCAGGAAATCCAATCAAGTAACCTGCCAGACAGGAGATAAACAAGGACAGGAGAAAAACAACCTTCAAATTTCTGTTGTAGACCGCCTTTTCTGTGACGTAGGTGTGATGTATCTGAGGGGTGGTCTTAGGTTACACCCCTTCTGTGATGTATGTTTGATGTTTCTGGGGGTGGCAATTTCAAAAGTCTTTATAAGGCCTTGCGCGACATTTTTCTGGGTTCCTCCTCTCTCCTGCGTGTGAGGGGAGCACCCTGTTGCAACAGATCAATAAAGATCAGGCTTACAAGCTGCTTTGCTTCTCAATATTCTCTGGTTGGCCTCTGTTATCTTCTCCTACCAATAGGGAACCTACCGTATTTTTTGCTCTATAAGACTCACTTTTTCCCTCCTAAAAAGTAAGGGGAAATGTGTGTGCGTCTTATGGAGTGAATGCAGGCTGCGCAGCTATCCCAGAAGCCAGAACAGCAAAAGGGATCGCTGCTTTCGCTGCGCAGCGATCCCTCTTGTTGTTCTGGCTTCTGAGATTCAGAATATTTTTTTTCTTGTTTTCGTCCTCCAAAAACTAGGTGCAACTTATGGTCTGGTGCGTCTTATAGAGCGAAAAATACAGTATGTAAGGACTCTATATGGGCTCTTGGATACCCCATAAGGGAAAAGGGCAAATTTTTATTTACAACAAGATCGGTAGGGTTCCGGCATGCCCAGACACAGCCCCACATGTTGAAATACCCCGACCCTCAACACAGAAGTCTCCTCCACAAGTGGGACAAAAAACCTCCTTCGCTCACCTTCCTTGTAAGTCGGCAAGGACGACAAATCCGCTTTATCCTGTTCAAAGAGGGAAACAAAACGGTTGCAGTCGGTTACGTCCTCCTTCGAACGTTGCTTAGTCAGCTTGCAAACTGCCTCATGCATTGTAACGCAGAAAGGCGGCGTGCATATAAAAAGCAAAGTCAAATGAAAACAAAGGCCCTTGCTCTGTCTACACCACTGGATGGCGGCTAACAGATTGAGGTTGAATCCTGACAAGACAGAAGGACTGTTTTGGGGGGACAGAGGGCGGGCAGGTGTGGGGGACTCCCTGGTCCTGAATGGGGTGACTGTGTCCCTGAAGGACCAGGTGCGCAGCCTGGGAGTCATTTTGGACTCACGGCTCTCCATGGAGGTGCAGGTCAATTCTGTGTCCAGGGCAGCTCCACCTGGTACGCAGGATGAGACCCTCCCTGCCCGCAGACTGTCTCGCCAGAGTGGTGCACGCTCTGGTTATCTCCCGCTTGGACTACTGCCATGCGCTCTACGTGGGGCTACCTTTGAAGGTGACCTGGAAACTACAACTAATTCAGAATGAAGCAGCCAGACTGGGGACTGGGAGCGGCTGCCTAGACCATATAACACCGGTCCTGAAAGACCTACGTTGGCTCCCAGGACATTTCTGAGCACAATTCAAAGTGTTGGGGCTGACCTTGAAAGCCCTAAACGGCCCAGTATACCTGAAGGAGCGTCTCCACCCCGAACACCGGGGTCCAGCGCCGAGGGCCTTCTGCCGGTTCCCTCCCTGCGAGAAGCGAGGTTACAGGGAACCAGGCAGCGGGCCTTCTTGATGGTGGTGCCCTCCCTGTGGAACGCCCTCCCACCAGATGTCAAGGAAACAAACAACTATTTGACTTTTAGAAGACATCCGGAGGCAGCCCTGTTTAGGGAAGTTTTTAACGTTTGACGTTTTATCATGTTTTTAATTTTCTGTTGGGAGCCGCCCAGAGTGACTGGGGAAATCCAGCCAGATGGGCAGGGTATAAACAATAACATTAATCTATTATTATTATTATTATTATTATTATTATTACGGTGACTGGCATTGGTGCTTCAACCTGGGACAAGGTGTGCCCCCTCGCGAGATCCTTACCACCACGTCTGAAGAGCAGGACGCCTCTTCCTCACGGGCGGACCCTGGAACCGGCCGCCTCCATCCCGGCTCCGGCGAAGGTCCCCCCAAAACGGAATCAGAGGAGGAGATTGGCGGCTCCTTCCATCGGCGGGGGCCTTCCCCCTGAGCCCTGTCGGAGGCCAATTCCCCGGGGGCCATTCTCCCGGGGCGGCTGCTCCCGGCCACTGCGTCCGAGCGAGCCAAGGGCGTCTCGGCGCCCGCGTCGGCAGGCGGCCCCCGTTCGTAGCGAAGGAGGCTGAGCAGATCCTCGCTCTCCACCTCAGCCGACAGCAACCCTCGCCCCCTCCGTGGGCGCGGCGGGCCCCCCAAGCCGTGCCCCGTGGCGATGTGGAGCGGGCAAGGGGCCCCCTGGCACTCTTCGGGCGCCAGGAGAGGGTCTCCATCGCCTTCGGAAACACGGCCTTCTTCGCCGTCGGAGGCGGGCAGAAGACCGTCTTCGGACGTGGGCGAACGGTCTTCGAAATTTGGGCTGAGTCGCTGCAGGCGGGTCAGGAGGCCGTGAAGATGCAGGTGATCGGAATCCGGGGCGTCCTCTTCTTCGTCCCGGACGACGTCCGCATCTTCCATTTCTACGAGAAGCTCAGCCGGGTCTGCGGGCGACAGGTCGCTTTCCTCCAAGGCTTCTCGGGGGCCTGGCGTCCAGCCGGCGTCCCCGGCCACGGGTTCGGGAGACGCCTCCATTGAGCCCCTGCTGGAGGAAAAGCAAGGTTCAGCCCTCTGAGAAGTCAGGGGAGTCTGGGCATTGTGGGGAGTGATATAAACAGAAAGGAATGTAAGCTCTTTTTATATGCAATAACAGCAGCAAGAATATTACTGGCCCAAAAATGGAAGCAAGAAGAATTACCGACAATTGAAGAATGGAGGATGAAGTTAATGGACTATGCAGAACTAGATAAACTAACAGGAAGGATTCAAAACCGGCGGGACCATAAATTCACGGAAGACTGGAGTAAATTTACGGACTACTTGACAAGATATCTGTGAAGATCAGACGACGTTTGTAGGTTTGCAGGAAGTTTTGTGAGGAGTGTTATTGGAAGTATTGCAAAAATGGAGAAGGGGAAGGATGATTTGTTAAGAGATGTAAAGGCAATATAAAGTTAAGAAATGCATAAAAGAAGTGGTTAAAATGGTGGATCATCAGAGCTGCTGATGGAAGTCTAAAAAAGATTGTTTAAGTGATATATATATATGTGTGTGTGTGTGTGTGTGATAAATAATATATATAAGATAAATATATATATATATAAGTCAGGGGTGTCGTTTCTCAGTCTGTTCTGAAATGTCTGCAGGAATGAAACTTTTGAGAGCCTCCAAAACAAAACCCTGTCTAAGTGGCGAGCCCAAATGTATATAAGATCGATTCAAAACATGCAGATAATTACAATGAAAGCATCACAGCACTAGCTGTTTCCTTTAAAAAAAGCCATTTGTTGTTGTTGCTGTTACTATTATTAAGTGTTTCCATATTTCAAAAAGTGAAAATGCAGGCACAAAAGTTGCTTGCTTTTTTACAAAAGCTTTGTTGAGCTTTGTTTTGCAAAATCTCCAAAAAATTGAAGATTTTTAGCTATCTGCCAAAAAATCAACACTTCCGACCAGTGCCGGATTCACGTATAAGCTAAACAAGCTGTAGCTTAGGGCCCCGCTCTCTTGGGGGCGTCCAAAAAAATTTAAAGGAAAAAACCTGGATGTACATTTCCAAAATAGAAGATAAAAAAACAAATAAAATAAAAGCTACCTACAGCAACAGTGTTTTGTGTTGCGTAGGCTCCTAGGATGTAAGTCATGGGCCCCGCCTGCTAGCCTGCTCCCTAAAATATCACCAGTTTGCTCCTTTCTATATATAGGGTTCCTACATTCTGCATGGACTGGTTGCATGGCCACATGGGCAAATGGCTTGAGATACCTATTAGGTCCATAAATGGCCATATAGCACATATTCAACACACAAAAAACAGCGACATTTTGTTGTTGACAAAGGACAGCTGGACATATAAAGGGCCCCATTACCTTCAGTAGCTGAGGGCCTCATCAAACCTAAATCTGGCCCTGCTTCCGACATGGGTTGCCCCGGAGATATATACTGATTTTGTTTCTGATGGACGGATCCCAGATACATCTTGGAATTTCAGTTGTAAAGGTAAAGGAACCCCATTACCTTTAGGTCCATTAGGACCATTAGGTCCAGTTGTGACCGACTCTGGGGTTGCGGCGCTCATCTCGCTTTACTGGCCGAGGGAGCCGGCGTACAGCTTCCGGGTCATGTGGCCAGCATGACTAAGCCGCTTCTGGCGAACCAGAGCAGCGCACGGAAACGCCGTTTACCTTCCCGCCGGAGCGGTACCTATTTATCTACTTGCACTTTGAGGTGCTTTCGAACTGCTAGGTTGGCAGGAGCAGGGACCGAGCAACGGGAGCTCACCCCATGGCGGGGATTCGAACCGCCGACCTTCTGATCGGCTCTGTCCTAGGCTCTGTGGTTTAGACCGTTAAATCCCTTTGAATCCTTATATCACACATCGGTTCCCAAGAGCCTGTTGGTGGAACAGGAAGGTTTTCAGCTGCCACTGGAAGGGACGAGGAGGGAGCCAGCCTGGTTTCCCTAGGCAGGGAGACCCAAAGTTGCCTGGGAGGAGCCAACACTGAGAAGGCCCTGTTCTCCATCCCCACCAAGCGGAACCGAGAGAGGGGCCTCTCCAAAGATCCCAAAGTTGCCTGGGAGGAGCCAACACCGAGAAGGCCCTGTTCTCTGTCCCCGCCAAGTGGAACCGAGAGAGGGGCGTCTCCAAAGATCTCAAAACCCAGGCAGGCTCGTATGGGACAATACGAGAACCTTGAACCTTGTCTGGCAGCATTTGGGGGCCCAGGAGTCCTGTGCCGTGGCGGTCTGCCCCACTTCAACCATCCCGGGGGGCCGTGTTTCGCGCCAGGACCGACCCCCCCCCAGTGCACCATTTCAGTGAAACAGGAACGGCAATCCCGATCCCTGCTTTGCGGCGGCGACTTGTATGAAGTTTAAAAACGGGTTTTACCTGCAGCCCTGGCTGACCGCTTGCTTGTAACCTTGGGGGCTGGAATCCGGCGGATTCAAAAGCCAATCGGATCGTTCGGCAATATCTGAGCTGCTCTGGGTCTCGGGCGCCGCCGATTCGGAGATCACGGATTCTCCTTTTGGAACGGGGGCTTGCAGACGGCCGGGAGAGGGACCGGGCTGTTCCCAGACGGAAGAAGCATCTGTTCCAGGTTTTCCGCAGGCATCTGGGTCTGTCGCCATGCGCTCCTCTAACTCCATGGAGAGGGTCTCTGGGGGGTCGGTCACCGAATTCGCCTCCGACTTGAAGTCCATCTCGCTGTCGGTCATGATGGGGCAATGAATAGCCCTACACTTGAAAACAAAAGAGAGCATACAAGACCGGGCTCCGGGGAGACCCGAATTCAAATCCCACCACCCACCTCGCCGTGAAGTTCCTTGGGGGTCTGTGCTAGAAATCCCGCAGGTTACCCCGGTAAAATGAGCAAAAATGTACAAAAATGGTTATGTTTCCTCTTCACTAACCCTAGGAATTAATTTGCAGCCTGCATTCTCCTTCTGCATCACAAATAACCCAAACCCTAGCATTTATTAATTTCTAGTGTTTACCCTAAATGTAGAACAGCGTTTAAAAATAATAATAATACAGATGTTGCAGATTGGAATGTGGAAAGGGATGCATGGAACAGACTTGCGGACACTCACACGGTTTTGTATTTTTGTTATACGGTGGTCCCTTGGTTCTCAAACGCCTTGGTTCCCAAACAACTTGGAACCCCAACGCTGCAAACCCGGAAGGAATGCTCCGGTTTGCAAACCTTTTCCGGAAGCCGAACGTGCTCTGTTTTGAGTGTTACGCTTCCGTTTTGAGTGCTACACTGAGATCTCTCTGTTTTTGCTATTTATTTTGCGTTTTTGCGGCTCTTTTTTGTGTGTATGACTGTGCGGGACCCAATTCAGCTACTGACGGATTGATTGTGTGACTGCAGTACATTGTTCATTGCTTTCATTTTACGGGTCGATGGTCTCGCTAGATAGTAAAATTCATGTCATATTGCTGTTTTAGGGGTTGTTTTTAAAAGTCCGGAGCGCATTCATCCGTTCTGCATTGCTTTCTATGGGAAAACGCGCCTTGGTTTTGGAACGCTTTGGTTTCGGAACGGAATTTCCTGAACAGATTAAGTTTGAGAACCAAGGGACCACTGTATCTGAGATTCTAGCACTGCTTGGGGGGGGGGGGGCTGGATGTTCAAAGCCCAACCTGCCTCAAAGGGTTGTTGTCGGGATTTAAATGGGCCCAGGATCTGGGAAGAGAAATTCACACCGTTTTAAGAAGAAAGGTAAAGGTAAAGGGACCCCTGACCATGAGGTCCAGTCGTGGCCGACTCTGGGGTTGCGGCGCTCATCTCGTTTTACTGGCCGAGGGAGTACAGCTTCCGGGTCATGTGGCCAGCAGGACCAAGCCGCTTCTGGCGAACCAGAGCAGCGCACGGAAACGCCGTTTACCTTCCCGCCAGAGCGGTACCTATTTATCTACTTGCACTTTGACGTGCTTTCGAACTGCTAGGTTGGCAGGCGCAAGGACTGAGCAACGGGAGCTCACCCCGTCATTGCGGGGATTCGAACCGCCGACCTTCTGATCGGCAAGTCCTAGGTTCTGTGGTTTAAGAAGAAAAGGTGTGGTATAAATGCATTAAACAAATCTAGTCTAGTATTTTGTTCTCACAGTAGCCAAAATATTACAATTTACTGAATTTTGAAGAACTGCAACGTGCTTCAGGCACCGATATACGCTAAGATAATCGGCTCAGAATGTTTCTGTTCAGGCAAAACTGCCCAGACATGTTCAGGTGTTTTTACTTTTTACTTTACTGCCGATTTTGGGGTTTTTGCCTTCTTTTATTTTTTTTAGAAAAATGTTTCCAAATGTTTTTGAACTCATCCTTCGCAGGTCGTTTCAACCCTTCTCGTAAAAGCACTCAGAGGTTTTGCTATGGTGGTCGAATCAATTAAATTCAATTAAATTTGGGAAAGGTGGCTAAAAAAGCAAGGACAACGTAACTGACAGGTAATGATTTCAGAAAAGGAAATGGCACAATTTGGTTGCCGTCTGCAGATTTTCTTTCGGAGAACAGGACTCAGTCTATTTTATTTTTTTAACAAAACAACAATAAATGTTCCCCAGGCATTTGAGAAATTAAGAGATATTTGCAGCTATCAATGGTTTTGCGAGCATAATTCCAAATTCCGGGCGTGCTTTTTCACAAGGCAAACCCACGCATGTTTACTCCCAATGATTCCCACCTCCAATATGTGCCTACAGTTGCAGCCTTCGGGTGGAAGTCTAACCCCGTCTACTCAGAAGTAAGCCTTACTGAATTCAAGGGCTTACTCCCAGTAATTGAAGTCAGAACTGAACTGCAATGCTTTGCAAGCCTTTTAAAAAAAGCAAGCAGTGAATTCTGGGTTTTTGTGGCTTGTTTACTTAGGAGTAGACAGGGTTATTGTTACTTAAAGTATTTACAAACCATCCTGGACCCAAAGGACTGAAACGGACACAACTAAACCCACCCAAAAATTAAACAAAAACACAGAACTCAGATATAGGAAAGTTGCCAGTCGTTGCCATCAAACCACCCAATTTTTTTTAATTCAGATTGAATTAATTTTTGCCTGGCTTGATGTGTAACAGATCTATAAACTTGCCAGATTATTTCACACTGTTTTGGTTGCATTTCAGACGGTTTACAAGCCAAACGAAGCGGATGCAAACTTTTTAAGGGGGGAAAACTCACTTTCTCGAAAAGTTTTTTTGTTGTTGCTGCAGAGGAGGAGCGACCGGGAGTAGAGCAGCTTTGCAAACGTGCAGGTTTTGGTGCTTTTTGCAAGCAGGATCCGGCCCGCTCATTCCGGGTCAGGGCATTGTTTGTTGCTGTTGTTTGGTTTTTCTACCCCTTGCAACTTGCAAATCCTTTCTCTGAACTTCTTTTTCTTCCTGTTGGGTCTTTTCTCTCCCTGTGCTTTGAGCATGTGTGGAGAGGAGGGAAAAAGAAAGGAATAAAGGATTCTGGGAGGTGTAGTTTTCTTGGTTGCACGGTGCTCCCATCAGCCTCCAAAGGACTGATCAGCCACCGGGTCAGAGATGTCCCTTTTAAACGCGAATAATAATCCTGTGTCACTCAGAAGCTTGCAGATTGCTTTTATCAAAATATTTATGCACGCACATGCATTCAAAAAGCAAAACCTAGCTGAATCAGCTTGACCCTCCACTGGGTCAAACAGAGAGCCGAGGCAGCCCTTTTGAATGCAAAGAATAATCCTGTGTGACCCAGAAGCTTGCAGATTGCTTTGATTAAAATATATATGCATGCACATGCATTCGAAAGGCAAAACATACCTGAATCAGCTTGACCCTCCGCTGGGTCAAACAGAGAGCCGAGGCAGCCCTTTTAAATGTGAAGAATAATCCTGTGTGACCCAGAAGCTTGCAGATTGCTTTGATTAAAATATATACGCATGCACATGCATTTAAAAGGCAACCCCCCCCCCCAAATCAGCTGGTCCCTCCACCAGGTCAAAGAGAGAGCGGTTGTGGCCCTTTTGAGCACGGAGAAGAGTCCTGTGTGACCCAGAAGCTTGCAGATTGTTTTTATCAAAATATATACGCACGCACATGCATTTAAAAGGCAAAACCCATCTGAATCAGCTTGAGCCTCCGCCGGGTCAAACAGAGAGCGGCCGTGGCCCTTTTGAGCACGGAGAAGAGTCCTGTGTGACCCCGAAGCTTGCAGATTGCTTTGATCAAAATATATACGCACGCACATGCATTTGAAAAGCAAAAACCTACTTGAATCAGCTTGATCTTTTCGAAGGGGGTAGAAAGATACCCCTGCGACGGTTTGGGGCCGAAGAAGCTCCCTCTCTGACGAAATTTGCTTCGAAGATCAAACCGGGGAGCGAATCCTCTCTCACGCGCTCTTTCTGGTCGTAATAAGACGCCTCTCTCCTCTTTAACCTGCTTTCTTTCACTGGGCTTTTGGAAGATCTCTTTGCAAGCAGATCAAGTTGCCTTTTAGGGAGCTGGGGGATCAGATTCTGTTTAAAAATCCATGATGGGGCATCGTTGTCTTTCATATGTCAGCAAAATATCAACGAGGAAAAGGCCTTCTTGTAAACAGACCTTCCTTTCGGCAGGGATAGTGTAATAGGAATTTTATGGTCTTAGATATATGGTAATGTTCATAAGCGTACCAACCAAGCACGTACATAGATCAGCACAGGAAGACCGACGTGGAACCATTTTGATTCCTAAACTGAGCAAATGTTTTCTCTGCAAGGTCAAAGTGGGAAACCTCCCCACTGCCTTTTCCTTCACAAATCCTGTCTTAAGGATATGTCTGTTTGAAGAGGGTGTGAGCCTGTGACCTGGCCCAGGAACTAAGTACCGTATTTTTCGCTCTATAAGACGCACCAAACCATAAGACGCACCTAGTTTTTGGAGGAGAAAAACAAGGGGAAAAAATATTCTGAATCCCAGAAGCCAGAACAGCAAGAGGGATCGCTGCGCAGCGAAAGCAGCAATCCCTCTTGCTGTTCTGGCTTCTGGGATAGCTGCGCAGCGTGCATTCGCTCCATAAGACGCACACACATTTCCCCTTACTTTTTAGGAGGGAAAAAGTGAGTCTTATAGAGCAAAAAATACGGTATTTATCACTACAAAAGACTGGCCAGGCTCCCCAGGAAATCCAATCAAGTGACCTGCCAGACAGGAGATGAATGAGAGAAAAACAACATTCAAATTTCTGTTTTAGACCGCCTTTTCTGTGATGTAGGTGTGATGTATCTGAGAGGTGGTCTTAGGTTACACCCCTTCTGTGATGGATGTATGATGTTTCTGGGGGTGGTCTTGATCTACAGGGTGGCAATTTCAATAGTCTTTATAAGGCCTTGCACACCATTTTTCTGGGTCCCTCCTCTCTCCTGCAAGTGAGGGGAGCACCCTGTTGCAACAGATCAATAAAGGCCAAGCCTACAGGCTGCTGTTTCGCTCCAAGTTATCCTGGTTGGTGTCTTTGTTTTTGTCCAAGGGATCCCTCGGCTTTTTCCGTTAACAAGACCCAGAGTTGAACGTTATCCTTATTGTGAATTTTAAAATATCGGAACAAACCCAGAACGTTGCACCGTCCTGCTCAGAAGAAAATGCACAGAACAGGGTCGGGTCGGGGCCCTTTTAGAGCCCGAGGGCGAGGTTCCCTCGTTGGTAACTTAACGGGGGCCGCATGAACCCTTTCCAGGGCCGAACCTAGGTTTGATGAGACCCTAAGCTACTGAAGGTAATGGGGCTCTTTATATGTCCAGCTGTCCTTTGTCCACAACAAATGGCCACTGTTTTTTGTGTTGTTATTGTCCATGGAGTTTAATATGGTCTGAAGCTCAACATCAAAAAAAACGAAGATCATGGCCACTGGTCCCATCACCTCTTGGCAAATAGAAGGGGAAGAAATGGAGGCAGTGGGAGATTTTACTTTCTTGGGCTCCATGATCACTGCAGATGGTGACAGCAGCCACGAAATTAAAAGACGCCTGCTTCTTGGGAGAAAAGCAATGACAAACCTAGACAGCATCTTAAAAAGCAGAGACATCACCTTGCCAACAAAGGGCCATATAGTTCAAGCTCTGGTTTTCCCAGTAGTGATGTATGGAAGCGAGAGCTGGACCATCAAGAAGGCTGATCGCCAAAGAATGGATGCTTTTGAATTCTGGTGTTGGAGGAGACTCTTGAGGGTCCCATGGACTGCAAGAAGATCCAACCTCTCCATTCTGAAGGAAATCAGCCCTGAGTGCTCACTGGAAGGACAGATCCTGAAGCTGAGGCTCCAAGACTTTGGCCACCTCATGAGAAGAGAAGACTCCCTGGAGAAGACCCTGATGTTGGGAAAGATGGAGAGCACAAGGAGAAGGGGACGACAGAGGACGAGATGGTGGGACAGTGTTCTCGAAGCTACCAGCATGAGTTTGACCAAACTGCGGGAGGCAGTGGAAGACAGGAGGGCCTGGCGTGCTCTGGTCCAGGGGGTCACCAAGAGGCGGACATGGCTAAACGACTAAACAACAATGAAACACCAAAGATTAAAGGCTTCCCTAAACAGGGCTGCCTTCAGATGTCTTCTAAAAGTCAGATAGTTGTTTATTTCCTTGACATCTGACGGGAGGGCGTTCCACAGGTAGGGCACCACCACCGAGAAGGCCCTCTACCTGGTTCCCTGCAACCTTGCTTCTCGCAGGGAGGGAACTGCCAGAAGGCCCTCGGGAGATGGACCCAGGTGTCCGGGCTGGACGATGGAGGTGGAGATGCTCCTTCAGGGATACTGGGCCGTTTGGGGCTTTCAAGGTCAGCACCAACACTTTGAATTTTGCTCGGAAACATCCTGGGAGCCAGTGTAGGTCTTTCAAGACCGGTGTTATATGCTTTCGGCGGCCCTGTTGTTGGGAAAGATGGAGGGCGCAAGGAGAAGGGGACGACAGAGGACGAGATGGTGGGACAGTGTTCTCGAAGCTACCAGCATGAGTTTGACCAAAGTGGGGGAGGCAGTGGAAGACAGGAGGGCCTGACGTGCTCTGGTCCAGGGGGTCACGACTAAACGACTAAACAACAACAACAAAAAATGCAGCCAATATAATTTAAGGGCGAGAGTCTCCATTAATAGGTCTAACTCTTCAGTATTTCTAATGGTGGAATTTATCAATAGGTCTACTCTGAGTATTTCTGATATTGGATTATATGACCCTATGCAGCCAATACAAATAGCTATAGGCTATAGAGTCTCTGCTAACTGCAATGTGCAATGTGTGTGTGTGTGTATATATATATATATATAGAGAGAGAGAGAGAGAGAGAGAGAGTTCATCACAACTTCAAAAAATAAAATAATAAAAATTTGTCTATGTTTTTTTACTGTTTTTTTGTTTTTTTGTGTGTGTTTTTTGGAAAGTAATAAAATGTTATCAATAAAACAAGCCACATCATCAAGAGTCTCTGCTAATTGCAATGTGCAATGTATATATATATATAGAGAGAGAGAAAGAGATTTCATCACAACTTCAAAAAATAAAATAAAATAAAAATTTGTCTTTTTTTAAAATGTTCTTTTTATTTTTATTCTTTTGTTTTTGAAAATTCATAAAATGTCATCAGTAAAACAAGCCACATCATCAGGAGCAGGCGGTCCAACGCGATTGCATTCTGCGTTGCAAAAAAATTAAATAAATAAATGTTTTTTAAAAAAAAAAATAAAAGAAGCGGACTACATTTCCCAGGATGCTCTCCGGCTCCCGCGCAGACTCCGTGCGCCTCCGCGGAGCCCGGGCAGCCTCTCCGCGTTCATGGCTCTCTCCGGGTTGCAGCTGCGGGCCGTGCTCCGCCTCTCTCCGGCCCGCAGCGTCCTCTGGCCCGGCCCGGGGCTCCGCAACTACGCCAAGAAGGCCGGCGGTAAGCCAGGATCTCGGGGGGGGGGAGGCTTTGCAAAGGGAGGCTGTTTCGGGGAACTCTGCACATGGTCAGAGGGCCAATGCATTGCATTGCATTGGCCAATTTGCAGGTAGACTGCACTGCGCTGTGGAGGTTCTGCTTCCTTCCTTCCCCCTAAAAGGGAGGCTGTTTGGGGGAACTCTGCACATGGTCAGAGGGCCAATGCATTGCATTGTATTGGGCAATTTGCAGGTAGACTGTAGACAATGTTGCAGGTAGACAATGCATTGCATTGTGTTGGCCAATTTGCAGGTAGACTGCACCGCACTGTGGAGGTTCTGCTTCCTTCCTTCCTTCCCCCTAAAAGGGAGGCTGTTTGGGGGAACTCTGCACATGGTCAGAGGGCCAATGCATTGCATTGTATTGGTCAATTTGCAGGTAGACTGCACCGCGCTGTGGAGGTTCTGCTTCCTTCCTTCCTTCCCCCCAAAAGGGAGGCTGTTTGGGGGAACTCTACACATGGTCAGAGGGCCAATGCATTGTATTGTATTGGCCAATTTGCAGGTAGACTGTAGACAATGTTGCAGGTAGACAATGCATTGCATTGTGTTGGCCAATTTGCAGGTAGACTGCACCGCACTGTGGAGGTTCTGCTTCCTTCCTTCCTTCCCCCCTAAAAGGGAGGCTGTTTGGGGGAACTCTGCACATGGTCAGAGGGCCAATGCATTGTATTGTGTTGGCCAATTTGCAGGTAGACTGTAGACAATGTTGCAGGTAGACAATGCATTGCATTGCATTGGCCAATTTGCAGGTAGACTGCACTGCGCTCCTTTTGGGGCTAATTTTTGGAACCTCATTTCCATTTTTGGGCTAACGAAACACGGGCCGCAGTTGTTGCGTACATAAATAGCCTTTTTTGACACCTGAGAATTTCCATCTGAATTATCCCCAACAGAAAGGACTCTGTTTTTTGGGGGGGGTGTGTGCTTTTAATCAAATTTTTTTCCGATCCATTATGAATTTTTCCCCCAATACCCTTTTACAGGTCCACCACATATGATAGAATGTACCTCCATTCTCATTGCATCTCCAGCACATGTCCGATTCTGTCTTATACATCTTAGGAAACCTACTCAGAGTAAAATAAAGGTAAAGGTACCCCTGCCCGTACGGGCCAGTCTTGCCAGACTCTAGGGTTGTGCGCTCATCTCACTCTATAGGCCGGGAGCCAGCGCTGTCCGCAGACACTTCTGGGTCACGTGGCCAGCGTGACAAGCTGCATCTGGCGAGCCAGCGCAGCGCATGGAACGCCGTTTACCTTCCCGCTAGTAAGCGGTCCCTATTTACCGTATTTTTTGCACCATAACACTCACTTTTTTCCTCCTAGAAAGCAAGGGGAAATGTCTGTTATGGAGCGAATGCCTACGGATGGCGGGGGGATCTGCTGGAATCGTGAGCAGAGGATCCATGGTTCCCCTTCCTTCCCTCCTCCGTGGCTCGCTTTGAAACAGCAAAGCGGGAGAAGAGCCGCTGAGTGGGGAGGAGAGAGGGACAGAGAGCCTGCTTGCTTTAAAGGAGCAAAGCGGGAGAGGAGAGGAGCCTTCTCCTCTTATACCCCTCTTCTGCATTATTAACAGCATCCTTCTCCACTCACCCCACACGTGTTCCTTGTCCCTTGAGTGCTTTTCCTTCCCTCCCCACTTGAAACATGGTTACAAAGCACAGATCCACATGGATCCTCAGGATTTTTGCATTGGGCTACCCCAAACTCACCGTCAGATCACATGTCTGTGGCCACAGCATGAACCACAAAAATCATACATCCGCTGTTTCATTTAGAATATTTTGTTTGTTTGTTTTCCTTCTCTAAAAACTGTGTGCGTGTTATGGTTGGGTGCGTGTTATAGAGCGAAAAATACGGTATTTACTTGCACCCGGGGGTGCTTTCAAACTGCTAGGTTGGCAGGCGCTGGGACCGAACGACGGGAGCGCACCCCGCCGCGGGGATTCGAACCGCCGACCACGCGATCGGCAGGTCCTAGGCGCTGAGGTTTTACCCACAGCGCCACCCGCGTCCCTTACTCAGAGTAAAATACCATGTGTAAATCATTTTCAGGTGGTTCTCCTTCAAGGAATAACATGCTGTAGACTTCAGATCGCTCTTCCAGAGTTTCCTCCAGAGAGTAAAATCTATATTATGTCCTATATCTATTGCCCAGTGTATAATAGAGTTCTTTTGTTTCCCAACCAATTTTAGGACCTGCTCCTCTTTGCTCCCTTCCCAGCAACCTCAAGGACAATGGAGGCAGCATTTCCCCCCCAGTTCATTATGGATCATTTCCCTTCTCTTTCTGTTTTCATCCAGGTGTAAAGTTCAGAGGGAAAGGCCCCACCAAAGAAGACATGAAGGGTCCCGAAGTCTGCAAAGACGCCGCGATCCTCACCACCCACGCCGTGGGGGTCAACATCTACAAGGAAGGCCCGGAAGTAGCTTTGAAGCCGGACTCGGAATATCCGGAATGGTGAGTTTGCGGCAGACGAAGAGCCAATCTTCTGTAGAAATTTAGACATTTGGTTTTTTTTAAATTAACAAATCAAGTTTCTAGTCCACAGGATGTGTGCAACGAGATAGAGATTCGGGGGACAGTGCGTTGAGGAACCTCAGGTTCCCGTTTTGAATCAGAAGAACAACTTTTTCGGAAAGGTCTCTGCCCCCCCACCCCAATGCCCGAAATATATCCAGTAGCCAAAAATACTTTTAACTTGAATCCATAGCATAGAAGTAAGGGTTTTGAATCAATAGTCAAATAGTGGATCTTATTCTGATTGCCCCAGCGACAAACCTTGCCACCTTTGCCGTCACCTGCTCATCTTGATCTGTCAAGAGAAAGGACACTGGGGCAGGGGCTGGGCGACCCAGAATGGACGATAAAAGAGGGGTGATAATCTCATTCCTCAAGTCTTTATCAAGAGGGCAAGCCAGAAGGTCATGTGCCACCGATTCGGGACTGCCGTCTCCGCAGGGATGTTTGTCGTGTGGCATCTGTTGGAAACGTCCCTCAAGAACAGCTGAGGGCAAGACACTTAATCTCACGAGAGTCAAAGCGCATCTGTATTTTAGAATTGCTAGGTGATACAGATAGGGTGCTGGAGAGTCGAAATGGGAAGGTGGAAAACAGTCATGCCATGGGCAAAATTTCCTTATTGTGGCCAAGTTGTTCTGACGCTCAATATCATTTAAAGGCTCAATATCCCTTTACCCTTTAAAAGGACCCCTGACCATTAGGCCCAGTGGTGGCCGACTCTGGGGTTGCGGCGCTCATCTCGCTTTACTGGCCGAGGGAGCCGGCGTACAGCTTCCGGGTCATGTGGCCAGCAGGACTAAGCCGCTTCTGGCGAACCAGAGCAGCGCACGGAAACGCCATTTACCTTCCTGCCGGAGCGGTACCTATTTATCTACTTGCACTTTGACGTGCTTTCAAACTGCTAGATTGGCAAGAGCAGGGACCGGGCAACGGGAGCTCACCTCGTCATTGCGGGGATTCGAACCACCGACCTTCTGATTGGCAAGTCCTAGGCTCTGTGGTTTAACCCACAGCGCCACCCGCGTCCCTCCAATATCATTTAGGCGCTGACAAATTAGACTGTTTGCTTTACTAAAACCCAAAGTGAGTAACTGTTGTGGGGATAAACCACAACAGTGAAGTTTTTGATGGACAATTTCAGTCCAGGTGCTTTTGGGTTCTTGCAGCGCTAGGGATATTAGATCAGGGGGATTTGAGTTTAGGCAAAGCCAATAGTTAAGTGTCCTGCGCCAGATCCGTCATTCTGCCGAGGGAAGATTAGCCTCGAGGTGCAATGATGCACTCTCGACCGTCACGCCAGGCTGGCTCTCGCAGTTCCCTCTCCTACTTTCTCGGCTCACCCCATCACCTTTCCCTTTGTTAACGGAAAAAATCTGAGGGCTCCCTTGGACAAAAACAAAGACACCAACCAGGATAACTTGGAGCGAAACAGCAGCCTGTAGGCTTGGCCTTTATTGATCTGTTGCAACAGGGTGCTCCCCTCACCTGCAGGAGAGAGGAGGGACCCAGAAAAATGGCATGCAAGACCTTATAAAGACTTTTGGAATTGCCACCCTGTAGATCAAGGGACGCGGGTGGCGCTGTGGGTAAAACCTCAGCGCCTAGGATTTGCCGATCGTCAGGTTGGCGGTTAAATCCCCGCGGCGGTTAAATCCCTCCCGTCGCTCGGTCCCTGCTCCTGCCAACCTAGCAGTTCGAAAGCACCCCTGGGTGCAAGTAGATAAATAGGGACCGCTTACTAGCGGGAAGGTAAACGGCGTTCCGTGTGCTGCGCTGGCTTGCCAGATGCAGCTTGTCACGCTGGCCACGTGACCCGGAAGTGTCTCCGGACAGCGCTGGCCCCCAGCCTCTTAAGTGAGATGGGCGCACAACCCTAGAGTCGGACACGACTGGCCCGTACGGGCAGGGGTACCTTTACCTTTACCTTTAGATCAAGACCACCCCCAGAAACATCATACCTACATCACAGAACGGGTTTAACCTAAGACCACCCCTCAGGTACATCATACATACATCACAGAAAAGGCGGTCTACAACAGAAATTTGAAGGTTGTTTTTCTCCTGTCCTTGTTTATCTCCTGTCTGGCAGGTTACTTGATTGGATTGCCTGGGAAGCCCGGCCATTCTTTTGTAGTGATAAATACTTAGTTCCTGGGCCAGGTCACAGGCTCACACCCTCTTCAAACACAGACATACCCTTAAGACAGGATTTGTGAGGAAAGAGACAATGGGAGGTTTCCCACTTTGACCTTGCAGAGAAAACATTTGCTCAGTTTAGGAATCAAAATGGTTCCAGGTCGGTCTTCCTGTGCTGATCTATGTACCGTATTTTTCGCTCTATAACACCCACCGGACCATAACACGCACGTAGTTTTTAGAGGAGGAAAACAAGAAAAAAAATATTCTAAACGAAATAGTGGATATATGATTTTTGTGGTTCATGCTGTGGCCACAGACATGTGATCTGACAGTGAGTTTGGAGTAGCCCAATGCAAAAATCCTGAGGATCCATGTGGATCCATGCTTTGTAACCACGGAGGAGGGAAGGAAGGGGAACCATGGATCCTCTGCTCACGACTGCAGCAGATCCCCCCGCCACCCGCAGGCATTCGCTCCATAACACGCACAGACATTTCCCCTTACTTTCTAGGAGGAAAAAAGTGAGTGTTATGGTGCAAAAAATACGGTATGTGCTTGGTTGGTACGCTTACGAACATTGCCATATATCTAAGACCTCAAAATTCCTATCACACCTTCCAGGCTTTTCCAGATTCATCTCGGGCCCCCCAAGAAGCTGGAGGAGCTGGACCCGGAGACCCACGAATATTGGCGGAAGCTGCGGAAGCTGAACATTTGGCAGGAAAACAAACTCAAGAAAGTCCGGTCGTTTTGATGCAGAGAGCTGTGAAAGCGGCGGTTGGTTGCTGGGAAAGGACCTTGTTTTCTAGTTTTATGTCTCCCTTTGGTGTAAAAGTTGGCCAATAAAAACCTCAACCCTGCAGGGTAGTCCCTGTGATCTTCCTCTTCTTCTTTTAAATTATTTTATTGCATTTTTTAGAAACCACAGAAACGTCCATTACGTCCATTACGTCCAGATATCCATAAATAAAAGAAATGATACATAGAAAAGGAGAAAAATAAAGATATAAAAAGACAAAAAAGAATTTGTCAAATACAAATATACCAAGTTAATCAAAGGATATAAACATTAATTTAAATATTAATTTAAATATGCATTTTCATTCCTTCTTTTTCTTTCTTTCTTTACGGTTTTTTTTCTTTCTGCTCCGGAAAACTAGTTTGAATCCCTCCTATACTAATTGACTTCCCTCATATCTCTTTGCGGCTTCAACACTTCTCTTACATAACAAGTATTCTGTGTTCATTTATTGAAATCAGTCCCGTCCCCCCGCATTTTTTCTGTGAAATTATTCGTAAGTGCAATCAAGTACTACTTACGAAACCTAATCTTTTCAGATATTTTTTTAAGCAATCCCATTCCTCTTTTTACCTTATCACCTGAGTGATCTCTTATTAATTCTGTCATTTTGGCCATATTAAGGTACTCTCATAACTTTAGTTGCCGCTCATCTTTTGTAGGTATTCAATCACTCTTCCAGTATTTTGCTGTTAGCATTCTAGCTGCTGCTGTCGCGTAAAGAAACACTATTTTATATTCATTTGGGATGCTAATCGTCAGAATGCCTAAAGTCCCTGGGCTTTTTTAGGAAATTCGCTCAAAGAATCATCGCTTTCGACAGGGGTTTCCCCAGACATTTCAAACATGTCAATCAAATATACAGAATACAGTGGTACCTCGCAAGACGAATGCCTCGCAAGACGGAAAACTCGCAAAACGAAAGGGTTTTTGGTTTTTTGAGTTGCTTTGCAAGACGATTTTCCCTATGGGCTTGCTTCGCAAGACGGAAACGTCTTGCAAGTTTGTTTCCTTTTTCTTAACACCGTTAATACAGTTGCGACTTGACTTCGAGGAGCAACTCATAGAACGCGGTGTGGTAGCCTTTTTTGAGGTTTTTGAAGACTTTGGTGATTTTTGAAGCTTTTCCAAAACTTTTCCGACACCGTGCTTCGCAAGACGAAAAAAACCACAAGACGAAAAAACTCGCGGAACGAATTAATTTCGTCTTGCGAGGCACCACTGTACACAGATATACATCCAATATATTTCACATACAGTTGCCTCAAAAATGATCCAAACTTATCCCCCCTTTGCGAATCAGAAACAGTTTCTACGCAAATGCAATTCTGGTTCTAAACGCAGCATAAGGGGTCTCTATAGTATAGCGTATAGTGTATAGTATAGTGTATTTTATAGTATAGTATAGTGTATTTTAAAATGGGGTTTCAAAGTTTTTAAGGGGATTTTATAGTATAGTATAGTGTATTTTAAAATGGGGTTTCAGAGTTTTTAAGGGGATTTTATAGTATAGTATAGTGTATTTTAAAATGGGGTTTCAGAGTTTTTAAGGGGATTTTATAGTATAGTATAGTGTATTTTAAAATGGGGTTTCAGAGTTTTTTAGGGGTTTTTGAATGTTTTATGTAGTTTTTCAATTTTATTGTTCTGTATGGGACAATGACAATAAAGACATCGTATATCGTATCGTATATCAGGTTTATTATCGAAATGCGCAGACTTCCAGCTGTCTGCAAGGAGCAAAGTTGCATTTTCAGCTGAATTTGGGGAGAAACCACTTGCATTTTGATAATAAACCCGATTTGCAATGGATCATTCTTGATGGCAACTGTAGAATAGCAACGTTCTCATTTGGTCTCGCCGTTCCGCCGCGAGACCTACCCCTCTACCCTCTTCTCCCCTTTCCTAGCTCTACGCACCCGTCCGCAGCTCGCCCGCCTTGGCAACAGAGGAAGGCGATGCGGAGGCCATAGAGACGCACGCCGGAGGACTAGAGCGCCGCTCTTCGCCGGCGCTTCCCTCCATAGAAAAACAACCCAACCACCGGAAGTGAGGCGGCGGAGGCCGGAAAGCGGAAGTCGCTGCCCTCCCCAGGAGGAAGTGGGCGGGGCCCAAAGGAGGGGCGGGGCCAGGAGGGAGGGATTCAGGTGAGGAGGAGGAGGAGGGAGGAAGAGCAGGTGAGGAAGGAAGGGGGGCTACCTGGGGGGAGGGGGAGGGTTTTTTGGGGGGGGTTAACCTGGGGGGGGGGGGTTAAACCTTTGTGGACTTGTGGGGGGGGAAGAAAGAGGAAGGAAATGGGTCCTATTTTGGGGGGGCATAATATGGGGGGGTCGCAAATATGTGGGGGGGCCTTAAATTATGTGGGGTGGGGGCTTTTGACTTGGGGGGCAGAGAAGGGATGAGGAAAATGGGTCCTACTTGGGGGGGAAGAGGTAAGTGGGTGTTTTTTTTATGGGGGGAGGCACAAATGTGGGAGTGGTTTTTTGGGGGGGTCTCAAATATGTGGGGGGCCTTAAATTATGTGGGGTGGGGGCTTTTGACTTGGGGGGCAGAGAAGGGATGAGGAAAATGGGTCCTACTTGGGGGGGGAAGAGGTAAGTGGGTGTTTTTTTTATGGGGGGAGGCACAAATGTGGGAGTGGTTTTTTGGGGGGGCAGGAACTATTATGGTTATTTGGGGGGGGGACTCGTCTTGGGTGGGGGGTGGGCGACGTGTCAAGTGCCCCCAAAGGGCTACAGGGGGAGAAAATTGGTGTTTATTGGGGGGGGGGAGAGACAGGATAGGCAGAAAGCTTTTATTTCCCGTGGGGGGGGGGAACTTTTGTGATTGCTGCAAAAGGTTAGATAACATGGGGGGGTGATAAAAGGAGTGAAACCCAGGGGAAGGCTGCTATGGGGTGGAATATTGGGGTTTTTTTGTGGGCGGGGGGAGCAGGACGAAATGAACAAGGATAGAAATAACTGAGGGTGGGGTGCTATTATTATTATGGGAGGTGGAGATGCAGAAAGAGCCCAGATGATGAAGGGAATTGGGGAGGGGTGTAAAAGAAGGGTGCAGGTGGGACAATGGAGGAAGAGATCTGTTTGAAGGAACGAGAGTGGGAAACTAATAGGGCCAGGTGTGAGTTTGTTTGGGGTTTTTTTTGGGGGGGGGAAACGCTGAATAAGCTGCAATAGACGTTCCTTGAGAGGCTTAGAGACGGGAGGCGGCGTGTGTGACAGCGCCTAGGTGGGGTGACTTGTGTGTATTGGGGGGGAAGTGGGAGGAATCTGGGGAGAGGGGGAAGAGAAACTTGGAGTGGGGGGGGGAATTAGGTACAGAGAAAACCGGGAGGTGGGGGGTTGGCGTCGAAGCAGGAAAGGTCTTGATGGAGATGGGAGAGGTGAGATGTCATAATCAGGGCTGGGTGGTGAAAATTGAGGGGTTTTTTTGTGGCGGGGGGAGTGTAAAGAACAGGAAAAATAGCCCCCTGAGGTGTGTGAAGAAAAGCAATGTTGGTTAGGGGGCGGTTTTAGTGATGGGGGGGGACACGGACGGACCAGAAAGGAGTCTTGCTTTGCAAAGGACAGAAAACAGAGGCTGCAGTTTTACCCAGAGCTGGAAATTGCAGAAAGGGTGGTGGGTGTGGTATCTGCAGAACCGTTATATTCTCTCTTCTTTTTCTTCCATATATATATCCCTGATCTCCCCCCCCCCACCCTTCACGCGTCTTGCATCCAGCCCCTTCTTCGCACAGACACTGCAGAGCTTTGACTGAATGTTCTCGAAATCGGATGAATGGGCTGTCCTTTCTAACCATCCTGGGGGGAGGGTGTGGGGGAACCGGAGAATTTTTTGGAAAGAAAAGAAGATAGGATTTATCCGTACAACTGTCCTCTCCTTCCTTCCTCCCCCCCCACCCCGAGAAAATCCCTTTCCACCCAAAATATAGCAGCAGACACAAACACACACACACACCCATCATGAATCCACAAATTTAATTCAACTGCGGTTCTGCGGAAGGATTATTAGGGCAGCGCACGGTGGATTTGCATGCTGAGAGGCTGGTCAGAGAGAAGGCAGGGACTGAGAGGAAAGGATTTGCGGTGGGGCGGGGGGCAGGTTATGGGGAGAAGGTTTGCCAGAGTGAGGATGGAGGGGGGGGGAGAGATTTGGCAATTTGGTCCAGCTGTTTACCCACCACGCCGATAAAGGGGAAAGTTAAGATTCCTTCCAGTTTTTGCCTGGCATTGAAATAAGACCACTGCAGGAAATACTTCCTTTGGCTTGATTCTTCTGGAAACTCTGGTTGACCAGTGCAAATTTGGTTGTTTTAATTAAGTGAGGGGGTTATCCGAGTCAGACCGTCAGCACTGAATGGCAGCGAGAGTCTGCACGGTTTCAGGAAAAGGGGTCTTTTCCCCTCCGACCTTGAGATGCCATGGCATTCAGGGGTGGTTAAACCTGCGACTTTCTGCATGCAAAACCGATGCTACACACTTTCATTTATTTGATTTTTTAAAAAAGTAAGATTCCAGTCCTCATGGGGCTCCGAATCAGGCGATGGTTTAAATGGGAAGCTGAATCAGATGGTTGATCCTTCTGGCTTGTCTTACACTGACTGGCAGCCGCCCTCCAGCCTTAACCTGGAAATACCGGGCTGGGATTGAATCTGGGACTTTGCAGAAGCTCTGCCCCCTGAGCTGTCGCCCTTCTAAAACTGAAATAAAAATAAAAAGAAGCTGGGACAGCTCCGTCGGCAGAGCACCAGACTCTGAATTTCAGGGTTCTGGGTTCAAGACGGGCAGAAGATTCCTGCATTGCAGGGGGTTGGTCTAGATGACGCAGGGGGTCCCTCCGAACTCTATGATTCTGTGACTCGGCAGCTCCTGTTCAAATGAGCCCTGTTCTATGGTCCTCAGTAAAATAGGACTATGGGAAGCAGAGAAGAGGCCTTCCCCTCCATCTGGAAATAAATTACCGGGAGTTGCAGCCCCCAGTTGCTTTAGATTAAATTTGCATTTGATCCAACAATGCCGGGCGACAAAATATCTTTAGATCAGGAATCGGTGGCGCTGTAAATATTGCAGGGCTATGACTCCCATTGGCTGATTGGCTGATGGTGGTGATACAGTGGTATCCTGGGTTACAGATGCTTCAGGTTATGGACGCTTCAGGTTACAGACTCCGCTAACCCAGAAATAGTACCTCGGGTTAAGAACTTTGCTTCAGGATGAGAACAGAAATCGTGCTCTGGCGGCGGGGCAGCAGCGGGAGGTCCTATTAGCTAAAGTGGTGCTTCAGGTTAAGAACGGACCTCCGGAACGAATTAAGTTCTTAACCAGAGGTACCACTGTATCAGACTTTTAGAAGACATCTGAAGGCAGCCCTGTTTAGGGAAGTTTTTGATGTTTGATGTTTTATCGTGTTTTTAATACAGTGGTACCTTGGGTTAAGTACTTAATTTGTTCCGGAGGTCCGTTCTTAACCTGAAACTGTTCTTAACCTGAAGCACCACTTTAGCTAATGGGGCCTCCTGCTGCCGCCGCGCCGCCAGAGCACGATTTCTGTTCTCGTCCTGAAGCAAAGTTCTTAACCCGAGGTACTATTTCTGGGTTAGCGGAGTCTGTAACTTGAAGCGTATGTAACCTGAGGTACCACTGTATATTAGTTGTCAACAGCAAGTGGACTGCCAAGCCAAGTCTCAAGTCTCAATGTACCTTGGGTTACAGACGCTTCGGGTTACAAGCTCCGCTAACCAGGAAGTGGTTGCTCCAGGTTAAGAACTTTGCCCCAGGATAAGAACGGAAATTGCGCACCAGCGGTGCAGCAACAGCAGGAGGCCCCGTTCGCGAAAGTGCGCCTCAGGTTAAGAACCGTTTCAGGTTAAGAACGGACCGCTGGAACGAATTAAGTTCTTAACCCAAGGTACCACTGTATTCTGTTGGGAGCCGCCCAGAGTGGCTGGGGAAACCCAGCCAGATGGGCGGGGTGTAAATAATAAATTATTGTTGTGTGCACTGGCTGGCACACCAGGGCTTCCAGCGGGCAGGCCACGGATCGAGCCTTGGAGCCTTCCGCACCCAAAGCAACAGGCGCTCTACCGGTGAGCTACGGCCTTGCTGGGATCCCCTGGGACCCTCGTCTCTCTCCAAGCGCCCCCTCTGATCCCCACCCCTCCTTTCTCTCCCTCCAGTGCCCCGCCGGCATCTGTTTCTGAGCAATGACCTCCAAGGCCAAGAAGCGAGTGGTGCTGCCCACCCGCCCAGACCCCCCCGGCACGGAGCAGATTCTCGAAGATGTGCAGCGCGCCCAGCCCAACGACCCCGTCTTCGTCCTCCTGGCCGAGCCCAGCGAAGGTAACCGGAGCCCCCTTTCCCCACGGGGCTCATTCACGTGCCTTGCCTCCCAGAACCAAGAGAGGCATGCAGCGGGAGGAGCAAAGGCAAGACACCCAGGCTCAGTCTCAGATTGCTTTGGGGGAAACCCTGGAGAGGAGGAGATTTCCCGGCTCCGGCGGGAAGGTAAACGGCGTTTCCATGCGCTGCTCTGGTTCGCCAGAAGCGGCTTAGTCCTGCTGGCCACCTGACCCGGAAGCTGTACGCTGGCTCCCTTGGCCAATAAAGCAAGATGAGCACCGCAACCCCAGAGTCGGCCACCACTGGACCTAACGGTCAGGGGTCCCTTTACCTTTACCTTTAGGTCTAAACCACAGAGCCTAGGACTTGCCGATCAGAAGGTCGGCGGTTCGAATCCCCGTGACGGGGTGAGCTCCTGTTGCTCGGTCCCAGCTCCTGCCCACCTAGCAGTTCGAAAGCCCGTCAAAGTGCAAGTAGATCAATAGGTACCGCTACGGCGGGAAGGTAAACGGCGTTTCCGTGCACTGCTCTGGTTCGCCAGAAGCGGCTTAGTCCTGCTGGCCACATGATCCGGAAGCTGTACGCCGGCTCCCTCGTTCAATAAAGCGAGATGAGCGCCGCAACCCCAGAGTCAGTCACGTCTGGACCTAATGGTTAGGGGTCCCTTTACCTTTACCTTTTATAGCAATAATAATTGTAGTCACAGCCATGCCGATGATGTTATCATTGTTGATGGCTCAGTCAGTAGAGCGTGCGACTCTTAATCCCAGGGTTGTGGATTCGAGTCCCATACAAGAAATCCGCCTTCTCCTTTTCGTTTTAAAAATCATTGATTTTCATCCGCCCTGGAAAAGCACGCCTCCATTGTTTTATCTATCTCTCTCTCCCCCTCCGCCTGCGCTCAGATTTGCCCTCCCCAACCAAGAACGAAGACCCTGAGGCCAAGCGCGAGCGCCTCTACCGGCTGACCCAGTCGTATGTGGAGATGAACCACCGCCTCCAGATGGCCTGCAGCCTGCTCAAGGAGAAGTGCGAGGAGCTCAAGCTGGCCGGAGCGACTCTAGAGCAGGGGATCTTGGAGATGAAGCAGAGAGCCTTGTGAGATGACGCCCGCTCCGGGAGGCGGGCCAGCGACCAAGCGCCCCGAGCGGCCGGCCCGTATCGTGCCTCCGCTGCGAGCGGCGGCTCCAGCATGCATAAGCTACACCACTCAAACACTGTCTGTGTGCTCGGTCTTGTGAATGTGTGCCAAAGCAGTTGCCCTGTTCCACGCCGCCTTGACGACGGCGTGGTTTGCCTCCCCAGATTTCATGACATCCGCTCTCCCTTCCGGGGCCTTGTTTCATTTCGTCCGCACAGACTGAAGGCAAGCTGTTACCGTTGGGCGCTCTCCCTTCTAAGCTGGGACAGGTGGACTTTTGAGGGTAGGGGCTGGGCGAACAGGGAGGGTTAGCCCGCTTTTATTTTTGCCGTTTTTCTTCGTTCCCCCGCATTTTTGCGTCACTTTGGCCATGACAACCCCCTTGCCCCGTTACGACTTCTCCCTCTGGTACTGCCTGGATGACGACGCCGTCGCCACCGCCATCTGCCAGCTCCTGGCAGAGCACGGCTTCCGAGGGTACGTTGAGCACCAGGACCACGTGGCGGGGCGGCAGGAGCTCTCAGCGGTGGGCGAGGTCATCCAGGCGAGCCGCGTGGCCATCCTCCTCCTGACGCCCCGCTCGGTGGCCGACCCCTGGTGCCGGCGGGTGGCCGAGTGGAACCTCGACCACGCGGTGCACCGGGAGGGGGCGAAGGTCATCCCCGTCTACGTGGGCGTCTCACGGGAGGAAACTTCCCCTGCGCTGAGGCACCTTAACGGACTTGAGTACGGCGAGAGATTCTTCAAGCAGAGGCTGCTCTCCAGCCTGCGAAAAGCAGGACCCCACGGGCAGACCCCGCGCCCCTCCGGCGTGAGCGGCACGAAGAAGAGGGCCGGCTTCTGACGGACTCGGGGAGGGAGCAGGGTTGGGGGGATGCGGCGGCTCGACGGCTTCCGGATTCATTTTGGTGTTTTGACGTAGGCTCCATCGTGACGTGGGTTTGGTGACTGTGAACGGAATTCCCACTAGATTTGTGCCTAGAGCTGATTTGTCAGGAAAGTGAAACAGAAGTTGTCCGTGTCTGGGGGTCCGGGGGCGGGGGGGGGACAGAGAGGAAAGGGAGGGGGGCGTCATTTGTTCATTTGTCGGGATGGGTGTTTCAGTATCGAAAGGGAAAAAGCTAGGTCCCGAGGCTGCTGGTTCTCACCTCTGGTTTAACTTAAAGAGCTGTTATTAAAATGCAGTTTTCGGACAACGTTCGGCTCTCTGCGTGTATGTACCTAGGCAGTCGCTGTTTTCACAGTGGCTACGCTGTGGTCTAAACCATAGAGCTTCTTGGGCTTGCCGATTGGAAGGTCGGCAGTTCGAATTCCCGCTACGGGGTGATCTCCCGTTGCTCTGTCTCAGCTCCTGCCAACCTAGCAGTTCGAAAGCATGACGGTGCAAGTAGATAAATAGGTACCACTGCGGTAGGATGGTAAACGGCGTTTCCGTGCTCTCTGCTTTTTGTCATGCACCAGAAGCGGTTTAGTCCTGCTGGCCACATGACCCAGAAAGCTGTCTGCGGACAAATGCCGCCTCCCTCAGCCTGAAAGCGAGATGAGCGCTACAACCCCCTTGACAGAACTTAACCGTCCAGGGGTCCTTTACCTTTTTAAACCTTTTACGCAGATGTCCCTTATAGGAAACCCACAAGCGGGATTTTAATGTATTCTTAATCTTTGTTGGAAGCCGCCCAGAGTGGCTAGGGAAACCCAGCCAGATGGGCGGGGTACAAATAATACCGTATTTTTTGCTCTATAAGACTCACTTTTTCCCTCCTAAAAAGTAAGGGGAAATGTGTGTGCGTCTTATTGAGTGAATGCAGGCTGCGCAGCTATCCCAGAAGCCAGAACAGCAAGAGGGATTGCTGCTTTCACTGCGCAGCGATCCCTCTTGCTGTTCTGGCTTCTGAGATTCAGAATATTTTTTTTCTTGTTTTCCTCCTCCAAAAACTAGGTGCGTCTCGTGGTCTGGTGTGTCTTATAGAGCGAAAAGTACAGTAAATTATTATTATTATTATTATTATTATTAGGCTGCTCCCTCCCCTCCTGACGTTTCCAGCAGCTGGTATTCAGAAGCACCGCTGCCTCCGACTGTGGAAGGCAAAGCATAGCTAGTAGCTTTTGATATTCCTGTCCTCCGTGAATCTATTTCATCCCATT